ATCATCCCTCTCGCCAAAGCTTGTATTAGATGTTGCATACAACCATCCATCACCTCCGCTCGTTGAGCGCGTGAAAAAAAAGGAAAAAAACGCCCATCCGTCCCCTGCAGAGCGTAATGATTAATATAAACAAGTGCAGGGATCATGCAGCATAAGAACGTGGCAATGCACCAGAGCAACCTTGAATGAATGGCAAACCCACGAACGTCAATGATGAACCCTACGTCCGCTGGAAACTCATGGTGCCTATCGCCGTTCGTCGTATCCTGTCGGCTCGGTGAAGTACGGCTCATACAGTATGGATGGGTAGGGTAGAAAGTGACAGCGAGGTGTCGGTACGCGTTCGACGACGAAAACGGCACCCCGATCTCGGAGGATGTGTGCTCGAAACTGTTTTCAAACTCCCCCAAGTCTTCAGCTGTTCGTGGTGGGCGGAGTGGTGCCGTTGAATCGACAATCGTAATGAGGACGTGCTTTGGTACGGTATGGTCATGGTGGCCGGCCAGTGGGGTACCGCGTCGACTCAGACTCACCCAGACTCTCTTCTTCCTTTTCCTTCCCTTTCATTCCGTTTTCTTCCCTTCTCCGACCAGGCCTAGGCCTAGGAGATTGAGAGGGCTTGATTGATAGGTCTCCGAAACTTGGACTCTCGGATGGAAGGAAGGCAACGAACTCGAATCAAAGGCACGAGACGTCAAATGGCGGTTTGACGCGCCTGTCAGCCTGAGCGTGGTCGCGATGAGATCCATCTGATATGCATTGACAGGGCACTGGAAGCAGGATAGGGAGAGGGCTCCCGGACGCGTCGTTGAGGGAGAGATAACGATGCTCGGTGATACGATTTTGCAAGCAGCCCCAGGTGGATGAGAAAGGGCGGGTTGTGGCGGTCGCGTCAGTGAAGTGCACGCGCACGAGACTATCGAACGCGTCAAACCGAGATTAAGCTTGATGCACTGGACGACATCACGTCCTTACAGACTCTTGAAAACATAAACTCGATATATTGTGTGATATAAACGCGAAAAACGCCACTATGACCCCTAATAACCACTAGTACCCAAAAGTAAAGATCTAACCCAAAACCCAAATTTCCCCTCATCCTCGCCTTTCCACACTCTAGCACGACTGTAATCCATGGCGGCTCAACGCGTGTAGCCGATGGGGAGAATGATGAACCCGTACACGTCCGCCCATGAGCCGCAGATGAGCGGGGTGGTGCCGATGACGGAGGGGATGGCGACGTCGTTGCCTTGGTAGCCGAAGAGGCCCAAGTCTGGGCAGGAGTCGCCGCCCTGGATGGGAGAGCCCGAGGCGTGGGTCTTACCGCCCTGTGAACATGACAGTCGTTAGCATATACGAGGGTGAGGAGGGGAAAGACGGACCCAGTAGATGGTCTGGTTCTTCATGACCCAGTTGAACGCGTCCTGAGCGGAGTTGTCGGTGTAGGGACAGGACGTGGCTGTGACGGTGTAGGGCTGGACAGAGTTTGTATCTGCGACGCCAAGGCAGAGGTCGAGGGTGGGGATGTAGAGATGACCTGGTAGCAAAGTGAGTGAATGAGTGGATGGGACGCGATGAGGACTGACCTGCGTAGGTGCCGTTGACGCCGGTGTCGACGTTGGAGTAGCCCTCGTGATTGGGAGAGCAGGTCTGGAACTGGATGGGGGGCATGGCGTCGTAGAGGGCGGGTGCGAAGGTGAGTGTGTTGTTGACGAGGGAGAGAGGGTCGCTGTAGACTGGGAGAAGTGAGCAGGGGCTGGGACGAGGATGGATGGAACTTACCATAAGTGTCTGCATTGAGGTAGCCGTAGGCGATGGACGAGCAGGTAGACGTCGCGGCGGGTGCAGCAGCTGCTGAGGAGAGGAGGGCGAGGAGGGCGAGGAGGGAAGACATGTGTGTGGCGGATATGTTGAATAACGCGACATTTTATAGAGAGGGGAAGCTGTGTGATAGAATAAGCACGGAGAGAGTCATGAAGAGAACGGGAAGGGGTGGCCGTGAGCGCGCATCAAGAGTCACGGTGAGTGCAATGAGTTGAGTTATGAGCGTGGTGGGACGGGAATAGCCGGATAGCCTACACCCACACTATGGGCTGTTCACGGTTTTGAGCCACTTCAATACTACAGCCGGCGGTAAATTTCGCTCTATGGTTGTTGGAGACCAAACACTTCCGAGTCATTCCTGTACCCGCAAGACAGTAGCACGAAACCATATTCGCATGGTCTCAAACAGTCCTCTGACACCATTCTCCAGTACAAGGACAATCACCGCTGGATAGTTGCGTGCAACGATATGGACGCATGTGGTACCACAATACCATACCACCGGCATCAGACATGGTACGTCGATTTCATATGAATTCATTCTACTGACACTATTCTACGCCATATTTCAGAGAACCAATATATGGTACCTGGTGATGATATGAACGTGTATGGGGCTGACAGGCCATAACCACAAAAACACAAGACAGTGAGTTTTGTCCATAGTAAACTAATCTATCAATACTATCTCATGGATCATTTTGGTTAGCTATCATATGGTAACTTACGGCTATACATCCGTGTATAGTGTCACCACACCGTACGGCCCAAATCAGAGATGGTATGGTGGGTCTAGCTGCCAGATGGTCGCTTACTGTTATGTGGTCGTGTATGGTATGATAAAATCATACGGCGGAAATGAAAAATGGTACGTTGGCTTTAGACTACTCAGCCGATACTATCATTTTGCTTGACAGTGAAATACAATATGGTTCATCCTGTAGTTATTAACTTTACTTTTCTGATACCGTCCCACAGCACTATCCTTATGGATTGCAAAATAGTATGGTGGGACTATATCACTGTGTATAGTTCACGTCAACTGTTTGCAAATCTTCTCCGAGTGACCCCAAATGGTGTTAGACAGCTGTTTGACCATGGCAGAAGAGATTTAAACTTTGTATAGATATCTTACGCTGTCTGATTACACTGTACTATAGGAGTGTTTGTGGTAGTGCCCCTCCCTATCAATATCAGCATAAGATACACGAACCATAAACCGACCCATCAAACTTCAATATTCCTCATCTTGCGGATCCTCAACCGGTTCCAGAAAAACTCTTGTATACAATATTGCGTGGTCCTGCGACATGTAGCTAACAGATTTTCGGATTCGCTTCAAGGCGCTATTGCCGCATTCAGCGGCACTAGAGTTGATTTGTGTGAGTCGAGGGTCCGTGCTGGCGTAGCTGGTGAGAAAAACAGCTGGCGAGCACTTAGTATGCCCTTTAGCATGAAATCCATCGACCACAAAGAGGGTATCTGCAAAGAACTCCAGTTCTCGAGTTAGACAGTAAGGTGCCAAAGTACATGCAAAGTCGTAGACAACGACTCTCGGGGCCTTTGGCCAACGCGTCACGATGGCCGAAAAAACATCGTTTCGCCCCTCACCTCGGGGTATGCAATGGAATCCATAGCATATGCTGTGTGTGCACCATGCACACATCAAACCTCCTGTCAGCCTCTTTTCACCGTATTGCGAATAGTATTTAGAGCATTTATCTCCCCGCCGTCTGCCAGGTTCTTCGCGAAGGTCATGCTTGAGGTGGGGATAACAAGGGCGATGCCGAATCTGGGGCATGCTATAGAAGCAGCCTGTCTGTGTAAAAATTCAGTCTCGTGATATAAAATCCAAGGATTAGTTGTCTAACCTTCTGCCATTCAGATGAGACACCAGGGTCAGGTGTAATGCAAGGAAGTGGAGAGTTCTCGACCAGCAAAGACTTCAAGACATCGCAACTACGCGCATACAGCCAAAAACAGACCGCGATGACATTCGAAGGTTAGGACTCGTTTCGGCTTTCGTGGAACTTTAACACATTGTAAAGACATGGAATGCCTACCAAGTATGATGCATTTTCCTTGGTAGGTGACAGAAGAAATTGGTACAGCTTGTATTGAACTGACCGGTTGACCAATTGTAGGATCGAGTCTTCAGCTACAAGCTTCCACCGACCGCAGTTAGAGTAAAGTTGTATGCTATCAAAATTGTTGTACATACCTGTATAAATAGTATCCGGTATAGACGAGGTGGTTTACTTGTGATGTCCCCCGAACCGAAATGGTGTAGAAATAGATTTCCGAGTGCAATGTTGATCTCCTTACTATATACAATAATACACAATGATACATGTACATGACACCATATCTCAATATGAATGAAACATTAAATAGTATTGGCCTGGTATACTATATAAACACAATTCACATTCATCACTGAATACCATAGTTGCTCATGTAGCAGAATAAACGTCAACCATAAGACTGGTATAAAATGGTTTGGTCAGACAAACCTGTACTGCACAATATGGTTTCTGTGTACCATATCTGTACAATTGGTTTGGTACTCCCCGATCATATCTAGTATGGTCAGACAATTCTGTACTGCAACTGCACAATATGGTTCCTGGAAACCATCCTGGGTAGTATGGTTTCTGTGTACCATATCTAGCAGTATGGTCAGACAATTCTGTACTGCAACTGCACAATATGGTGTTAGTTTTGGTGATTCTGCACCTTTGTGCTACCTATATATTTTCATTCCTTTCTCTATCTATTCTTCTATCATTCACTATTGATTGTGTTTTCTATTATTTCGCCTTTGTGGCTGCTTTGTTTACCTTTGTTTACAAAACTTCGGACAGTACTGCAGAGTCCAATGCTTCCTATTCTCTAGTTACTCACATTGGACTCTAGGTACTGTATACCTGTCATACTCTCTAATAATATAGTTACTCACATTGGACTCTAGTTCCAGTCCCTGATTGCTCTCAGCAAGTGGCTAGACACTTCCTTCAAGCTTTGTTCTTAATATATGGTTTCTGTGTACAATATCTAGCAGTATGGTCAGACAATTCTATACTGCAACTGCACAATATGGTTTCTGTGTACCATATCTGTACAATTGGTTTGGTATTATTGCACAATTGCACAGTTGCAAGACCACGTGGTAGTCATGTGGAACCACATTTTTTTTTTGGTTAGTTTGCAAGGCTAACATGGTTTTTTGTGTCGGACCACAGTGTGGCACAGTGAAATGAGACTCGAGGGTTCAAATCCTTGCTCTGTTTTTGTTTTGATATAATTTTGTTCACACAATATTGCCATATTGAATACTAGCAAGCTTTTTGTTTCGGATCAGTGATTTGCACAATTTCTTTGGTTTGCATGAAGTTAGCCTGTAGGAAAATTGTTTCGACTATTCAGCTGTTCTATAACTAGTCTGACTCTGATGATTCTGAAGGTGTGGCTTCTCTGGGAGAGGAGTAGCTAATAGGATTGTGATGAGAATAATGTGTGGCAAAACTTGCACTAGTGCCCGATTCCAACCCAAAAACTTCCTTGTCTTCGCCATCCTTCTCAGCAAGAGTGTGCAATTTATCCACTGCACAACCAATAAACTGGCGCAATAATGTTTTTTGGGCTTCTGTGTTCTTGCTTTTGTAGGAGTAGAACTGGTCGATATTTATTCCAAAATCCTGCATTGCCTCATATAGAAAGTAGCGCAAGCGTGGCGGAATCACTTGGTCCTTCAAACTCTCCTTGTTGTTTCCTTCAGCGTCTGTGGCTCGCAGACATTTCCACAAGTAGAAGTCAAATAGGGCAGCGTCCTCTGGACATCCACAATGGAGATGATCGGCCACACAATGGAGCCGGTTTTGTTGTTGTCTTGGTGGAAGAGACATATGATATTCTCGCAGTTGGTGGTCAGACAGTGCAGAGCAAGCTGGCGTGAGGTTTGTGCAGCTTCAGGGAGATGATCAGCACTTGCCCTAATATGTGCTCGAATGACAGGATCAATCGTTGATCTGTTTGGATTTTGAAGAAATTTCTTGATCTCCAGTTGTCCCCGCCTTTCTTTTTCTACAGCATCAAATCAGTCACTGGCAATCTTTTTTTGTTATATTATTACCTTCTGATGTCTCGTCCTTTTGAGGTGGGCGACTTCCTTCTTTTTGTCTGGCTTTCCTCTTTTTCTTGGGTCCTTTATCAATGTCCTCGTCATCTCCTCCATCAATTAAGTCTTCATTTTGTCCTCTTTTTTTCCCTGACTCTTTTTTCATCTGTTCAAGCTCTGCTTCCACCTTCGCTAACTTTGCAGCCAGATCAGCTTGTCCTCCAGACCCCTCTTCTTCAACTAGGCTGTCCCGACCTTCTGCTGGAACCTTGTGTTCCTCGCCCCCTTCCTTTTGTTGAGCCTCAAGCTCCCCCTGCTCTCGTTTTGTGACCTCGCAAACTGCAACTTCACCTTCTGCGGCCTTGTGTTCGGCCACAATTTCTCCCGCCCCCCCCGCTGTGTCTTCCTGCGCCTCACATTCCTTGTTGGTTTTATTGCCCTCATCATGTTCTCCTTCAACACTTCTGGTATTTCTTTGCTGATTTTTGTTGTCTAGAATAGGTAATGTCATATGTTTCTACCCTTTTCTTGAACATCAGGAAAAATGAGGGTAGCTATATAGAGCTCTATAGCACTATAAATACTCATAAAGCTGTTGTAATGGTCAAACCTGTTATAGAACCTCTGCCATCTATAGAGCCTCATATAGCTCTATAAATGCTCTAATAGATGTTGGAAATTGTCGTGTGGCTGATTGAAAAAAATAAACACAGACAGGATTTGAACTCTTAACCTACTAGTCAGCTCTTAGGTGACTAAGCAACCTACAGCCACACATCACATTTATCCACTACACCATGAGAGCTTATAAAATGTATTATACAGGTGTTATATATTGACCTTTTATGGACTTAGATTATATTTTTACTCATTGTCACTACTTATATTTGGATAAATCATTATTCTTATTTTGTGAGTATCAGGGATACAAACTACTATTTCACTAATACAAGCTACATAATTCATTAATACTGTATGATTTAGTAACCCTTTTAAGCACCTTAAACTATATTATAACTATGACCTTCACAGCTATAGGAGCTATATAGGCTGCTATAGGCTATAAGAGCCCTTATAGTACCTTGCCTATAATAATATACTTGACTCCAAACACTTCTGGCCTCTTTCTATTATTGAACAAGTTTATTAGATTAATCCAGAGTTTGAGGGAATCATAGATACTTCTCCCCTTGGTTAAAATTTTGCCTACTACTGTGCTATAAGAGCTATAAGAGCTATGATTGCACTGATAGTACTATAGTTTCTATGAATGTGTTTATATATATAGGTGGTGGCTATATAGCGCTATATAGCAAAAGGGTTTTTCCTGATGTCAACATGTTCTACTTTACCTCTTTTTGCAGCCTGTAGTCTTTCTTTTGCATGGAGCTGTTCCTTTTCGTTGTGAGTTCAGATTGGGCGGTGATCAAAGGGCCTTTCAAAAGGTAAGCTCAACTCTGTCAAGCCTGCAGTGATACTAACGTACCTACTCCACCACCTCTCTGTTTTTTCCCTCTCTTCTTAACGATCTCCTTGATTTCAGCTTTTTTTTCGGCAATTTTTTGATCAAACTCTGCTGCTACATTCCTCATGTCTTTGTGAGTGACCTGTTGCCTGGCTAATAGTCACCAGTAAATGAATCACTGACTATTCCTATAAATCACAGGTTCTCACCTTGGACTCGTTTGGGAACAAACATTGTGAAATGTCAGCGAGGGAATGAAGACAAGGCCTTTATTAGTTAGTCAAGCACGATCTTTAATGATAGTATGGTAGATATATTGAAACATTTTTTTTGATGATCGTTGCTTGTATAGTTGAGCGCCAATGAACCATATTCAAACCTTGCGATGGACCGCATTGTGCACCAAATGCTAATTCCGATGTCTGTTCATTACATCTGGGTGCTGACAAATATTATTGCTGATGCCATCGGCAAATCGCACCGAGTTCAGCAAGTTGCCCTGGTGCTGCACACCAAAATCTCAATACTCCATTATGATATCTTCATCATGAGCAACAATAGTCAAATCAGCACTGGCCTGGATTCTAGCCCCTGCAAAAGTCCTCCGGGGCGAGCATAGCTTATTGGCTTGCAAGCAATTTATGGTACCATGGGACGACAGAACTTAGTACTACAGTTGGTTGGACCAAACAATGTTCCCCGCTTACCTGTTTCCAGCCAATGGCCAATCAATTGACAGGTGGTCCTCAAGGTCTTGGGGCTCCACCAAATCCTGCAAGCCCAAGACTGGCTACTCATGCTATACATCCCCATCAAGGTCAGCCATTGGGTCTGCCTCAAGGTCAGATGCCAATGCAGTAGAATATTATGTTAGTCATAGTGTTAAATTTGACATGCTTGAACGCTATTACAAGTATCTGACATTTGAGACATTTTCGTAGTACATGCAAGAAGACCCATACACTACTGCTCCTTATCCTGGCTGGGGATATGCTATGCAAACTCACTCTATACAATAATGTCCTCAATGTCATTAAATAGCATGCGGCCAGACAGAAGGACATGATACCAAAGTGTCAGTACATGTCAGTGGTGAGCCAATAATCTCGAAGATTGTTTCTAAACTTACCATTTTCCACAGCGCCTGCATCATAGGCTATGATAGTGATTAGCCGTTGATCACATGATGTCATGGGATCGACAACTGATCACTATCTAGTACAGTTTTTGTCATCAGCAGACATACCACTCCTTCTAAAGGATTGTCAGACACTGTGAAAACAGGATAAGGACAAGACAACAGAAGAAGGAGCCGTGCTACATGTCATAAATGGTGAGCTCAAAGGATATATTCACAAATTTACTGTGGTCGGCGGTACCTGACCAATGTAGGCTGTGATATTGATCAGTCCTTGATCACATGATATCATGAGATTGACGACTGATCAATACCACATATATACAGTATGACCGTAGAGTTGTTTGTTTCTGGCTATCAGCATGTCGGACATGATACAAAGACTAAATGATAAAGGTGCATGCCATACTACATACATAGATTCATTTTTAATGTCTTTTTCTATAACAGGTACAGCAACTACTACCACTACCACTATGATTACAACATCAAATAATTGTAGTGTCACAACCACAACCACAACCAGTACAACCACCTCCACTACGAAGAATCGACAGAGGTCGGCGCAACGATTGCAGCGCAACCACATAGTCTTGCCACCACCCCTCAACAACTCAACGCCTAGGGTTGTTGACAGAGATGTTGACAATCCAGGTATCCCACATCCTGATAATGTCAGTGCCCCAGATTTCTGTGGGGTGGGGTATTTTATTCATGGTAAGTCCAGTACAGACCCATGACTTACGTGTTGGGATTGATCACTCTGGAAGGGATGATGTCTCAGTTTGCGTCAACGGTGTTTCAGGAAATGTATATAAGAAGTATGGTACATTTCAAGAGGCTATTGTGAAGTACAGGCGGAACTATTTGCTAAACCGCCTGCATGCTGTTCCTAGGCCTGGAGGGCCGGTTGTCATGCACCAAAGTTGATTGGTAGCATGGACAGGTGTCAATAACGAAGCAAAATATTCAAAAAAGACTAGCCTTTGCGCCACACAGGCACAGTGCCACATGGAATAGTAATTAATATTGCCTTTTTCGAACTTGTGGCTGATCAGCACCACCTCTATTAGGCAATCCCAGTCACGCTCACCTTTGCTTTTCCATTAGGTACTTTCGGCATTTCGGCATTTCGGCAAATTTTCGCGTCGCCACTGGCTACACATTGCATTGCACCCTCGCTTTTGTCGTTTCTCTTACTCCCCTTCCTTTGCCTAGCCCCACCATGGGCCCCTTCCTCTCCTTTTTATTCTCACCCGACAGTCGTTTCTGGATCCCCATTCTAATCCACTTTTTCGTCACCTCCACCCTCCTCCTCCTCATCTTATTTGCACCCCCACCATTTCTGATGTCACCACTTCCTATCCGCTTCCGTCGCCAATCCATTGACTACCACGTGCCACTGCTGATATCAGCAAAGCCCCGGCGGCTGGTCCAAATAGGGCAACAGGTCCATCTTCATGACGTCGATCTGCCATCATATACTATCAAAACATCGGTCGCTCGTCTTGCCTGGTTGGAGCGTGGGTGGGTAGTTTTTGAGCTGGAGAAGGTTCATCCCCTTGTGTCACCCATGTTCATCGCTGTCCCATTCACTTGGGTACACTTATCTTTTGTCCATCGTCTTTGCTACAGCTACACCTACCACACGCTGCCTGGGACTCACTTGTTCCAAATTGGAACTACTCCTCTCCCTCCCTCGTTTGATCAGGTGGTCCAACACAACCAGTCCATTGGTAAGGCCATGGAACTGTCGGATTTGGACTAGGTGGTGGACCGGTGGCTCCAGTTTCTTTTTCTTCAGCAGAACATTCATTTACAGTGCGATTATTTTTGATTTTTGAATCATTTTTATGGACACATATTTTTTAGAATGTCTGACTGACAATAAAGGAACTGTGTTGATACTGATAGTGTTTTGCCTTGCCCTTTTTTTACTGCATCTTCCCATGACATCATGATTTTCCTACTCTCTTTTTGCTATTGGACTTTACTTTATGGCTGTACAAACCTGTGACATTACTCACAGCATTCATTGTTCTATCCCTTTCTTTTCCTTTTTTGACAATCTTATCCTGTACTACCTACGCAGGATTTGTCAGCGTACATTCCTTCCTTCATGTTCTTTCTCATTCTTTTTGCACAGCTATACTGTGCATAGCCTACTTTTCTTTTACTATATAAACCCCTGTATTTTACCTTGTAAAACAAGAACTCCAATCCAGACTTCTTCTCTAATCTCAAGTTCACTACTCTCTGCTACTTGTGATCCAGTGTGGTCACAACACTTCCCACTGCTACCACTGTCAACTGCTGTCATCATCACTTCCCACTTTTGAAGTTATTGTCATCCCTTTCGATTAGAGTCCTTCTGAGCACTACAGTTTGTGCGTCAGGAGCCTGCTATCACTGGGAACGTCATCATATTGTCATTCTTAAACCTACCTTGTGCTACGATTAGCAAGGTAGTGCTCGTCTATACTCGCCACAAAGCCCCTATCTTTCTATATTCCAACTATCCCTCCTCTTCAAAACCCACACCCATACATCTCTGGGTTTTACTTTGAAGGATCCTCATACATACCACACCATGAACAACCAGAGCACCCACTGTTCTAGGAGGCAAAGCCCATAAACAAGTTCTGTGGAATCTGGGAGGATTGTGTGTTAGTTTGTTTTTGTGTGTGGTTTCTAACAACAGTTCTCATCATCGACACCGTTCTGGCCGAGGGATCCATATCCCCCACAAGACCCACAAGACGCAAGCTCGGAGTCTTCGAGTACAGATCTGTGGAGCGAGCTGGAGGATCTCTTGGTAGAATTTTGCCAGGTGGTTCTAGATTAATCTATATGTAATCTGTAGCATACAGGCCTGCCGCTTTCCTTCAGAAATATATCTGATGTGTCATTTAAACTTAGGAAAATTCATATTTTTACAACTTAGCATAGATACGGCCAATGTAGGAATGGTAGGCAATCATTCACAAATTTATTGTCATCACCACTATATCAAATGAAACTACACATTAAGGCAACCCCAGCCGGCTTCTGTATTCAGAGATCAATGCATCTTTTTCTGCAAGGTCAACCTGTTGTCTAGCTAACTCAGCCTCTGCCCGTTCCTTAGACTGATTAGCTTCCGAGAGTTTTTGCGACAACTCGATGGCATCGGTTCGCCGAGCATTCTGAAGGTTGTTGATAGTGTCAGCAAATGAGTTCACAATCTGGTTAGTGTCAGCCTTGGCCTCACGATGCAAGCGAGGAGATGTGTAGTGGATAAAATGGACATTGGCCTGGGGATGCTGGGCTGCTAAAAGCAGCCAGCAATTTGTTCCGTGCAAGAGACGTTTGGCCTGTCAGTAGAGCACATTAGCAAGGGATGATAAGTGAGCAACAAGATACCTTACACGCACAACCAGATCCTCCATGCATCTTGCAAACCGTGCAGATGCTTGTTTTGATGTCATCAAAAAGGGTCTGAGCTGTGTGGTACGTAGAATAGCTTGATATAAAAGATTTTGTCAACTACAAATTAGCACAAAATATGAATCACTCACGCCAATCACTCGCACCTCTCTTTGCTCCCTCAACGCAACCATAAAGTGGGTTTTTCAGGCTGATTCAATGGCGGTTTTGGCGAGTTCCCGTATAGCTACTGTGTTACGATAACACAATTTCCGCACATTTCCTTTCTTTTCATTCTCCGCTTTAACTTTGTACTTTAGCTTTCGCACATGGCGCCACGCGGCATTTCCCCTTTTTGTTCTAAACTCCTCTTTCTCGCGCCGCGTTGCCTTTTTTCTTATTTTAGATTCTACTCTCTCACGCAGTGGAGCTGGCCATACGGGCTAGGCCCTATGACATCATCAGCCACTGCCTCTATCAACTGTATAGTACATATGTACAAACAAACCTGTAGTAGTATATATACCCCAATAAATCCAGGAGACTCCTCAGCGAGTCCTCCTGTTGTTAACCAACAAACTCTCTGCAGCTCAAGGGGTAACCACTCCCTCACCATCTTCCTTATAGTGTGTTTCTGTGTGCGCCAGAGTAACTAACTCTTGGTTGTTACATTAGGACTCGCTCTTTCTACTCTCTCGCACATTTGTGCAAAAAGTCCCACTGGGCACCCGGACTCCAGGGTGAAGGAGATTGGTTATTGGTTGGAAATATCCCGCATAGCAGATAGGTGCGCTCTTTGCGACGGCCTTGTAGTGCTTTGGGAGAAGAACCAAAACTGTTGATACGCGGCCTCCAGCGTTAAGGGGAGTACTTAGCTCAGCAGTCGGTGTGGAACCTCTGTTGATTAGATTTTAAAAATACAAACTTCTTCTTCAAATACCTCTGACCAGGCCGGGCACTTGCCTCCGCCAGTTGGAGAAGGGTTGACAGCTTAACAAGTGGACCACCCCCTGACAACCGTTCGGACCAGGGTTTCTTACGAATAACTTTTATATACTTTCCAAATACTATAGTGTGGGTAGTCGGAGATTGAGATCCGATACTCAGCTGGGAAGAGGTTGATCCGCGGATAGCAAGCGGGGACCCCCAGTTACCTTTTTTTACTTTACAAAGAGAACAAGTCGACATGTTGTCGCAACCAGATATGAATGCGTTGCTGCACGCTATGCGTACGCAGATCGCAACATTAACCTTGCAACTCGCCGAGCTACAGACAAACCCCCCTGTAGCAAACCCCTCAGTGGAAAAGAAATTCAACAAGAAAGTCAAAATCATTGCTGACCCCGGCGCCTTTGAAGGAGACAGAGCGCAATTTGCCGAGTGGTGGATCAAGCTTCAGATTTGGGTCAAGGCAAACTGGGACGTGTTTGCCGACAATTTTGAGGTAGCCACTGCGGTGCTATCTCGACTAAAAGGACCTGTGGCGGGTCAATACGCCCAAGTAAGACTTCAGGAGTGCTACACTACGGGAGTGTGGCCAACCTGGGAGGATCTCAAGAAGGAGATCAAAAAATACTTCAAACCACAAGCTGAGCGTGACTGGGCGCGTCAGCAAATCCGTTCCTTCAAACAAGGAAACATGAGGACGGATGATTACGTCACCAAGTTCCTGGCCCTTTCCATCCAAGGAGGGCTTGGAAATGAACATGCAGTGGAACTGCTAGAACGCAATGTGAACCCTCGCATTGCAGAGCAGATCTACCTGCAAGATACGAGGAACGAGAACTTGTCCCTAGCAGCCGAGGAAGTACATCGAGTCGGTAGAGCCATGGAGCTTTACCAGATGCACCAAGGTGGCGGGTCCACCACCAGTAACAACGAATCCCAGAGGCGCCCTGGGTCATCAAACCAATATAAACATTCTCACGGGTTCAAGCCGTTTGGGCTGCAACCAGGGCAGGGAGCCCCCATGGATATTGGCGCGGTCCAAGAGGGACAGATGCGCAGATTCAAGGGGAACTGCTGCAATTGCGGCCAAAAGGGGCACATGTCTCGAGACTGCAGAAAAGGAGTGCAGGCCGCTCAACAAAAAAATAATCAAGGGCGCCAGGCGCGCCAATTAGAAACCGAAACACCGGACGATCAGCTCCTGACTCTGGCCGGTCGTTCGTACGACGAAATCCGGGCCTTCTTTTACGATCAGCAAACTGCAGAAATGAAGGTCCAGGGAAAAGAGTTCAGAGCTTAGGTCACTTGGGTGCCTTCGCTCCATGAAACAATGAAGTAAACCACAACAAAGTGGCCCCTGCTCCGGGGTGTTGCACAAGCAATAACGGAAAGACGGGGATGGCTCCCCAATTTGTAAATAGATTCTTAAGTTTGTTATCAGAAGTATGTACTTGTATGAGGCAATGTGACTGTAATATAAATGAAACTACCGCTGCACCGGCGTCTCCCTTGGAGCGTGGCCCCGGTGAGATAAACACTAGGGTGCTTGATTCTGGTAAAAATAAAATAGAAAAACATGTATCTTTCGATTTTTCTTCTTCTTTGGAGCCACCCTTTCCCGAAATCCCAAGGCGTGTGTTGATGTGCACGTATTTATTCCAAAAAGAGATCTGTTTAGATGTTGGTGTGGAAAACCTTGCCCGGGGCATAGTACACCCAACTAGCGCACTGCTTGATTCAGGCGCTAACGGAATCTTCATAGATCAGGTCTGGGCGGAGCAAATTGGACTCCCCCTTGTAAAATTAGATGTATCTATTCCCGTCTATCACGTTGACGGTAGGCTTAACGCGGGTGGCTGCATCACGCACAAATGTTCTTTTGTTGTCAAATACCAAGGACACAGAGAACGAGTCACTGCCGAAGCTACCCAACTAGGGAAGATTAATTTAATCTTAGGCTGGACCTGGCTATTTAAACACAATCCTGAGATTGACTGGCAAACAGGGGTTGTCACATTGTCACGTTGCCCTCAGGAGTGTGTAAACTTGGGTAAACCGAATCATGTCCGTCACAATGAACGTCTTGAGAAGATAAACGCTAGTCATGTTTATGAGCTCAGATCTTTAGAAAAGATCGACAATGATGATGATGAGGTAAAACCTGAAGAAGAGATCAAGAGGCTGGTACCTCCCGAGTACCATGACTTCTGGAAAGTCTTTTCTAAACACAAATCAGAGAGTTTCCCAGAGGCCAAGCCTTGGGACTATGCTATAAATTTGAAAGACACCTTCAAACCGAGAAAAGGACACATGATACCACTCTCTGCTCCAGAAAGAGATGAGGTATCAAGTTTCATAGACGAACAGCTTAGGAAGGGTTACATCAGACCTTTCAAAAGCCCTATGATGTCCCCAGTGTTCTTCATTCCTAAGAAGGATGCTAAGAAGCGCATGATTATGGACTATCGCTACGTGAATGAGCACACAGTTAAAAATGCGTATCTGCTGCCTTTGATCAGTCAGCTAGTAGACAAATTGGCTGGCGCCAAGATCTTGACAAAGATGGATCTCAGATGGGGGTACAATAATGTACGAATCAAAGAGGCAGATGCTTGGAAGGCCGTGTTCACGTGCCACCGAGGATCCTTTGAACCCCTCGTCATGTTCTTTGGGTTGACCAATTCACCGGCGACCTTCCAAAGCATGATGAACAAGATTTTTGCGGATATGGAAAACTGTGTCGTCATTTATATTGACGATTTGTTAATATTTACGAAGTCGGACGATGAGGCTGAGCATGACAGGATCGTGCAAGAATTCCTTCAACGCTTACAGGAACGGGACCTATTCATCAAACCCGAAAAATGTAATTTTAAAGTAAAGGAAGTAGACTTCCTCGGTATGATCATAGGCCAGAACGGAATCAGGATGGATCCTGAAAAAGTTCAAGCTATCTTGGATTGGCCCGAACCTACTTGCGTCAAAGGAGTTAGGGCTTTCCTTGGCTTAGGCAATTTCTACCGAAGGTTTGTCGAAAACTTCACTAAAATCACAAGACCGTTGAACGATCTCACTAAAAAGGACATTGTTTGGCACTGGGGCGCCAAGGAACAAGAAGCTTTCGATAAGCTTAAACAGGTGTTTACAACGGCGCCCATATTAGCATTTCCAGAATTAGACAAAGAGTTCCGGCTAGAAACCGACTCTTCTGATTTTGTCGCCTACAGAGCGCAACTATCAGATTTATGATAAAGAGATGCTGGCCATCATCAGAGCCTTAGAGCACTTGCGGCACTATTTAGAAGGTGCTAGACACCAATTTGAAATTTGGACCGATCATAAGAATCTAGAGTATTTTATGACGGCCTGAGACTTGAACTGAAGACAAGCCTGCTACGCGGTATACTTGTCAAGGTTTCATTATAAATTAATTCATAAGCCTGGAAGCTCTATGGGGAAAGCAGACACTTTGTCCAGAAGAGAGGATCATGCCAACGGCATCGAAGATGATAACAAAGGTGTTACCCTGATAGACCAATCAAGGGTTGCCAATGTTAGAATTGGGCAGGATTCCGATCTTCTGGAAGTTTTCAAGAAAGACATCTCCTCAGAAGAGAAGGCGCGCCTTGACGGCAATGAAAACTATTTATGGGAAGACGGGCTCCTCCATTTTAAAGACAAAATCTATGTGCCTGAGTCCGCAAGGATCAAGGCAATAGATAGACATCACGACACTCCAGTGGCTGGGCACCCTGGGTGGCAATGAACAATGGAGTTGATCTCCAGAAACTACATGTGGCCTGGCATGGTCAAAGACGTACAGGAATATGTAAAATCCTGTCTGAGATGTGCCATGGCAAAGAATTCTCATCAACCGCCAGCCGGTAAGCTTATGCCAAATCTGATACCAGCTGGTCCCTGGCAGGATATATCGGTTGATTTCACGACAGATCTGCCCGAGTCAAATGGGTATGATTCAGTAATGGCGGTAGTCGATCACTTCTCCAAAGAAATGGTGTTCATACCTACCAATAAAACCATTACCGCTGCCAGTACAGCAGATCTATTTAAAGATTTTGTATGGTCTATCCACGGACTGCCGGAAATGGTTATCTCCGATAGAGGACCTCAATTTGCTAGTGAATTTACGAAAGAACTATGCCGGATGCTGGGCATCAAATCTAAGTTATCAACGGTGTTCCATCCGCAAACTGATGGACAAATGGAGAGACTCAACCAGGAGTTGAAGCAGTATCTCCAGATATGTATTAATGATAGACAGACGGATTGGGCCAAGTGGCTAAAAATAGCCCAGTTCTCATACAATATCAAACAGTTGTCGGCTACAGGAAAGGCACCATTCGAGGTTACTAGATCGTACCTCCCCAGAATGGGTGTAGAACCTGGCAAAAGCAAGAACGAGGCTGCAGGGAACATAGCAAAAGACATGAAGTCTGTCTTAGACGAAACGCGCAAAGCGCTATTTAAAACTGCAGAGCAGATGAAAGACAGGGCAGAGTGTAGACGCTCTAAGGCCCCTGATTACAAGGTCGGCGACCTGGTCTGGTTAGATACCGACCACTTAAAATTACAAGATCGGCAGTCTAGAAAACTGACCGGAAAATGGATTGGCCCTTACCGAATTAAGGAAGTCAAACCCAACGCGGTGGAGCTGGAACTCCCAAAACAAATGAGGGTAGTACCCACGGTCAATATTAGCCATGTGAAACCCTACAAGGGACCGCTGCCGGGACAGCGTGTAGACCGGCCTGGACCGGTTGTAGTCACCCAGGAAGGTGAAGAGGAATTTGAAGTCAAACGGGTGGTAGACGCACGCTTGAAGCGTGGAAAATTAGAGTTCCTAGTCCTATGGAAGGGCTATGGAGACGAGGACAGAACGTGGGAACCAGATGCCCATCTGGATAACTCCCGCAACGCTGTTCGAGAATTTTATTCCAAGAATCCCTCAGCTCCTAGGAAGCTTAGAGGCATGGATTTGAAACTTTTTAATTCCGTTTTTCAACCTATGGCCGAAAATTTTACCACTACCTCCGGTATTTGGTCTCGCCTGGAAGTCAAGCCTTAGAAGGGGGGTAGTGTTACGATAACACAATTTCCGGACATTTCCTTTCTTTTCATTCTCTGCTTTAACTTTGTACTTTAGCTTTCGCACATGGCGCCACGTGGCATTTCCCCTTTTTGTTCTAAACTCCTCTTTCTCGCACCGCTGTCGATGATGAGAACTGCTGTTAGAAAACCACACACAAAAACAATCTAACACACAATCCTCCCAGATTCCACGGAACTTGTTTATGGGCTTTGCCTCCTAGAACAGTGGAGTGGTCTGGTTGTTCGTGGGGTGGTACATATAAAGATCCTTCTAAGTAAAACCCAGAGGTGTATGAGTGTGGGTTTTGAGGAGGAGGGATAGTTGAATTTATAGAAGATAGGGGCTTAGTGATGAGTATAGATGAGCACTACTTTGCTAATGGTAGCACAAGGTAGGTTTGAGAACGATGAGGATGACGAGGTGACGAGGTTCCCAGTGATAGCAGGCTCCTGACGCACAAACTGTAGTGCTCAGAAGGACTCTAATTGAAAGGGATAACAATGACTTCAAAAGTGGGAAGTGACGATGACAGCAATTAACAGTGGTAGCAGTGGGAAGTGTTGTGACCACACTGGATCACAAGTAGCAGAGAGTAGTGAACTTGAGATTAAAGAAGAAGTCTGGATTGGAGTTCTTGTTTTACAAGGTAAAATACAGGGGTTTATATAGTAAAAGAAAAGTAGGCTATGCACAGTATAGCTGTGCAAAAAGAATGAGAAAGAACATGAAGGAATGTATGCTGACAAATCCTGCGTAGGTAGTACAGGATAAGATTGTCAAGAAAGGAAAAGAAAGGGATAGAACAATGAATGCTGTGAGTAATGTCACAGGTTTGTACAGCCATAAAGTAAAGTCCAATAGCAAAAAGAGAGCAGGAAAATCATGATGTCATGGGAAGATGCAGTAAAAAAAGGGCAAGGCAAAACACTATCAGTATCAACACAGTTCCTTTATTGTCAGTCAGACATTCTAAAAAATATGTGTTCATAAAAATGATTCAAAAATCAAAAATAATCGCACTGTAAATGAATGTTCTGCTGAAGAAAATGAAACTGGAGCCACCAGTCCACCACCTAGTCCAAATCCGACAGTTCCATGGCCTTACCAATGGACTGGTTGTGTTGGACCACCTGATCAAACGAGGGAGGGAGAGGAGTAGTTCCAATTTGGAACAAGTGAGTCCCAGGCAGCGTGTGGTAGGTGTAGCTGTAGCAAAGACGATGGACAAAAGATAAGTGTACCCAAGTGAATGGGACAGCGATGAACATGGGTGACACAAGGGGATGAACCTTCTCCAGCTCAAAAACTACCCACCCACGCTCCAACCAGGCAAGACGAGCGACCAATGTTTTGATAGTATATGATGGCAGATCGACGTCATGAAGATGGACCTGTTGCCCTATTTGGACCAGCTGCCGGGGCTTTGCTGATATCAGCAGTGGCACGTGGTAGTCAATGGATTGGCGACGGAAGCGGATAGGAAGTGGTGACATCAGAAATGGTGGGGGTGCAAATAAGATGAGGAGGAGGAGGGTGGAGGTGATGAAAAAGTGGATTAGAATGGGGATCCAGAAACGACCGTCGGGTGGGAATAAAAAGGAGAGGAAGGGGCCCATGGTGGGGCTAGGCAAAGGAAGGGGAGTAAGGGAAACGACAAAAGCGAGGGCGCAATGCAATGTGTAGCCAGTGGCGATGCGAAAATTTGCCGAAATGCCGAAATGCCGAAAGTACCTAATGGAAAAGCAAAGGTGAGCATGACTGGATTGCCTAATAGAGGTGGTGCTGATCAGCCACAAGTTCAAAAAAGGCAATATTAATTACTATTCCATGTGGCACTGTGAATATTCGCTTTGTTATTGACACCTGTCCATGCTACCAATCAACTTTGGTGCATGACAGCGGTCATGCACTATCTACAAGCTGACTGGTGCCCTTACTTCTACTATTGAAGTACAGCCATGTCCATCCTGTCCAAGGTGTTTCATTGGGCCAGATTTACAAGAATCAGGCCTTTTCAATTTCAATAATCATTTGGTCTTCACGCATGACCTCCTTGACGAATACACAAGTGCATTCAGCAAGCTATAGTAGATCATAAAACACGTGGCGACTTGCGCCGTATCATATCCAGCTGCTTCTTGTGTTCAAAGGCCAGCCCCGAAAACAGTGTGGACGTCGATGATGTCAGTGATTCAAGTGCAGGCATTCAGAGCAGTGGCGAATCTCATGAAGAGGGTACTGACACTCTGTTGAAATGGATGGACGAAATCCCTGAAATCTTCGCCCGGCTTCAAACGGTTAACACGGCACAAGCACAACTATTCCTTTCTCACTTTGGTTCTCTGTCCTCAAAGGGCTACCCCCCAAGCGTGTACCGAAATCTTTTTATGCAAGCAAGTATTCATATTGTTATTTTGTCTGCCGAAGCGGTTTGTTCTAATTTTTGCATGGATAATAGCTTACTGCGGAAGAATCTATCTTGCAAATGATAAACAGGTCGGCTCAATATAATGTCTACAAATTTCTTCTATCACCTGGCACAGACTATGTCGTGTTTGGTTGGGATACCAAGTGTATATGATGTTCGTAGGTACCACGATGTCAGAAAAGAGGGAGGTTTATCCCCCAGACATGATATCTTTGTGCTTTTGGCTTTACGAACGAGCATGGGAAGTATTAAAGAAGCTGTTGGCCAAGGAAGCACCCCTAGCTGATAATGTGAGGGCTGCCAGTGAACGGAATGACTCTGGCTCACATTGGCAAAAAGTAAGGTTTTTTTTTGTATTCTACAATGGGCCGTCATAGTTCTAATGTATTCAGACTGGGTGTTTGTACAGCATGCCGCAAATTCAGTCTCGACCACAGTATCCTCACCTCAAGTATGATCTTTGCAGTGAGCCTGGTGGACGCTGTGGAGACAAGTGCTCAAAGTATTATTCCCAGTATGGCGAGCAACGCTTAACTGGAGGAATAATGTGCGCTTGGTGTACCCATAGCATATGCTATGGGTTCCACTGTATCCCGCGAGGAGAAGGCCGCAATGATGTTTTCTCGGCCATTGTTACACGCTGGCCTAAAGCTCCCAAAGTGGTCGTGTACGACTTCGCATGTGCACTGGGACCATATTGCTTGACGCGTGAGCTGGAATTTTTTGCAGATACTCTTTTCGTCGTTGACGGTTTCCATGCTAGAGGACATATAAAATGTTCTCGTGCTGCCTTTCTCACAACTTATGCCAATGCAGATCCTCGGCTGGCACAGATTAATTTGAGTGCTGCAGAATGTGGTAACAGTGCTTTGAAACAAATCCGTGAGTTACATGTCGCAGGATCATGCAATCCTGTACACAAAGGTTTTCCTATCAATCTGGAATCGTCTGAAGGTCCGCAAAATGCGGGGTATTATTAGGTCTACTACTGCTTATCCCAATCTTTGGAAACTCATGATTTGATTTTCTAACATGCATAGTTCTCGTAGACGTTATGACTAGTTGTCATTAAATTGCTATGCATATGATTGCAATGATTATGCTACAGTGATTTTATTCCTAGCGTAAGAGATACTAGCAACAGTGGTAAACGGAGTATGTACGTCGTACCATAGCTAGTGCTGTATACGGCACGCAAGGCAAGACCAGTCATTCGTCGCCTGCCCCGGATGACGGTGAGAGTGGCTTACGTATGCGAGCAGAGATGTGACTTTGTGCGAGGTCGAGACGGTCGTTGGACGATGAGTGGGTGGATACTGTGGAGTGTGTTGTCGAACACAGCGAGGTGAGTGTCCGACTGCTACGGGTGACTGCCACTGACGAGAACAGAGTCTCGACTGTCCTCCAGATTCTGCTCTATCTCCCCCTCACCCTCGCCACCCTCTCCACCCCCGCATTCCTCCTCCTCTCCCTCCTCCTCTCCACCCACTCCCTCATACATGGCTCCCTCCTCCTCCTCTTCAACTCCCCCGCCCTCTCCGTCCTCCAGGTACCCATGCACCCCTTCCTCCTCCTCCTCTCCTTCAACGCATTCGCACAAGCTCTCCCCCACAAAGCACTCCCAACCCTCACCGCCTCCTGGGGCTCCATCCTCAGCGTCGCAGGCCCCCTCTTCATCACCATGGAAGGCCTCTCCAGTCTCCTCGCTGCCCAAAAGCTAGGCCAGAAGGGCACCCAGCTCGCAGACGAACGGGAGGGCTACCAGTTTGCCTTGTTGATCGCATCCGCAGCAGCCTATGTCGTCGCCGCCTGGTGGATCGTCGTCGTCAGTACCTCTCTTTCTGTTCTCGCCTTTTTAGGCTGATCGCGTGCAGGCCTACCCGCTGACCGCCTCCACGCCCCTCGCCTCCACCTTTCTCGGCGTCGCCTTGACCGCCTTCATCTTCCTCTCCCTCATCGGCTTCGCCCTCCGCCGCACAAACATCATCGAGTCCTCCGTCCTCGCCCTCTTCCTCGCCTACAACGTCTGGCTCGCCGGCTTTCACAGGGTCTCCTTTCCCGATACCGCGTCCTCCTAGTGCGTTCCTTTCTCTTTGTCTTTTCGGTGATCGTGGTGTGTCATGACGACGGCTGACGAACGACCCCCCAGCGCCCCCCTCCTCTCCAACATCCTCCCCCACCTCCAAACCCTCCTCAACTTTATCACAAACACCCTCCCAAAACCCGTCCTCATCGCCCTCCTCTACAGACTCGCCGTCCTCCACTTTGCGTCCCGCATTCTGCCCACCATCGGCGCGGACAGCTGGGCGCTGGAGAGCGAGGGCGACGAGGGCGGGTGGGCGGATGCCAGGCCGGTGAGTGTGCTCCCTTTTTTGCTGTGGGATGGATGCGGGCTGATGGCGTGGGGCAGACGTCGATCTTGACGCGCGTGTTGTTGACCTATAGACAGCTGATTTTCGTCATGGTCTATTCGCATTTGCTGCGTGAGTGCCTTGTTGTCGTTTGCGGCGGTGTGCTCATGGGCGTTCCATCTCGATTTTAATTTTCATTTTCATTGTCACACGTGCCTACGATCCCTCGCCTTTGAACGTCATAAACAAACTCGAACGAAATGTCACCCATTCCTTTGACGACATCAACGAACGACGACAGTCCTAGACCCCTCCTCCCAGATCTGGTGGAGGTGGATGAACATCTTCTTCACCCTCGTTCTCTGGTCCGTCGAGCTCCTCGTCGGGGGCGAGGGCGATGAGATGGGGAAGTGGAAGGTGGAGTGAGTGGGCGTGGGTGTGGGGTAAGGGTGGGATACGAGGTGGGATATGTGGGGATGGGGTGATGGAGGAGAGATGGGAGTGAAGTGGGGGGAGGAGTGAGAGGGGTGGGATGGATGGAACGAGGGAGATGTCACACAGCACGGCATCATCATGCATACACTCTAGAAAAACAGACGATCCAACGACTTTCTGCCTTGCCACCATCGTCTCAGCGTCCAACGGTCCGCCCTTCTCACATCCGACAAGACACACGCCGAGTCACCGCGATCATGATGACGATGACGATGATAAAGTGACCGTGGATGCTCTATTAGAAAATATATTTCTTGTACATTTCTTTGTCCCCCTTGTTTGTTTGTTGAATACATCGGTTGAGAGGACTTGTAGGGTGTGGATACAGAGTAGACTAGTGCCTAGAAACGTTTGCGCGTGTATGCGTGTGTAGATGATGTGGTGAGTGAGTATATACGCCAGCCCCCCTTCCCTCCTCTTTCCCCCTTTCCCATTCCCCAACTTCACCCCACCTAACACACATTCGCCTTCCACTCCGCCGCCTCCGCCGCCTCCCCCTCATAATACTCCCTCTTCCAGATCTGAGCCCTCATCTTGACCTGCTCCAATATCTCCTCGCACGCTGCGAACGCCTCGCGCCGGTGCGGTGAGGACACGGCGATCACGATGGAGGGCTGCCCGACGGGGACGGGGCCGAGGCGGTGGTGCAGGATGGTGTGCAGGAGGAGCGAGGGGGGTGGCGGTGGTGACGCCGACGCCGTGAGGGCCGAGGGTGATGTGGATGGCGGCGGGGGAGGAGGGGGAGGAAGGGGCGCGTGCGACGAGGGAGAGCGTCCCGCCGCCGATGCGCCGACCTGAGCCGCTTGTATGATCTCCGTCATCGTCTTGATCGCGAGCTTGGAGTAGGCTTGGTACTCGAGTTTGACGACGACTTTGCCTGTGGGGGGGGGGGGTCAGTCATTCGTCCGATGTGAATCATATTTTTGGGGGCGGGAAATAGAGTATAGAGAATGGGTGGGTCGGGTGTGCATCGTGATCGCACATGATCACATCGCAGGATCGGTGGGGTGGTGGACGGAGGTGGGGGTTGCGTGCGTGATAACGCCCGGGGTTTATCATCACCACCATCCACCATCGAACCACACCCCACCCCACCCCACACCACCCACCCAGCACCCCCACACCCACTCACTCGGCACAAAACAACGCACCTTTGAACGAATCCCGCGTCGTGCCGATGAAGACGGCGGTAGCGCCCGCGCCGTCGTCGCCCACGGAGCGGATGATGGCGTCGACGTCGAGGGGGGCGTAGGTGAGCACGCACGTCCCGCCCGGGAAGCTGTGGGAGGCGGCTGTGGACGTGCTGGGCGGGCTGAGGGGCGCGGACATCGTGGGGCGGAGGTGAGAGGGCTCGCAGGCGGAGGCGCGCGCTACATACTACATACACTTATCCGAGCCGCTGTGACCCAGTCTGTACTCAAGTAGGATATCCATGCATCTGGTGCACGGTAACTGGCTGGGATCACGCTCTTTTCTGCCGAGTGTCAGTGCATGTAGAGGTATGTCGTTCATGTGCTCATGAGTTGCAAGACGTTACAGTAAAAACTTGATGATATAACCATCCGAATGTCTAGTACCAGCAAACACACTTCTCACCCACACGCCTTCTGACAACTTGCCAGGTCAACCTCATAGCTATCTCTGTTAAGAATGTCAAGTCGGGTGGAACCTACAGATCAGGATGTCGATAGTGGTATGCCCCCATACTCCAACGCTTCTCTCCCCCCGTCTAGCTCACTTCGCAGATATCAGACGACGATCAGCCCACTACACCCAACGCCCTCCCATTCGACGATGCCACTCAGCTCTCCGCCCTCGCAGATTCTCTCCTCGCGCGTTTCGGAGAGCATGGCGACAGGAACGACCTCGAGAACGCGATCGCGCACTACGTCACCGCATTAGAATCACGCGGTCCCAGCCATCCAGACTACCCCACATCGCTCGCCCAGCTCGCAGGTGCCCTCAGGACGCGATACGAGCAGGAGGGCAGCCCTGAAGACCTGGACTACGCCATCGAGTCCCACACCCTTGCCATCGAGCTCATGTCCCCCACCAACACTCTCCTCCCCTCCTCCCTCATCGGCCTCTCCATCGCACATATCATCCGCTTCGAACGGCAGGGCAATTTCGACGATCTCGATTGTGCATTCGGCTTTGGCCGGCGTGCATTGGCGCTGTGTCCGCCCGGCCATCGCCTCCGCGCAAGCGTGTTTGGAGACTTGGCAAATGCGCATTTGGTTAGGTATTGGCAGAGGGGCGATCCAGGTGACTTGGATCGCGCCATCGAGAACCATGCGAGCGCGGTGGAGAGCCGCCTCCCCACCCAGCCTCCACGCTTCTCCGCACTCGTCAACTTCGCCAATGCGCTTCTTACGCGCTTCGATGAGCGGGGCGACGCTGCAGACCTTGATGGCGCGATTGCGCACTTTGCAGGCGCTGAAGAGGTATGTGGGGAGGACAATCCGAGTAAGAGCATGGTGTTGATGAATCTTGCGAACGCGCTCACGAATCGGTTTGAGAGTAGAGGTGATATGAGGGATTTGGATTGTGCGATTGGCAGGTTCGAGGGTGCGCTGAGGATGTGTAACAGCGGACATCCGAATCGCCCCATGGTGCTTATAGACCTGGCGAGTGCGCTCATGAACCGGTTCAAGCAGAGGAGCGAGATGGCAGACCTGGACGGGGCGATCGGGCATCTCGACGATGCGCTAGAGTCGTGTGCGAGGGAACATCCGAGGAGGGATTTGGTGTTTTCAAACCTGGCGAGTGCGTTCTTGGTTCGGTTCGGGCAGCGCGGGGATTTGGCAGATTTGGATAGCGCTATTCAGCGGCACGAGGATGCGCTTGAGCTGAGGCTTCCTGGTCATCCCCTCCGCTCACCGTCTCTCACCAGCCTCGCCGATGCCCTCAGGGTGCGGTTTGAGCAGAAAGGCGATCCTGGGGACCTCGATAAGGCGATTGAATATCACGAGGAGGCACTTGAGATTCTTGCAGAAGGACATCCCTCGCGTCCATCGTCACTCGTCAGTCTTGCCAATGTCCTGCTAGTGCGGTTCAACGAGCAAGGCGACCTTCGCGACCTTGATGTCGCCATCGGACATTACAGTCGTGCCGTAGCAACGTGTCCTCCAGGTCCAAATCTCCAGTCGTCACTTGGGAACTTTGCAACAGCGTTGATGACGCGTTATTCAAGGAGGGGCGACTTTGAAGATCTGGAAGAGGCTATTAGCATTTATAGTAACACTGTTTTGGTTTATCCCAAAGGCCATACGGAGCATCCCATGTCGCTCATGCACCTAGCAGAGGCGCTGGTGGAACGGTTCAGGCATCGGGGTGATGTTCGGGATTTAAACACGGCCGTCGAACATTATAAAAGCGCGCTGGTGCTCATTCCTACGGGCCACCACCATCGCGTATCCGCTCTTGGTGAACTGGCAAACGCTCTTCTGGACCGGTCTGAGCAGGGGTGTGAGATGGGCGATCTTGATCTGGCAATCGTGTATTACAACAGAGCGCTGAATTTGTGTCCTCCCGGACATTCTCGGCGCGCCGCTTCGCTCGGGAACTTGGCAAATGCGCTTCTGCGACGATACCATCAGCAAAACGACTTTGAAGACCTGGAATTGGCAATCAACCACTACCACAGTACGCTGGAGCTGTCCCTGCGAGGTCACCATGGGCATGCGATGACGGTCATGAACCTCGCCAGTGCACTCTTGATGAGATTTAAGAGTCTGGGGGACGTGGATGACCTTGGCGGAACGCTGTCACACCTGGAAGATGCAAAAAGCTGTCTGGAGGACGGACACCCAGATATGTTCAACTTGTATGATCTCCTCTCCCGTGCTCATCTAACCCGATATTTAATCTCGGAAGATGTAAGCGATCGAGAAGAGGCATTTGCGTATAGGAGGCTGGCTACGACATATGTGACGGTGGGCAGCAAGAGGCGGCTCGACTCGTGTATGCAATGGATAGCAGATGCAGAGTGCTGGGGTCACACCTCGGCACTGGAGGCGTATAGAACTGCACTTGAGATTATTGACCGGCATGTCATGGCATCCTCATCGGTGCTCACACGCCACGAAGCACTGAGAGCAGTCAGGCAGTCGATCGCCTCTGACGCCGCGTCTTGTGCAATTCGTGATGGGAGGCTGGAGGAGGCGGTAGTGTTGCTTGAGCAGGGACGGGCGCTGCTGTGGGCGCAGCTTGCACGCTTCAGGACTCCACTCGACGAGCTGAGAAGTAGAGGAAATGATGGGAGGCGGCTTGCAGCTGAATTCGAGAGGCTGAGTAGGGAGCTGGAACAGACGAGTTCTGCATGGGAATCGCAAAGAGGCCAAGAGGGGGAATCGAGGTCGGTCATTGAGCAGCGCGCACGTCGCTTTCGCAGGCTGGGCCTTGAGTGGGAGGGCGTGGTAGAGGATATCCGTAGAGCTGAAGGTTTTTCGATGTTTTTGATGCCTACGCCATTTTGTGAGCTGCAGGAAGCAGCTGTGGGTGGGCCGATCATCATCGTCAACGTTGGGAGGTATCGTTGTGATGTCATTATCGTCCTTCGGTCCAGCCCCCCTCGACTTGTGCCCCTCCCGTTGATCACCTACCAAGATGTTTCGCAGCTATCGATAGAACTCACGACCGCGCTCAAGTCATCTACAGCTGTAGGCGAGGAGAAGATACGAGAGCAGCAAATCACTCGTGTTCTCAGAGGATTGTGGGATACCATTGTCCAGCCTGTTGTTGATGTACTGAGAAGCATGAAGGATGATGTCCCAAAAGGCTCTCGGATCTGGTGGTGTCCAACCTCGAAGCTTGCGTTTCTCCCGTTGCATGCTGCTGGGCCTTATAGAAACCGTGAAGCGAACCTGCCTCACCTTTTTGTTTCTTCGTACACACCTACACTGTCCGCACTCATTAGATCTAGACGGTCAAGGCGTAACATTTCTGATTCTCCCGCTCGCAGCTTTCTGGCAATCGGGCAGCCAAAGCCGTTTAATAGTAGCTATGAAAACGACTTGCAAACGGTTGATAGCGAGTTATTGACCGTTCGCGAGATAGTCTCTCCCGTGATGCCGTGTTCTTCTCTCGCTGGAATGAAGGCCACCGCCGAAGCTGTGATGAGCGGCATACAGGCGCATGGCTGGATTCACCTATCGTGCCACGGCAAACAGGATATGTTCCAGCCCTTTGATTCGATGTTCTCCTTGCAAGACCAGCCGCTGCGCCTTTTAGACATCATCCGTGCCAGAACCAAACCCACAGCAGACCAGCCGGAGTTTGCATTCCTATCTGCATGTCATACTGCTGCTGGGGATGAGAATACGCCGGACGAGGTGATCCACCTTGCTTCTGGAATGCAGTTTTCAGGCTTCAGGAGTGTGGTGGGGACGCTTTGGGCGGTTGATGATGGCGTTGTGGGAGCTGTTGTCGAGGGATTTTATAGACATCTCGTGAGGGATGGAATGGGATATACTCAAGCTGCTCGTGCATTGAACAGGGTGATGAAGACGGTAAATAGAAATGAGGTGCCGTTGGACCAACGGATTGTGTTCATTCATATTGGAGCGTAAGACCCAGATTGCGCGAAGGTACATATTGTGGGTGTCGGAAATTGGTGCGCTGATGAAGGAAGAGTTGCTATTTTCATAAATAGATGGAGGTCGGAAAGTAAACAAGGGGAGTGAGAAACGGATGACGGTGGAGAATATAACGAAATTTGGCAGTTGTGTCCATGAAAGAAACTTCTTGAACGATGGTCGCCCCAGTGACCGAGGATTTGAAAGAGTCCATGGTGATGATGATGATAAGCCAGTTCGGCGTGATCATGAGTTGAGTGCAATGTTAAACATAAAATAAAAGATGGGCAAGTCCGCACGCCGTCATTCATAATTGTAGTTTCCACTACTGACTATTTCCGTGGGTATCTCAATTCCTTCTCACCATCAAAAGTTTTAACTGACACATTCAAGAGCACCCTCAGATTATATGTTGCTTGGGTGACTCCTTAGTGTTTACGTCGAGCTTCGAGCCCGCTACGAAAACGCCTTCCTTGGGGGCTATTTTTCAAGAGTGAAATGGTTTCCTTTTGGCCTCCTTTTGAAGATTGGCCGAGCCGACATCGGTCTCGAAGCAGCCACTCTACGTTTTATTCGTCGGCATACCTCGATACCAGTTCCACTAGTACTGGTCTCAGCAACCTACGGAAACGATGCCTACACTCTTATGCGGAGAGTGCTGAATATGTGCGGCAACTTCGACTTTTGTCTCGTCCTCCTCAAGTTCCTCCAGGTGCGGTATGTTCCCTTCGGGGCGCACCGTTCCTTGATAGCCGAATCTCTGGTAACCAACCACTCGGGCCATACCCCTCAGAGTCTACGTTCAACGATCGCCTGGTCATAGCAGCCAATCCATTCATGGACGAGGGACTTACTACTCCCATTCGCGCCAGAATGCGAAATGACCATCCTATCGTGTTCACTCATGGGGATCTCGCGCCTCGAAACATCATGATGCGAGGCTCTGAGATCGTAGCCATTGTCGACTGGGAAGAGTCTGGATGGATGCCGGAGCATTGGGAGCTGGTGAAGCTAATGTGGTGTACAGGTATGGAAAAGAACTCGGGCTGGGCCCAATTGATGTTGGACAAATTTGCACATGAAGAAGAGAGTTGGAAGATAGACAAAGAATTGTCAGACATAATGGTTGGGGCTTTCTAGCAATTTCGTCGAGCAATTCTCGAGTCCTTGGTATTACAACACTCAAATACTGCCAGTTTGACAATCTGTACATACATCTTTCAAGACTTTGCCAAGCTCGATGTCGCAGTCCAGGATAGATCAGCCGCACCATTGGTTGTCAGGAAATTACCTCGTCTACCTTGTCTATCCTGATCCAAACTATGAAGGACAATCGACCAAGCAGACCATTCTCGCACTGGGCCTCTCCATCGCTTCGAAGACTGTAAGATTTAGCTGCTTGAATATATTCGTCACGGGTCCAAGCGAGGAGAATGTGAAGACTTTGTTCAAGGGAGGAGGTATGAGGAACATTTGGATCGTAGAGCGTGAATCCGGAGTTGGTGGTGTGGTTAAACGTTAATCCGTAGGAAGGGCAAACGAATCAGGTCTTTCTTATTATTGATGACAAGCTCTGTATAGTTGGCCAGGTCAAACTTGCCGTCATTGAAGGAGCAACATACAGAAGCACTGGCCATAGTCCATCGCTAAAACTCGACCGAAAACTCTCAGGGAGTACGAGACATTGACTCACTAAGAACTGGGCGGGGTCGTAGGAAAAGGTGGTGAGTAACTCAACACACATATCCAATACTCAAATTGGTGGAACGCGTTCACATCGAAACAAGACGCCGAATTACGCGCATCCATCACCTCCATGCTAACTCGGTATCGTTGCGAGAAGAAAACGTGAATTGATTGAACTAAATGCAATACCTACAAGTGTAGTAGGATGTGTACGGAACCACCGACCCTTCGTGTCGCGATGAATAAGCGTGATACGAAACTGGGTGCTAAGAAGTCCGGTTGATCAGAACACGGCCTGACACTCGAACAGCCGCGTGGATAAAAGGCAGCTATGAGCAACAATGGGGAAAAGTATGGCCGTGTCGCCGCACGAAGAAAAAAATATCCATGTGAGGGGAACCTTATATACCACACGCGTGGGAAGGAATGGGTTTAGGGCAGACTCGAAGTTTGTGATAAGATAACTGTAGCACAAGAGTGCATTTGGTCTGGGGAAATGCAAGGCAGTACTGTATGACAGTAATGTCTTTGAATATTAACCCAGCATACACCGGACATTCGCAAGTCTTGCTTTGCTTGTCCGAGTGCTACAAATTTAGAGAGCTTTGCTGCAATGGTGTCTTGTGCTATTCTGATCCGTGTGTCCTAAATCGTCCATCATCCATATGCTCCTCCTCTCGGCCAATGCCAAAACTTGCGGTCCTGTTCCTGCAATTGTCCTGGCGTCCTAGCGCTCATGCAATCAGATTAAACCCGGCTGCATCTTTACAACCACCACATCTGCCAGCAAGCCACCTTTCTTCGATTCCCACTGCGTCTCTAATCGCGCCAAGTAGAGTACATAACCTACCGCAACGATATCCGTATCATAACCATCTCGAACCGCACTAATGTCACTTCATCTCTGTGTAGATTGCGGTGGCTCGAAGACCTCCGCCGTCATCTGCGATTCCTCTGGCACAATCCTCGGACGTGCCCTCGGCGGGCCATCCAACTTTGCTTACCTTGGGATCGCAGCCTTCACTGATGCAGTCAGAGTCGCAGTCAGCAACGCACTCAAAACCTGTGTCTCCCCACCCTCCATCGAGCCCGTTTCTCTTCCTCCCTCCTCAGAAATATTCGCAACAGTCTGGTTCGGAATCTCCGGCGTAGACAGCCCAGCAGCCGTTGTCAACGCCTCCAATGGCCTCTCCGCCCTCCTCAACGTCCCCGTAGGACCCCGCCTCATCGTAGCAAACGACACACATCTCCTCGCAGCGCCCCTCCGCCTCCACCCTGACATCTCGCACGCCATCGCTGCTATCGCAGGCACGGGTTCGTGCGTCGTGTCCTTCAAACAGACGCCCGTCGGCACACTCGAAGAGCTGGCGAGGACAGGCGGGTGGGGGTGGATTTTGGGCGACGAGGGAGGCGGGTTCCACGTCGGTCGCGAGACGCTCCGCCAGATCCTCCTCGACGACAACCGTGCCTCGCTTGGAGGCACCAAGCCCGCCCCGAGCTCACTGAAAGAGAAGATACTCGCTCGATTTGGCGTCGAGGGCGTGGAGAATGCTCCAGAGGTCCTCCCCGTCGTGCACCTCCCCGAGCCCTCGCTGACCGCAAATGAGATGCCAGACGTCCCGTCCTACCTCCTGGTTGCACGCGAGAAGAGGCTGAGCCAGCTCGCTCCCCTCGTATTTGACGCTGCGTTCAACGAGGGCGATCCGTTCGCACTGAAGGTGCTGAGGATATGTGCGCATGCGCTAGCAGAGCAAATCGCCCTTCTTTCTCGTGAGGAGGGAGAGGACCCAGCGCTGAAGCCGAGAGGGGTGAGGGCAAGGGAGAGTGTGCTGTGTTTTGGAGGATCGTTGGTAGGTGTGGAAAAGTATAGGGATATTGTACTAGAGGAACTAGAAGGGATGGGGCATGTGTTCAAGTACGTGGAGTTTGTGGACGATGCTGCCGCGGTGGGCGCTGCTGGCCTGGCGTCTTTGGGGAAACTAGATTGATACGATACATATTGGTCGGGTGAGGGAGTAATGTACGTTTATATAACTTGGGGATTCTATACTTGTGCTCAATTTGTAGGCTTGCAGTAATCGATATCTGGGGTATAACCATTAAATGAAAGAACAGTCAATCCATGGTGTAGTCTGCTCTAAGTGCACGATTAGAAGTGTATTGTTCAAATTGTGTATAATCTTGAAGCAATTCAAACACAGTGATGATCAAGTTTGCTAGTCAAATCTCTATTGTTCGACAGTTCGCATTCCTCAACACATCTTCGAGCGGAGCGTAACAATATAACGTGTGGGCACAGAGATGTTCTCATTGCCATAGTTTCTCCCGTCGACCAAGAGCTCACTAACTGAGACCTAAATGCATGTGCCAAAAATGAAATCACCTCGAGGAATGTATTGCTTTGCGCTGCATCACACTGGCGAAAGAGTAGCCCTGCGCCAGTACAAGACTAACACACGACACACGCGCATTTTAAACGTCAAACACCAATCCCATCCTATTCCCAAAACCCACCCTTATCCTGCTTGATCCGCGTATCCTGCTTCGCCTTACTTCCCTTCGCCCTCCCCGCCTTTTGCGCACCCCGCTTGGAGTGATACTTTTTCTGCTGCCGTGCGCGCTGTTTGGCAAGGTCTGTCGAGACTCTGTCGCGCATGTCAGACTGGAGGCTGAGCTGTGCGGTCATTCGAGCGAGTGTATCTGGAGAGGGAGAGCGCGATTCGGGTGGAGAGCGGGAGAGGTGTCTGGGGGATGATAAAGTGTCGGAGAGGTGGGGGTCGGTTCCGGCAACAGTTGGAGAGTGAGAGGCTTTTTGGGCGTTGGGATCAGGGGTGGGGGCTGAAGATCGATGGGATTTTGAGTGTGTGTTTTCTGTCTCGGCTATGTCGACATCGTGTGTAGAACTATCTTGTTCTTTTTCAGTGCCCTCCCCTTCATCTTCATCTTCATCGTTATCATCTTCCTCTTCACCTTCAAGTACATCTTCCTCCACTTCATCTTCGTCTTCCTCCATCTCTTCTCCATCACTCAGGTCTTCGTCACCTTCGTTTGGCTCAGTAGTTTTGACCGTTTCCATATACTAAGGACGACCGTAAGCCCTCGAAATAAGCTTATTTTCATATCACCTACATCTTCTAGAACCTTTTGTTCCTTCTTGCTGAACCCACTAGCAGCAACCTCAACGTCCAGCCTGAAATGTTCCTCTCCATCTCGATCTTTCGTGCTCTGAAATTTAGGATAGAGAGAGCTCTCATATTTGAACCTTCTCTTGAAGAATGTTCGTATGCACTCTACATCGCGATTGAAGTACCTATTCACAGGGTTCGATGTCATCTATAGAAGTTAAATGGCTTCCAAGGATACATACCATTCGGCGTTCTGATGTGACGTGCTGACCATCTGAGGGAAATCGATCACTATCGGGTCTCCAGAGTCACGTTGTATGAGGATGTTAAATTCGTTGAAGTCGCCGTGTATTAGCCCTACGCGGGCAAACCGGACAATGAGGTCCATCAGTGTGGAGTAAAGTTTTCCGGCATTGGGAACCTCAGCTATTTGGCGTCTGTGGGGGTAGGGTTGGGATGAAAAGTGAGATTGTTACTGAGAGGGGTAAGGAGCATTACAATGGGTATGCGTCGATGTGGCTCATGAGAATGCAATGTCTTGCTTGGTCTATGGGACGTGGGACGGGGAAGTCATGATCGTATAACACCTATTTTTTTTAAGTCAGAAATGAAGGAATTGAGTGAAAGGAACGGGTCGAACTTTCATGAAGGCCCATTCCTTTTGTGCAGCCAGACGAGACATGTACATCCATGACGCCGATTGGCGCTTTCCAAGGTAGTCTCTCTTCTCCTTGATGGCACGAAACGATATCCGGCCCAAACTGATATTTCATTGAAAACAGCGATGAGGAGGTGAAGAAAGTACCGTACCGATGTAACTTGAGCACCATCTCCTTACCCTCGTTATCGGCAACAAGATATATATCTACATAGACCTTCAGAGCTGCTTATGAGAGGAATTGGTGGGTGTACGACTCACCCGCCTCTTTCCCAACACCAATCTGATTGCCTACAGAATACAAGGAATCTCTTTTCAAAAACGCTCGCATCGCGAGGAAGTCGTATCCGCCGTACGTCAGTCTGTACCCATCATCTTCCAAAAGATATTGTAATCAGCCAAACCTCATTTACAAACACATGTTATTTGGTACTTACATTTCGCGTTTTGCACTCTGGCGACCAGATTCCGTTTTGCAAGAGATCCCAAAAGCTTATTCACTCCTCCATTCCGTAGCTTTGAAACTTGTACTATAATAACGGTGGGCACGATTTCGTGGTTTTTAGATCCGATTTCTACCTGATTAGATTTTTGGTATTAAATCGCGATGTAAGATTGACAATAGGCCATCCTGCGTGTGAGTCGTACCGCCGATAACACCCTGAATTCCTCAGGGGTAACGTATCTCAAGTCCGTTGCGTCTAGCTTCATTGTGGTGCAGGTAACGCTGTTGTTCTTTTGTCAGATTCAAATTTGGTTTATCAGGGAAATGTTAGGAATAGCGTTCCCGCCAAAGGTCTCCGAAGAAGATAATCTCAGACTCGGGTCTGGTGGCTGTTCACCTGAAGCTTACTAAGCGGTGCAAGCATCTGCAAATATATACAAACTGATTTATCACTCCGGAGGTTGCTCCACACCCCTTTCTCCATTGTACCACTTCCATCCATATCACCCTCCACAATGGTTCACATTCGAAATTCAACAACAACCCGCAAATCAACTTCTCGTATTCGCTCTAGTACGCCCGTAGCATCTCAGTCTATGATAAAGCGTCTCTCAGGGCCTTCATCTCACTCTAAACGACAACATCAGAAACAACAGCACTTTAAGCAAGAACGGCGGCGTATAGCATTTGCAGCCCAGCGTTCCCGTCGCGAGCGATGGGCAAGCATCGCACAAGATACGCAGAGTATTGTTCTTGGGGATGGCAAGTACGTGGAAGAAAGCCATTCTAATATTTCTTTTCCTTCAGTTTTCGTTTCATCTGCGTCTTTGAACGACTTTTCTACTTCTTATTTTGTTCTTGCTTCTTCCTCTTTAAATACTCCTATTGTTCATTCAGCAAAGCCAATAACTTCCCATCCCCAAGGACAGACCAAGCCCTCAGTGGCGTCCGCGACTAGACACATTTCACATGATATCGGGCCTCAGATTCTACTCAGCAGGCAGGGAACTACCTTTTATCCCCATTGTTCGCCGTCTCTTGCAGACTGGCGCAAGTCCGATCTAGCTCGTAGACCGGACTCACCCATGCATTCCACAATAATCCAATTCACGCCCTCTTCAACGCTTACCGCCGCTCGTAGGCTGCACAACAGCAATGCCGAGCCCTCGGGTTCTCAACGCAGCCCCGCCTCTATCCCGATCGGTGTATTATCGTTCGCATCGCCCAAGAGAGCCGGTGGTGGCTACCTCCATGGTGGTAATGAACAGGAAGAAGGCCTTGCTAGGTGTAGTACCCTTGTTGCAAGCCTCCGGACTGACCAAGCGAAAGAGTTTTACAAGACGCACAGAAGATTTCTCAGCATGGATGGTGCCGGCATCCATGACCATTCAATGGTGTACAGCCCCGGTGTAGTCGTATTCAGGGATGATGATGATGAAGCCGAATCAAATGCTGTCTCGACAGACCATCCAACTATACCCCCTAATAATCAAGATTCTAACCAGAAATCCACCTTCATTCCTCCTTACACAATTAATGTCCTCTCCGCTGTCCCCGTCAATGCCGCTGCAATCAGACAGAATTATCTCATCACTGCTTCTGATGCACATGTCTTTTCTGACGGCATTTGTGACAAAATGCGGGATAGGATGGCTCGTGCACTGAGGATCTTTCAAACACGCGGAGATCAAACATTGGTGCTAGGAGCATTCGGATGTGGATCATGCGAGAACAAAGTGGAGATGATAGCGGAGCTTTGGGCAGAGTTGTTGGTGTGTGGAGAGAGGACAAGCGGAGGGGCGAAGGAGCACAAGAGCAAGGCGAAATACAAGGATGTTTTTGAAGAGATAGTTTTTGCTGTTCCAGGGAAGCACTTCGAGCCCTTCAAGAAAGCATTCGAGATGCGAGTGTTTGAGGCAGAGTTATCAGATGCTGCAAGTGATACGGATGCTTAGTGAGATTCGGTTTTTATTTTGCAGTGATGTTGATGATTGCTATAGGATATGTAGGTTGTAAAGGTTATTGTTGTAGCATCATATCTGTGATACCCTTCAGATATTTTTATATTCAAATACAGTTATTGTATCGTTAGCATCGCTGTCGGTGCACAAAGTGAGCAAACCTAGTTATGCAGTTTTGCATGCAGCTAATTTGAGAGGCTGGTAGCATGGAGTAGGGACTCCCCTATTCTGGATGGCGAAGAGCCTCGGAATTCGAATGCAATTCTTGGTCAATGGGCGAAAGTCGAAATAGTGAAGTTCCACTTTCTGGCGATATTATACTCTTCATGCTGACAGAATTTTTGGTGCGTCTTGTAAGTTCAGTTCGCAACCTCTCAGCAGCCCTTGTCATTTGTCCGTCCACATTTGGGACTCCAACGCCACTCACTTGTTTTCCTAGTTGTAGGCGTTGCTTGTTCTACGCTTCAACTTCCAGTCCTATTGAGTAGGTTGCAAGACAAATGGACGTCACCAGGATAAAATAATGCAGTGCAGTGCCCCATTCTGCATTGAAGTATTATATATAAGCTTCAACCCCCAAGGCGACTTTTATGGATATAGGTTCGGTCCGACAAGATGCACCGCTCCCCAATGTCACTTGAACAAACAACTGATGATCACTGATTTCTCAACCCTCAAAGAGAACAATAGCGACTTCGCGAATGCGGAATGTTATCATATTCCACGGTAGCTTCCTCTTCACTGGTTTGCCCATTCCATGACTTCTAGAAGTGTCGCGCATAGACTTCTGTACAGTGATCAGAAACTCTGTCGCAAAAATCCGTTTTTCATGATTTGGCCGAATGCGACCTGATAACGCTGTAAGAAATTTGGATAACATATTAGATACAAAACGCTGCGGACAGGTTCGATCAGATGCCTGTAAGGATAATACGCGTGATGAGTGTGAATACGCTAGCCACGTTGATCGCGCTGACATGGCTGATCGTGCTGACACGGCTGATCGCGCTGAAGTGCCGAAGTACGCTGATCGAGCTCACCAGACTGACCTGTCAATTCAGCCTGAGTGCTGTGATCAAGGATATCCGTCGATTCAGGCAGAGGACACGGACAACGCTGACCTGGTATCAGTAAGGCTCAACAGTCCTATCGCGCCTGGTTCGGCCTAATACGGAGTTTTTAATATATGCTTTTGTTTGCTTTTTGCCGGTTTTCAATTTTAAAGCTTAGAGTAAAAAGAGACAATAGAAGCCATAGTATTTCGTTGTAAATAGTATCTACTAGTTGTTAAAGTGATATCCCCGAGGTAGATTTGTATATTACTAAGCCATTAGTATCAGTAAATACCGTACACGTTGATTCATGATTCTCATCCCATTCCTCAGATGGGTAGCAAGTTGAGTGATAATGCAAGCATTAATATGGGATGGTCCAGGCATCGGAAGGGGAAATTTTGCTCCTAGTGTTGCAGAAACAGCCAGCGAGACTGACTGCTTGATGGCTGCTATAGCGGAAGACAACATTGAGGCTGATGCCAAAGTCAGAAAGATTATAATACATACCTGAGTAGTGCGGCTCCTAGCCGTGTTCTTTGTTGGCTGCTGGCTTCCTCGTTTAAACATCAGGGTTGATTGGCTCTGCAAGCATATTTGAGTTATCAATAAATGAGTGTGCATCGTGTAGCCTGATGACATACCTTGTAAGTTTGAAGACTCAAAGGCCTGCAACATCAAGTGTTCGTGTTGGTGGTATTCAAAAGGGAGCAAGCATGTGAACGACAGGCGGGAGCCTCGCCCTCCTTATATACAACATGTGGCGCTGGTGGAGCTAGAAACGTCATGATTAGTTAATTATCAAGAGATACTGTATCCTCGCTCACTGGAAGTGGAGCCCAACAATACACTTGGACCCATAATCCAACAACCCATGCCATCATACACAGGAAAGCGACGACGACGTAGTTCCACGCCTTGTATTGAAGAGACGTCGTCGTCAGAAAACAGCTCAAAGTTATCTACTTATAATAATGCTGCTCCCACAGTTCTTGCACATGCTGCCGAAGGTCCCAGTAAACTCGAGCAACACTGGCTGAAAATTCATGGAGACACATATTCAGTAAAGCAGAAGGAAAATAATGCAGGGCTTGTAGCTGCAACAAGTCCCCTGGTCTCACCTCGTACACCTACGCCGCCTCCGCCAACCAAAGACTCTCCAGTGCTGAGATTGGGCTCCACAAGCACGCACACATCTGACGGTGTGATATCATACCATGATGGTGGTGGATTTGGTCAGGGTTGTCCTGTGGATAGAAAAGGGCGTTATAAGTACAATCGGCTTGAACGATACCAGCAAAGTACCCCGAGTTTTTCGACACCCACTAAATCCCGGGTAGATGACACAGCGAGTGCTGATAAACTTCCTACGCCTGGTGTAAACCTGGTCAATTCTTTTAATGCGGCAAACAAAGAGGTAAGAAATTCAATACACAAGAATTATGTTTTGTGACTTACCAGTTTGATTGAAAGAACTCTGTGGTAAATGTTGCCGAGACAACAGGAAAAAGTGATGGAAAAGGCACCGTCCCTTTGAAGCGTCGCATAGGTGATCAAGATACCATTGACAATGAGGTACACATATTGAGATCACAGTAATTTGGGCTCACCGTTGGTACCATTCAGCAGATGGTCAATATTATTCCCCCATTGACTCCTGGGACCGGTCGTGGGGCGCGTCAATTCCTCGTATCACAAATGGAGCTCTCACCGCTTAACCCAGGGAAAAGGAGGAGAGTTGCAAGGTCAGAAGCACCAGACAGTCGAGTCTCTCAAGATTTGGAAGAGACATTGCGGAACATCGAAAAGAATCTTGATGAGGTGGGAAAAGTGTTGAAAGAAGACGTTGGAGGGGCGATCCGCGAGCAGACTGAAGTGCTGAAGGGTGTTCTCCATGAGTTTGTGTCAAAGTAGAGCGGGTACAAATCACTGCTGTATCATTATTGTTGATTGTGTTAGTAAAGACTGTACGAACCTGCCTTTCTCTTTGTCCAACTTGTCTCCCATAGTCTTGGACAGTTTCTTGAACTCGTGTTTGGACTTGGCGTTATCGACACCTCAGTTACAGTTTGAGTCGTCCAGATTTAAGCTTGATTGAAGCTTGATTGAAGCTTGATCGATTGATCATCGATAAGATTACAAAGCCAATCAGTCATTCAAGGTCTGGCCATTGATAACATCAATTCGCTAGTATTTGTATCTTATCTAATAACAGAGGCACTATCTATACACATGTGCCTTCACTCCTCGAAGTTATCGCTTCCATCTTCGCTGTTCCCACCCTCGTTGAGTCCCCCAGAGCCTCGTTCAGAATGGCTGTTATGGCCTTCGGGCTGTTCATATCCATCCTCATCATGATTCAATGCAGCCATCACACTTTGCATTAATTGATCCCTGTCTGTGTTGCTCAGTTGGCCTGCGAGTCCATGGCTTGTATTGGGGAAAAGGACTTGATCCCACTCTCGGAATATATTGAGTACACTTTTTTTTTGTTTTTGAAGGCCGCTTAAAAGGTACTCCAGGTAGTTGTCAAAATCATCGTGCCAACGAATGCCAGATTCGTTCCCCTTTTCCTTGAGGCACTCGTCTGGAGATAAGGCCCAACGAGCCTAAATAAATCCCTGTATGTTAGTCAGATTTCTCTATGAGCTCAAGAAGTACTCACAAGGACAGCAGAAGCTGCGACCATGCCAGGCGTTGTATGGTTTAATCCCCATTTTAGATCCATCGTTTCATTGTTTCTTGCAGCACGGGAAGATTCGCCTTCGTTCATTGCAATTACGGATGCAGGCCCTCGTATGATACAGCTCATTGTCTGCTTGGTTGGCTTTTAGTTCTTATTTTTTTTCAGCTGTTATTGACTCACTTTCTGAAGAATTGGATTCAAAAAAACTGCTTGGATGTCGAAGCGTCCCTTGTAGTCACGATGAAGGACACTGACGTTCCATGGATGATACGTCGAGGTACCGTTTGCATTTTCTACCCACCCAATATCTTCGCTAAACTTTGCACATCGTTTGCGGGATATCCTCAAGTCTTCCTCCGTGCAATTAAAAATGGTGGCACCTCGAGATCGAAGACGAGTAGCTGTGTTTGACCGCTGTTCTTGCATTCCATCACGGAACTGAAAATCAGGTGAGTTTCGAACACTGCTTACAAAATTCTGGACCACTCACTGAACGGCCTAACCAGTGATTCGGAAGGTCACCATGGTATGTGGCAGGAACAATGTCTAAAATATCACGAAGCTGACCTTGCACTTTAGCAGCTGTGCTGCCAAAACGGTCCAGTTTATCATACTCGTCGTCAATGGTTGTTTGAAAAGTCTTGGTAGGCTCATGTAGCCAAAGAGCATGAGTTATCTCAAACTGATGCCCCAGTCCCTTGATTACTTGCTCGTGGTGCGTGTCATCATCTCTTGAGCTCTTGGTTTTTTTTTCCTTCTTTGATCCCCTTTCAACAGACTCATCCTGATGTACCTCATTCATAGCATCGTCGTATTTACGACGCATAGTTTTAGCTTCTTCCTTTGCAGCATTAGCTGCAATTTGAGCGTTACGGGCAGCCTATATACACCATCAGCACATCTTTGTGGACAAGAAACTAACTGTCTCTACCTTATACAGTGATGCCGGTGACATTCGCAGACTGATTTGTGATAAATCACTATCTGATTCCGTGTTACTGATGGGTTTCTGCGCAGAGCTTGGATGCTCGTTACTATCTGGTGAGTCTGATACCTCTGAATCATCTCCACCTCTCTCTCGTTCACTATTGCCCTCCATTTCGGTACTAGACGCCTGTCTGCGTGAAACAACTCTGCTCTTTGCATGGGCTATTCTTCTTCCTGGAGCTTGAGCAGTCTGACGAGCAGCCTTTTGATTGGTAGAGGTCTTCTTCTTCTTGTCTTTGATATGTTTCTGTTTTTTTTCCATCTGCACTGTTTTGGTTGGAGACGAGCAACAGTGTGGAGTATCTGTTACTGACTCTGATTCAATTGTTACGTACACCAGGCTAACCGTGACTTGTAGATAACATCATGATCTATGATTTTCTCAACAACGACGTCTCCATGCTCAACTATACTAGCTAGCTACACTATGTCTCATATTCCTAGGACAACCGAGGCAAAAAAAGGACCATGGTGTAAATATTGTCAACAACACCAAAGCACACAGCGCTTTGACAAGCACATCAAGTCCTGCAAGGTCAGAAATCAGGAACAATTAGAGCTAGCGGCACGACAAGAAAACCATTCAGAGAAACGGTGCTTAGGGAGATCACTCGAGGAGCCAAATCAAAAAAGAAAGAAAACTGTTGAGGTGTTAACGTCTCTCTTTTTCAACTTCTTAAATTTACAGTTCTGTGCATCTTATCAGGCTGACGGAGACCGGACTCAAGTCAATGACGAGGTTGAAGCGGGTCCTCCAATCAGCGGTGCGGGAATATTTCATTTCATTCTGTCTTTCAACTGTGCCTGACAGACTTGAGTCTTGACTTAGCAGAATCTGGTAACGACGAAACCAATGTCCAACAGATATCAAGTGCAACTTTTATTCAAGTTGTCCACCATCCTCAAAGTGGGAAGCACGACCCAGTCATAATTCCCCTTGACAGTGTTATCCCTTCAGCTGATCAAGGCAACCACGAAGCTGGACTTGGCTCTGCATTGGAGATCAAACCGTGGGCGCCCTTTCGCAATCGTGCCGACTTTGAATATGCGGAAACAGCTGTCAAGGGATTATTAAGTAAAGCAATAGTAAACACACAGTTATATGGGATACATCATGGATGGGCAGATAATACTAACATTACATTTCGGAACTATGCAGACATCGAGAAGACTTTACAAGTAGCACGTGCGCAATATGTCCAGGTGGGCAAAGACGACCCTCAAAATCGATTCTTCTAACCTTTCTTTCAGTTTCAAGAAGGAAATGTTTCTGCATGTTATCTAGGAGAAACTCATTACTTCAAGTTTCAGTACCGAGATCCGTGGAAAATCTATCGCAACTGGATTATGGATGAGACATTAGCGCCTCTCATCCTTTGGCATCCTTGCCGCAAATATTATTGCCGTCGAAATGGTAGGATAGTCTTGAAAGAACGCATATACGACGAGTTCAATTCAGCCAACAAATGGTGGGACGTACAGGTAAATATATAGTATATACATTTACATGCTTTCTGATGTGGATTAATTTGAATGCAGGAATCCTTTCCACAAGAAGAACCACCGCATTGCTTTCTACCGATCTCTCTCTGGCTTGACAAAGGCAACATCACTAAGCGGGTCAAGAAGCACCCTATAATTATTTGTCCGCTATTTTTGCCGCGGGGGGTAAGAAATGCGTCGGGAAATGGAGGAGGTGTTCTTGTAGGGTATATGCCCATTGTAAGCGTTTTTTCTGCTACACAGGGGCTTCTTATTGCATTGTTTTTACAGCCTTTGGACCCGGCCGACCCATCTGACAGAAACACTGCTGATACCATTAAATGGCAGTGCTTCAAGCGTGAAGTTTACCACAAGGTTGCCGAAGTAATATTCCACTCACTACGATGGCCTGCACGCTTCGGAGAAGCAATGGCCTGTGGTGACAAAATTGATAGAGTGATACATCCAGGAATACCAGTCAAGTCTGTTGATGGCGAAGAAAGCTGTGCGCTAACAGCTACGCGTGCGGCCCTGGCCAAATTTCCATGCCCGAAATGTCTTGTCTGCCATGACAGTTTAACGAAACTATGCGGAAATTTTCAGTGTCGCACAACTGACAACATGGAGAAGGTGTACAAGCGTTCAATCACAGCATCAAATAAAACGGAGGCTGAACGAATCTTACAAGCCCACGGATTACATGCAACCAAGGTTTTCTCCCCGTATTTTTTTTATCTTCCACTCACTAGCTTTTTACAGAACTTTTTTTGGTCACTCGACCACTCAGACCCATATTGTTCCATTTCATACGATAAATTACACTCCGATGATCTAGGAAAATGGGGTAAGCACATCTGGCCGCTCCTCCTCACAGTGTTAGCAGAAAACGGAAACAAAGGCCATATGGCCAGAAAGTAAGTTTCAACTACACGTCAAACTTGACGTCTCACTAAAACTCGGGATATATAGCATGCGGAATGTATCAAGATGGCCTGGACTCAAACACTTCATGAACGTCACCACAGTCGAATATGCGGATGGTCAAGTGTTTTATGATATACTCAAGGTGCATAGTCCTTAATACATTATTTATTAGCGCTATACACTGACTTTTCTGTTCTTCTAGTGCATCCTCCCATGCATCGTCCAAATTCTCCCTAGGAACTCAACATTAGTACATGGTATCCGAGCCTATGCTAGATATCGGCTCATGATTGGCCTCAATTGTATGACCGAAGGGAGGACACACCGGCTAAAACAATATATTATTCAATATGAACAATGTTGTGAAGTGAGTAGCGGTTCTACATGTGTCTTGATTGTTTTCTAATGGTTCTTATAATACAGCACATTTCAAACAATTACGAGAAGGACTTCCACTTTAGCAAGCAACACGCCATAAATCATATTCTCACAGAAATCCGGCAGAAGGGTGCAACGGATAACTACGACACACGAGTCAGCGAGGGCTTTCACCAAGAGGCGCAAGAAGCCTACGAGCAGACAAACCGGAAAGATACAGACAGCCAGGTAAGCAAACATATTTATGTGTACCAAAAGCCCGATGTTCAGTTTCCACAGATGGCTCGCATTGACGAGAACCAAGAAGCCATCGCCCACATACGGATGACCGTCGACAACTATGATAAAGCCCACCATAACGACACTGAGGACCAAGACTTAGGAGATGACGCTGGCAGAAATGATGACCAGAGGTCGACACAACCTACCCCCGATAACCACTGGATGCTAGGATCTCCCACAAACCTGACAAGCTCGGTAGTCATGGAGCATTGCGAGGGCCTCAAAGGATTTGACAAGCGTCTGCGGAGTTTTTTAGTCTCAAGTTGCAATGTAGCCGTTGGAGATGGTCCCATCTCAGTAAGCTGATATTAGATATACTTTACAGCTCTAACATTGTTCTATGTTCCACAGATCAGGAAATATCAATGCATTTATCTTAAGTATCAATCACACGAAGACTGGAGCGAAGGACGGGACATCCTTCGCTGCAACCCCAACTTCAATAAAGAATCACGCTTCGACTGTGTTCTCATTAACACAGACACATCGGAGCCAGTTCCTGCTCGACTCCAAACCGTCTTTCGATGTTTCCTTCAGTCCTCTTCGTTTGATATTGTGTCGGTCAAGATATTCAAGCCATCAAATGGAATTCCGAGGACCAGATGGTCGGGGGCACTTTTGTATGATGAAGCGAGAGATTTCAAGCTGGTCATGGCTAAGTCCCTGATTCGGGGAGCTCATATGATCGAGGCTTTTGATCTGAAGGAAGGCCGGTTTTATTTAAATGACTTGATTGATGGTGATATGTTCCTACGTTTCGGGAACTGACAACTAGACTGCTTTTATTGTTAACTACCACTAGTAAAATCTCAGGTGTCACATTTTGAACCGTTGAGCTAAGTCTGTCTGATGGCATCTATTTCAACCCATACATGCTCTCTTTTGATCTGGTCATGTCTGGTCAGAGAATATCTGTCGCTCGTATCCCTCTTACCCCAGCTAATCCGCCTGATCGTTTTCTGTCCCAGTTCCGATATGTTTCTCATCAGACACAATCTGTGTCTCTTATCTTCTTATCCCAGCTGATCCGCCTGATTATAGTCTGTTCTATTTCTGATCCGATTCTGATCACCAACGGCTCAGATCATCAGGTGGCCCAGGTAAGTTACAGACATTCGTAGGGTCTGATCTGGTTAAACGGATTTTTCCGACATCTCTTCCTTATCTTCTACGTTACAGTGGAATGGAGAAAGGCAATGTAAACAAAATGCAGTTCGTTCCATATAGTGTCTTCGTTCAACGACGATAGCGCATCAACACTCCCACTTGAAGGGCTTCTCATTGCATCCAATGCACCATGGAGTTCTTTTCTCCAAGAAGCTCCAAATGATATGTTCGACATTGTTGGACGACAAGTCGATGGGGAAAATGGGGAAACTCCATGGTCCCGTGATAGTATGCCGTGTGATCAGGCTGATAGTTTTGTCCTGCTATTCTATCCTTCAATGGCTGTCTTCTCACGATGTTGGGATAAGCCCATCAATCGAGTTCCGCGGGTGGAGAGTAACCATTATACTGACAAGTAAATTGTTGTTACAAACGGAGAACAAAGGTCGCCACCAAGACAGAACAAAATACAATATCCTTTGTAATTTCTATTACTTGATTCTACCATGAGAGTGCTAAATCGCTACTGCGATGCGTTTGTAATCATCGTTGTCCCGCTGTGCATGGCCCCAGCGTCCATATACTCGAAATTCCGAGAAACCCTGATATATAATATCAGGCTTTTTTCTGCACCACCAGACTCGTGGAAATGTACCTGTGGTGCTCAAGTGGTGGACAAACAGTTTTACAGTCTCTGATAATGAAGTGGGGCGTAGTTCTGAATTTTGATGCTCTCATCTTGAACTTGCAATCGACAAATACGCTCTAATACAATTGTGCGTTACGTTTTACGGTAGAAGGATGGCATTGCTATACGTCGTCCGACGCTGTCGCTGTGGCTACCACCACAGCCTGAGCCACTCTTTTTGGGATATAAAGGTGGGTTAACGGACTGGAAAGCTCCCCATCGCCAGACTCGCATTCATAACAAACTGCGCATTAGTAGCAAACGCCTGATTTGCATCCAGTATTCGATCTACTCTATTCCAATGCCTTTCTTCCAAAATGCCAACAACACTAACGCTTCCAACAGCGTCTTCAACGATGTCACTGGAAATGTGACGACAAACATCAACAACAACACAAGTGAAACGCATGATTCAAACAATGTTAGCCAGACCACCAATAATGGCTCATATAACGACTCATCCGTAACACAAACTACTGGTAAGCTCAATCTGACTTGATTGCTCTGCTACACATCGGATCTAACATGGGTCTATTGTTCAGCACCGACGGCGACTACTCAGACTGCATAAGTATAGTCAGTGATAGCTTATCGGTGTGCCACGATAGTCGATTAGGTTGTAGTGAGTGATAATATCAAAGACGCATCGGAGCCTACCTGATTCCATTTCCAGGATGTGATCTCGATAAACCAGAGGAATGGACGTCTTAATGATTTCTTGAATATGTAATATCTTGTTTCTCCAGGGACCGCTATCAATGTTGATTTGCTTATCTTACTCTCGGAACGCGATGTATGATTGCGCCTGTGAGAATGGAAAGCGGATGAAATGTGACACCGACGAGTTTGCTGCACCTCGGAGAACTTTCGCAATATCCTGAAGATCCGAATCAACGGATTCCTTGAAACCACCCATAGGATGTCTTCAGCTTGAAGTACTGGGTCTCACATTACAGATACGTCACTTATCATGTGATAGGTGATGACAACTGTGCTTGCTCACTGTAAAAATCTTGGTTGTGATACATGTACTGTTTTAAAGTTTTGAATGGAAGTATCGGATGATGCAGTAGTTGGAGGAAAAATGATGACCACTCAATCCCCATTACCCAAATCACCTAGATCTGAGTGGTTTCAGACTTCATTGGTGGACGCTTCCGACCTCGACTGTTGGTTTGAGTACAGTAGACTCATCGATAAATCGAATATTCCCTTTTGAGGGTGAGACAGTTATGTTTTGCGATGGCGAGTAAACCAATTACCCAGAGGACGGGATGCTTGCTTCCATTATTGTATGAATTAGGTACGGCTGGTCATGACTTGTGTGACAAGTGTACAATCCGCCGAGGAAGAGAAACCTGGGACACCCTTCAGGCTAAACATAGGCTGAGCCTGCCAGTTGCAGCCAGGCTATCGTTCGAGATAATCTGAAATAGTACGCAAGCGCCAGAGTGGGGTTCCGGTCATCCGAGCGTACGGTGTATGCTCCACAGAATTCTCAGCGTCCCCAATGCAAGCAAAACACTACGTCGCATTCATATTGAAGGTGACATTTGGTTGCCTAGCGTTATGAAAGAGCAAGGCCATGTGGTCTGGGGTATCAGCCAATTACGACTTTGCCGCGTCAGGAACGTGGGGTATGCCATAAGATTAAAAGTCAGCGAACGTATTCCTTGCAAGCGCATTCTGGCTCCGCCCATTCCATCGTTCAAACACTTCACCCAGCTGCCTTCATGTAACGCCTAACGGGCCTCCGATTCCAACAATTCGTATTTATAGTAAAAAAGCGCCGTATTTCTTCTAGCAAAAACACATCACTTGAGCTCCCAGATGGGATCTGTTCACATCCAATGACACTTTCTTCCAATTTGAGAGGACTTGTCACACAGAGAAACTTCTCCGTCCTCTAAAGGGGCCCATCTGTCTACGGTCTCTTCAGCCGGTGCGATTTGGTCATGAGTTACATACACTACAGGTTCCTTGATCTCACAACTTTCTAGAAGTCTTATAATCCCATGAACGACATCTGGTTTTAGCGCTAGAGACTCTTGAGCCCTCACTCTGTCATGTCTAGTTCACCACTCTCGCCAGCATCAGTCGATGGCGAGAAGAAACGAGAATCTTACGATGAAGATACCAATCCTGTTGTGAAAGAAGAAGAAGGGGATGATTTCCAATTACTGACTGCAGAGAACAGAGCGGCAGGCGAGAGAAGTCTAGTTCGGAAATTGGACCTTCGATTGCTGCCAACTATTGTTATTATTTTCCTTATGAACTACATTGATGTGCGCGTCCCTTTACTCGCTGTTTCTCGCAACGACACTGAATGCTTCGTTTACTATTCGCTTCAGCGTGTCGCAGTGACTTCCGCTAGACTTCAGGGACTAGAAACAGATTTGGGAATAACGGGTTTGTCCTAGAACCCTTACTCTCCATCAATTCTCATCATGTATTGCGGGAAACAGATGTTCAATATGATACTGTCGTGGCGATACTTTATGCTTCTTATTGTCCAGCACAAGTACCTTCCAACATGGTATGTGTATCTTTCTTCCCCAGCTAAAAGTGTCTAACTATGCTCCTCAAGATCTTGAATCTAGTTACCAGGTATAATGCCCATCAAAAAGTTCAATATTACGGGCACTGACCTTTACTAATTCCCTTGATTTCTTTAGGCCCACGCTCTACATCGGAACCTGTGTCGTTTTGTGGGGCTTGACAAGTGCCATGACTGGAGTCAGTACACTACTTCGTTCATCTTTTTCTTTCTAGTTCGTGTTGCTAACATAGGTATTGCACATTAGGTTACCAAAAATTTTGCAGGAATCATGGCTTGTCGTGTTTTCATCGGTTTGCCGGAGGTATAGTCCACAATTCGCTTCGGTACTTGCTTACCGAATTGCCGGACTTGCTATTAGGCTGCATTCTATCCCGGTGCCATGTATCTTCTATCACGATGGTATACGAGGAAGGTAACGTGGCTGTTTGATTACTCAGGCGTCTAGCTTATCTAAATTCTACAATAAGGAACTTGCATTCCGCTCTGCCATCCTCTATGGAGGCTTACTGATATCCAATGCGTTCGGTAGTGTGAGTTTATCAACTTCTACATTCTTGGATCTTATGGCTTATACTGTATCGGCGAAGCTCATTGCAGCAGGAATTTTGAGCAATATGCAGGGGAAATTAGGTATCGCTGCTTGGAGATGGTAAGCAGCGTTATTTTCTCGCCTTCTGGAGGGAAATAAATTCTGACAGAATCAACCATTAAGGCTATTCTACATCGAAGTACGCCGTGCTGCCAAACCTAAAACTGACTATCGGGAATTCATTTCATTTCATTTATCACTTTTAGGGTGCCATAACCATGTTCATCGGATTCCAAGTCATGTATGTGATCTATATCGTCATATGTAATTCTGTTAGCTGAAAGCTATTTTTTTTAGGTGGCTACTGCCTGATTATGTCAGTGCAACATCTTTCGGTCTGCTTTAAAGTCCTTACCATGACGCATTATATAGCCCACCAATACACGGTGGCTGTCACCCGCCGAACGTCGTCTTGCACAAGTCCGCCTCGCAGAAGATGCTGGTGAAGCAGATACAGATTCTGCTGATGCATCGTACGTTGATATTATTTTGGAGATGTTTCCCGAGTTAACATTTGATAATCATCAAAACCTGTCAATTAATATATATGTCTGTCCGATAAAGCGTGTTTGATGGATTCATAATGGCTATCAAAGACATTAAAGTCTGGATCTTCATGCTCATGACGTGCTCGCAACTTTTAGGGTTGAGCTTCATCAACTTCTTCCCTACGTGCGTTTCTAAAACCTTTTTTTTTTTGTGTCCATGATAATTGATGAATGTCTAGACTGACAGGAACTTTGGGTTATTCTACTACCATAACCCTCTTGATGTCTGCGTGAGTATCTTGAACATTTGTAGTTTTTACCTAAGCTGATGAATCCACCAGACCGCCGTGGGTCTTCGCAACAATCTGTACACTGATTGGGGCCTGGAATGCTGGTATGCTGGGACTTCCCGCCGCATTGCACCTCCTTTTCTCACTGTTCTACTCTTTATGATTCTTAGACAGAACTGGTGAACGATTCTTCCATATTACCGCCTGGTGGTGGGTTGTCATGATTGGATACATAATCTCGCTCTCCACCATGGCTACTGGAGGGAGATATTTCTCCTTATTCCTGATGACGACCGGATACTGTGGTAAATTCTCTTCTTGGGACGAAGAGTCTTCTTGACTTCTTAGTATTTGCCCTTTTTAGGATTCACATTGACGTTGGTATGGGTCTCAAATGCTATACCACGACCCCCAGCAAAACGTTCTGTCGCCATGGGTCTTGTTAACGGCTTTGGCAACATTGGTAATCTGTGGGTCTCATATTTCTTACATACGTGTACGAGGCGCTGAAGTCAAAACAGTATGGGTTCCTATATATGGAAGGCAAATTGGAGTCCGGACTACCATCAGTCCATGATCATTGCACTTTGTGCACTAGCTTTCGCTAGTATCTTAAGTTTCGGTAAGTTCTCATTATTATCTTTGTTCATAACCTTATCATAATACATTCGTCTACTAGTTATTCGATGCATTTTAGTACGCGAAAATAAGAAGTTGGAAGCGGAAGAACTCAAACTTATGCAGGGAGCACATCGTGAACGTATAGAAGAGGCTGCAAGACTGGAAGGCATAACTTTCGATGAGGCTATGCGACGGAGAAAGGGATTCCGTTATTTGTATTAATGGCACTAGAGGATGGACCTTGTGCAACTCAGGCTGTATCGATAGTATAGGAATGCCCCTTTGACGAGTGCTTTCGTAAGGGGTGGAACACTTCGAGCCCTTGATAGAAATTTCGTGCAGATGTGACCAGCTGAAGTACCTCAGTAGTCGCGTGTTTATCGATTATTCATAGGAGAAATCGTGGAGCTCAGCCTTGTCAATTTACAATAGATTAAAAGACTTAGCAGATTGTATAGCAAATGGTGAGTGCATTTTAAGTTAGCTCTGAGCCTCGCACGTCTGCGTTCTTCACTTGTTCCTGGAACTTGCTGAGAAACTCATGACGTAGTCATGTTGATCCCTTTAACATCTGCCTCTTGTTTTGGTGCACAGACCCTCTTTGGAAATAACGGTTCGAAAAATCTGGCGTTCGAGACATTCAGCGTAGCTGGGCATTGCAACAAGACCTCGGGCTTAGATGCAAAGGATTCGAATAACATGTAACTCCATGCATCATGTTTGTCCAATAGCTCTGTCAGCACTCCAGACTAGTCGGTATCCGGCATCGTAGACATGCGCCCCATCCCAGGCCAGCATCATGATTACAACTGTGGAGCAGCCACGCCACTCGCCATAAACAATCCTCAACCCAAGAAGCAACGACTCAACTCAAAACAGAACGACAGCACAGCGGGAGAAAGCCAGACGAGGTACGAGTCAACCAATTTCGACTAAATAGGGAAAAAAAATTTCCGAGGTTAAAGGAGGACCTGTTCAGCTATTCGATGTGAACTCACAGCTGTGCAGCAATCATGCAGTAAATCGTCTGGATATTTATCATTCGAGCTGCACATGCGTGATGCAGTGTTTAACCGATACAGCCTTTAGAATCCGCAATAAGTACGCAATTCGTTAGCCTTAACATGACGCTTCTTTTTCTCGCCTAACGTTTTCTATACAGTTTCAGAAATGGTACACGCACCTTTCCCCGTTTCTCGGTATCGTTGTCCTTACGGAGTTGCGGTCATGTGGCCTTTTACCTTGTTGTCAAAGAAGGTGACCGTGTTCTAGAGAACAGCATATCTGAAGTTGGGAATGGTAATGGAGCTTTCAAGTTCGAAGAACTCACAGAGGATGGATCTGGTTACCAGTCTTGGTATATCACGTCCATCAAAATTGAAGAGATGATTAAATGTAGACCCTCAATTGAAAACGTGAAGAGAATCATTCGCGAGTAGGCCATCGGTCCTGAAGTACTTCAAGTACTGAAACTCGATCATGATGGTCAAGCATGGTCATGCCAAGACTGGACCACCTTGAAGGCGTCACGGTTAGTCAACGCCACTCTCCTCGGTACTTACTCAGTTACTGAATATGGCAAACAATCGGAAACGTCCGTAAACACAATGAATATTCGCCTGCCCAACGACTGTTACAGTGACCTAGTAGCCTCATCGCTCCGCATTTGTGCTTTCTCTCTTTTATTCTAATTTCTGATAACAATGTTTTCTTATGCGACCAGGGAAATCCAATTCCTGTTCTCAACTTGAAGACTCGGCCCAAATGATGACTCTGGTCAGTGTAACTCCTACGGACAGTCAGGCAACAAAGCGTATCCTCGTAGGGAGCATTTCTCTTGGCTTTACTTTCGTTAGTAGCCATTGATTGAGCCTAGAAAGCATAACTGACCTCGTTGTCTTGTAAACCACTTTTCATTCTCTCTTCGTCGAATCACCCGTTAAGACGACTTCCAAGGTTCACAGTGGCGATTCAACGACCCAGTTTCGTGAGTGCACTACCTGGGTACTTAATTTCCACACTCTGAGTGTGTTATATTTAATAATTTCGTTTAGTTGGGCCATTTCATTCATCTCGCGAACGGTAAAAGGAATCATAGCTCTCCGCGAATGCAAGCAAAATTATGCCACTCTCCTGGCAACACAGTAGAAGATGATATTTGCGATCAAATGTCCCAATTCCCTCAGTGTCCTGGGAGACGTACACCGTCATCTAAACCTTCACTAAATCCCTCAAAAGACAGTACGGTACAGTCATCGATGTATATGCAAACTAGAGTGTCCATTGTTTGCGTTGGCACAGCTCCGTGGACGAATGATTGCGGGTAAGAGGAAATTGTAGAGAAGCTTTTTGATGACGGCCTTGACGATCTCTACGCTAAAGCTGGTGCACGTAACTTCTTGCATTTTGATGTGCCTCCAAAAGATCGCTGTCCGGCAGGTGGTTTCTTTGTTCAGGATTTCATTGCCATCTCGTATCTGACACTGCCTCTTAATAGTGATCGAATTGTCTGACGACGTCTCCGAAAAATACCGAATTTGGAACAAGTTGCTGAAATCCCATGCGGAAATTTACGCTCACGAGAGCAGTAAGGCCTCCGTCTTTGTCTTCCTGGTGTATTCCATTGTTTCCACTATCCTTGACGACTCTCATGCATATGACGTTCCTAAAGGCGATGTAACTGAGGCAGGAGGAAGTATATGGCATGACGAGCCGCATCTAACAGGTGGACTTCACGCCATTATTGCTGAAAACTTAAAGAGGCGCTGCAGAACTTTAAGAAGCAACCGTGGACTAGTAAGCATGTAAGCTTGCTATTAAACGCTTCCCTCAAGCTCACTGGCACTTCGCTGTTTTATCTAGGTAATTGAATCAAAACGCACCCATGTAGCTATGTAGCTACATATGTGTCTGAAACACCATCAGCAATTTTCGTGCTTTGCCTAGCTTTATCTACGAGACACTCGCGGGCGGTACCTATGAATTCTCGCCGGTTTCCTCGGCTGAGTTAATGTCCTCGATCTCCAGCAGCCAAATCGCTTTCGAGCCGTTGCGAGCCGCCGGGCCACCGCTCAGAGGCCGCCTTCCAATATAAAAACCGAGATTATATCCTTACTCGATTTGGACAATCAAGTTCATCCAGTTATCCACTTGGCTCAGCGCTAGGTAACGGAGACCGGCTCCTCGTCACTATTTATAACTACTGAAGCTCCAGTGAACGCCGTACCGACTTGCTTCCCAAACCTGTAGCCATATCTCGTGACAGCCTGTACGTTAAAACTCTATGGATTCGCCACGCATGACAGGTGGTAGCTGTAATATCTTACAGGAAGCTACCAATCCTGTCAAAAAAAGGGTCATGGGACCTATTTCATAATCTCCGTGTAATCTTTATACTTGGAACCCCCTCCCCTATAAAGGATGCACGCTAGAAAATTGTGAGCCTGCTGTGTACATCGAAACCACTCATACCTATTGGCGAGTAATTTCCAAATGTCCGTCGATGAAGAAAAAAAGCAAGAATCCTTCAACGATAATGCCGAACCCGCGATACAGGACGGTGACGATTTCGAGCTGTTGACCGCCGAACATAGAGCTGCAGGAGAAAGGAAGCTCTTGAGGAAACTCGATATGCGATTGATGCCAACTATCGTTGTGATATATCTCATGAATTATATTGACGTGCGTATGTTGACATATGATAAGCGACTAAACAACTGACCACTGCTTTAATTCATTTGCAAAGCGTGTTGCTGTTACTTCCGCGAGGTTGAAAGGATTAGAGGCGGACTTAGGTTTGACAGGTGGGTTAGTTCTTCCTATGTCTACGCTCCTCGCTAATTGAAGCCCTCAGATGTTCAGTATGACACTGTCGTCGCAATTCTCTACGCATCCTATTGTCCGGCCCAGATACCCTCAAACATAGTAAGTAACAGTGTCATGTAACACGTAATGCCATCTCACAAATATATATATATATATTTACTTCATTACGCCCCATTTCTAGATCTTGAATCGCGTTACCAGGTCAGTTGTTACCGTTGATATGCACACTACACTACAGCTTCTAATGTGAATACGATGTCATCTTTTCAGGCCTACTCTATACATTGGCACCTGTGTTGTACTGTGGGGATTGACCAGCGCAATGACAGGGGTTAGTTTGTACTCATATTCGTTCGCACCAGAGGTCACTACTTACTTCGAAGTATCTAGATCACCAAAAATTTTGCGGGCATTATGGCGTGTCGTGTCTTCATCGGCTTACCAGAGGTATATTCCGTTTGACTTCTTTCATTAGAGTTATAAAGGGACTTACCATATCCAGGCTGCTTTTTATCCCGGCTGTATGTATCTTCTATCTAGCTGGTACACGAGAAAGGCGAGGCATCTTAAACGCCTATCGCACGGAATTAGTTTTCTAAGGCTTATTCTTTTCCAGGAGCTTGCATTCCGCTCTGCGATCCTTTATGCCGGATTGATGGTTTCAAATGCTTTTGGCAGTGCGAGTACTCCATCCTTTCGTAGTATATACCTTGTCTGACCATACATTGTTGGGTTTCGCAACAGTTGATAGCTGCAGGTATTCTCGGAAACATGCAAGGCGCCATGGGCATAGCTGCATGGAGATGGTCAGCGATTTCGCATTTCATTTACCTGCCTAAACTGACAATACCACCAGGCTCTTTTACATCGAGGTGAGTAACCTGGTTTCTATAGTGTCTTGGTAAAAAAAAACCCCTTCACTTATCGCTTCCGAATAGGGTGCTATTACCATGTTCGTAGGCTTCCTGACCATGTGAGCATAGACTCTTCTACATCGCGCCTTCTTGGGACCAATACCCTTTTATAGGTGGCTTCTACCGGATTATGTTTGTTTCTTATCTTTGCTATAGGGGTAACATTGACAAACGTGTATCTAAAAGCCTCACAATACACGTTGGTTATCACCAGCGGAACGCCGTCTTGCGCAAGTACGTCTCGCAGAAGATGCTGGAGAAGCTGACCATGACTCCGCTAATGAATCGTACGTGATGTTCGCCTTTTCCGTGACTTAGCACTCGACTGATGATTTTTTGTTCCACCTTAATCACCGGGCTTCCATACACTAAAGGGTATTCGCCGGTTTCATCATGGCAATCAAGGATCCCAAAGTTCTCGTCTTCATGCTTATGGGATGCTCACAGTTGCTGGGACTCAGTTATATAAACTTTTTCCCGACGTGAATGCCTCTCCTTTTGTGTGTACAATGCCTATGCTGACAATGGCAATTAGGTTAACAGCAACCTTGGGTTTCAATACAACGATTACTCTTCTTATGGCTCGTAGGTGATATAGCTTTCATGTATGGCACAATGAAGTAATGTCATCTCATTTAGCCCGCCATGGATTTTTGCTACTATTTGTTGCCTAGTGAACGCATGGAATGCAGGTGAGATTTTTGGTACAGGCCTTTTTCACTATTTGACATTATGTTCATAAAGATAGAACTGGGGAGCGTTTCTTCCATATTACATCGTGGTGGTGGGCTGTCATACTTGGGTACATCATCTCATTGTGCACCATGTCCATTGGTGGGAGGTACTTCTCCTTGTTCCTCATGACTATCGGGTATTGTGGTTCGTTATGGTTACATTCACATTTCATGCGATCTAAGAGGTCTACATCAGGTTATTCAATGACTTTGGTTTGGGTGTCAAATGCAGTGCCCAGACCTCCAGCTAAAAGGTCGGCAGCGATGGGTCTTGTAAATGGGTTTGGAAATCTAGGGAACTTGTGAGTCCTAGCTGAATCCTTAGTACTCACCATCCTAAGGAGCCATCGTCGAACAGGATGGGGTCATATATATGGAAGTCTAATTGGAGTCCTGAATACCACCCTTCAATGATTATTGCGTTGTCGGGCTTGGCATTTGCCTCTTGTCTGAATTTCGGTGAGTGAAAGAGTTCTAACTTCGTTTCTGGGGAAATGAGGGCCGCTAACTTTTGCGTAACAGTTATTCGCTGCATGCTGATTCGAGAAAACAAACAGATAGAAAAAGATGAGTTAGAGCATATGGAAGGACCAGGACGTGAGCGCATCGAAGAAGCAGCGAGGTTGGAAGGTATCACATTTGGCGAAGCTGTGCGGCGGAGACGAGGATTCCGGTATTTGTATTGAGCAGTGAGTTCATCATGATGGAACGACCACAGACCCGTATCATATATGTAATGATAGGATATTGGCATGACCGATAGACTCGATGAAGATGAAGTCAGTATGATGGCTTGAATGCGTGCCATAGCAACTAGATTTAAGCCATTTTGATCATAAACTGTCAATGTGAATTATGACCATCACAATTACGACTGAAGGACAACATCGAATGGCATGAAATCACGACGCAGGGGGATGCGAAGTGGTACCGCAGAAATAAATCTACGCACTATGCAAGTCACTCACCGGAAGAATTCGGAAGTCGCTCCCAGAAGGCCTGAACACAGCCACTGCGTCAACACAGCAAACAAGATTCACACTCGACACTACAACGAATAGCTGCATAGCCATGTTACGATTCTCTAGCTTCGTCTGAAGAATACTGCATACTTACATGACCACGATTAAACGTAATGAAGCTCAACAATGCTCCCATCATCCTGAGTCTTGCCGGTCAACTCGACTCTCAGGTTGTTATACAAACGCCAGTACCACGACAGCGTGATTTGACTGGACCATGCCTACCCTCTCGATTACCTTCTACTGGTCTGTTCCCAGTTCATCTCAGCTATACAACAACCAATACCGCATCCCAAAGGATTTCTGGAACGTGAGGCCCAGCAAGATGCTCCCAAAGCGGTGTTAAGGCAACTGCGGCGGAGCCCAACTCCTCCTCAAAGCCCCACAGCAGAGGATGAAGTCACTCCTCCTAGTCCTAAGCAGAACGATTCAGCCTCTTCTCCGCCCTCCGCTTCTCCCACACAGTCCACTTTTCGCTTCAACTTTCCCTTCAAATCCGCCAAACCACAGGGGGCATGGAAAGAACCTCAGGTTAGTTCCTCTATGATATAGTATTAAAGAAAGACTGTCATTAAATCATTTCATGTAGCCTTTCGAGATTTTTCGAGCTGTGGAGCAGAAGGACATCATGTTTCTGATGGAGGTTCGAGATCGAGCATTTCAGGTCTGCCTAAATATTTTCAGTCCCTATGTGGCGAAGTCGTTCAATGCTCTTGTAGCTATTGGTTAGGAAAACTGGAGACGCAACTCCTCTACTTCATGCCATGCGAATAGGGCAGTCACATCGCGATGTGGCTATCATATTGTTAGGAGCCTTTTCACGTTGGATAAACCATTTGGAAGATAGCGAAATACCGCTACCCCGAACAAAAGCTATCTTGAAGGCCCTTCGTGCGTTCACATCAGGATCATAACTACTTCTATGCACTTATGTGCCGAATAGGTACCAACCTCAAGCTAGCTATCGACTACGGTCTTCAGAAATCCCAGAGTGATCTCGCGGCATCCTTTTTGCAGACATTAATCATGAGCGAAGGTGATAAATGGGTGTGGGCTCAATCTTCAAGTGTCAGTCTTGCTTTACGTGCGGGCACTGCCGGAAAGCCCGTTAGTACTGCGGAATTAGCTGTTCGCAAATTTGCTACTAAGGAGCTGGGGAAAGCAGATGCGATTGCAGCCCTCGAAGACTAGTAGGTCAGATGCCATTTTATCTTTTGGCTACTAACTTTTTCCCAGTGTTGCAAACGCCACTGCTGATCTGTTGATGTTGGGCGCGTGGTCGATGGCTCTCCAAAGCATAGAAGGCGAATCGATACCTGTAAGTCAACACCCAGACCGATGGGGCATTGATCGACCGGTTACTAACTATCCTTCACTCAGTCATACTATTTTGCTCGCGATGATCGGATATACAAAGCATTCGTTGAACGCCTTGAAAGCCACAAAAGTGCCATTCATAAATCTCTAAGCAAGCGGCTAAAGTGGCAACTGAGGGTTCTTCAAAGAGTCCTAGAAGGCAGGACTACTACCTATCGTGTCAGTTTTTCGTGTTTCCGTGTTCATACCATATAAATATTTACTTCACACCTTTCAGAGCAAAGTGGAGTTGCTGGTTGGTGAGTTGGATGAAGGCGAGGGGGTGTGAGATGTAGGCTATCATTCAGACATCTGTATCATTATTGCCTTGAGCACAACTTATATTATTGTCTTTTCGCAGATTCCGTGTCCGTTTTCTTTGATTGATTATTGTCAATATGATATGCTCGTATAAGGTGCCCTCTGGATACAAATTCACATCCCTGCTAGGGCGTATCATCGAGCAAAAAACAATTGTATCATTTATGCCGCTATCTACTTGACGTTCATCTCCCAGTCATTATTGACATGTCCACGATGATCGTCACCTGGCGCTCGAGACCATCATTCGGTCCCGTCAGATGACACATTTAACTTCTGCAGTCATGCATAATGTGTTGAGCCTGCTTTCAATTCCATAATAGTATGAGATGCTCTTCTCATACTATGCAACAGAAGCAAGCACGCCTTGTTTTTACTTGACAAGATGCGCGATTTCCTTGTCCGCTATTTTATAAAATAATAATGAAAACTATGTTTCCATTGCCACGCGATGCGGGCAGGATAATGATGCATAGCTCAGAAGTATGTAGGTCAAGGCGTCTCTGCTTGTCTCTGATATATTCAAACAGGGAGTGGAAAGAAGCTATTGCGGATAAGCCCAGGAACGCCGAAACTGCAGGACATCGAAACCTGGCGACGAAGGGGACTTGAATCAAACAAAGATCAGTAGCACATGATGAGCCAGTAGGACGAGATGACTGAAGCTATCGTTCACCATTAGAGTAGCATGTTCATATGACATTGACAAGGGTGATTATAGATGTGGGCCACTGGCAAGCGCTTCAAGTTGGCCATTGAACCAGCTTGAAGCTTGAATAACAACTCAACCTCGGACTTTGATATATATCTCCTACCACGATGTCTCCGGAGCAGGATCCTTTCAGTCAACTATATCGGCTCACATATATGGTGCACGCTCAGCCTTAATTTTCAAGTCACTCGCGTTCTCAACATCGACTAGTCTCCATTAGCCGACCAATTTTTTGATATGAAAGTCGATACTCCTCGACTGATATCAATCCCAAACTTCGATTATTGGCTCACTTTGCAGTGCATAACAAAAAGTCCTAATTTAACAATCGGCAGTGTGCACGAGCGTCAATATGTTATCACACATTCATGCTCTAGTTTGGCGCCGTCACGACATCTTTTATTACTCCTCAAGATCCAGGAAAAGCTTTTGTGAATCAACTTTCTCGTTTCCAAATACAAGTCTATGGACCTTACTCTCAAAATCGAAGGTATCACTCTATTTCAAACGACCTCCTTCAACGTTGTTTCGAAGTCATTGATATCAATGATCTCTTTCAGTGGTTGGCGCCAAACTAATACGTTCATCGGCCTCAAACGATAACCCCCGCTCTTCCTACACAACCTACCTTGCTGTCGAAGTGGAGGGATATGAACTACGTCAGACGACCCGAACTATATGGTCAGGTAACTTGGAGATAACGTGGGGTGAGACGTTTGTCTAGTAAGATTCAGATATCTGCACATTAGGGATAATATCTAACTATCAGGGCTTTGATTAGCGAGACCAGCGAATCGTCAATGGTGTACTTTCGCCTGTGTACCATATCTGATAGCGCTGCTTCGTCTGCCAAAGTGTCAGGCACGACAATCGGTGAAGTACAAATCTTGTTTGGTGACTTATTGGCTAGGGGTAATGAGAGCGACCCAGGTTTGTCAAGGGAATTTAGAAAAATTGTTCACCTATAGCCTGACACTATATTACAGAAATATCGCTTCAGATCCAGTCGCCAGGCCAGTCTTTACAACAAGGAGAACTAATGCTCAAAGTGTTGCGTGTAAATGAAAAGAAGTCGATGGCTCATCCAAGCAAGGAGGAAGGAATATCCGAGGTAAACAGTGGTATCACGATTCTGGCTACTTGGCTGATCAGTCTGTATCTACATTCAGTCTAATAGCACCTTCAACGTTAGTAACGGTGGTGGGGATAAATCTTTTCATGCCTTGTGTTGTTTGCCTTTGACATGCACTTTTAGGGAGCTCAGACAAGTCATTGTCACGCGTGACACTGGCTGAGGATTCCTGGACTCGCTTTGAGAAAACAAATGGCCTCGAGGATCTCGACAAATCTATCAATTATGGACGCCAAGCTCTGGATTCTTGCCCTAGACATCACCATTACGATAGGGTCCTGGGGAACCTCGCGATAGCTCTCCACCATCGCTTTACACGACAAATTGATATAAAAGATCTCAACGAAGCTATCGTACACTACAAGCTTTTCCTCGAAAAAAATTCTCCAGAACATTGCAGGTACTCACTGGTGCTAGTAAACCTCGCCATTGCCCTTCAGACTCGTTTCGACGTACGAGGCAGTCTACCAGATCTCAATTTGGCCATCGAGTATTATGAAGGTGTTCTAAAGATTCGTCCTCTTGGGCATCGTGGTCATGTGGATTCGCTGCTGGATCTTGCAACGGCTCTTAGCACACGCTTCAAACGAAGCTCTAACAAATCAGATTTGGATCAAGCTATCGAGCACTATGATAACGCACTCAAATTGTGTGTACCGGGACATAATCGTCACCCTGCTGCTCTCATGGCCTTTTCCAATTCTCTTTTGAGTCGATTTGAAGTGGCAGGAGATATGCGAGACGTAGATTTTGCTATTTTGCACCTCAACAGTATTCTGGATCTACTCCCGTCAGAACATCCCAATCTCCCTAGTGCGCTGCTGAACGTCTCTGGAGCTCTAGTCGCTCGCTACAAGAAGCGCGGTGGTATACAAGATGTGGATCAGGCCATTGATCACCTGAAGAGAGCAGCACTATTGTATCCTCCCGGACACCATAGTCTCTCCAATGTGCTTATGAGCACAGGTAACGCACTTTTGATTCGTTCTGGAAAGCAAGGCGACCAGCAAATCGTAAATCAAGCCATCGAGTACTACTCAACTGCAGTAAAGCTCCGCCCTCGGGGACACCCTAACAGATGTAATGCCCTTTCGGGTCTTGCAACTGCGTTTCAGTCTCGTTTTGAGTTACTAGGTAACTTCCAAGATTTGGATTTAGCAATCGAGCATCATGAGAACTCGGTAGAGTTATATCCACCTGGACACATAAATCATCCGAGGGCTCTTATGAATTTAGCCAACGCTCTACAAAGTCGGTTCGAGCACCTCCGGAGTGTGCACGATCTGGATCAAGCCATCGTCTACCATAGTAATGCGCTGGAACTTCGCCCGCTAGGACATCCAAGTCGTTTCAAGGCACTGATGAATTTCGCCACTGCTCTGGAGTCTCGATTCGACCTGCGGGGTGACATTCGAGATCTTGATAGAGCCATAGAGTATTATGAATACGTAGTTGAGTCCTATTTCGCAGAGAATCCCAATCGTCCCAAGGCTCTACTGAACCTTGGCAGTGCACGCGTAACTCGCTTCAAGAAACTGCGCGATGAGGGGGATCTCACTCGTGCCATCAAAGATGGTGAGGATGCACTCCGACATCCATCGTTGAGCCTTCCTCTCCGCGCATCATTTCTTCTGCAACTCGTCGATGCACTTCTTGCTCGCTTCGAGTTACACCAAAACGCTATTGATCTTCACAACGTTTTTTCACACTTGCACTCCGCTTTCAAATGTCTACCGACGGGGCACCCGCGGCTGTATCTTGTCTACAGGCTATTTTCTGCCGCATATTTTGTGCGGTATACAGTTACCCATGACCTCGCCGATCAACAACGAGCCTTTGACTACATTAAGTCCGCATCAACTCATCCTTCCGCGGGCTCCCACAAGCAGCTAACCTCTTGTATGCGTTGGATATCGAAAGCGGAAAGTCTCGGCCACCCATCCGCGTTAGAGGCACATAGTACATCATTGAATATCCTTGATCGACACGTAATAGCGACCTCCACGATTACATCGCGTTACCAGACACTCAAGTCTTTACGTCGTTCTTTCGCTGCTGATTCTGCTTCATGTGCAATTCGTGCAAATGAGATAGAACTTGCGGTTGTATTGCTGGAGCAAGGGAGGGCTTTGTTATGGACGCAACTGTCAAGGTTTCGGACATCTCTAGATGATCTTCAATGTACCGGTGGTCGTGAAGCACAGTTAGCGGTTACGCTTCAGCAGCTTGGCAGAGAACTAGAAAGGGGGGGCTCCAGCTTAGGCCCACATGGTGCTCTGGTCGAATCGTGTTCATCGCTGGAGGCGGGTGCTCGCCGCTATCGAAAGCTATCAGCGCAATGGGAAAACACAGTTCAAGAGATACGTCAACTTGAGGGCTACGTTCATTTCCTTATGCCAACTCCTTTTGACGAATTAAAAAAGGCAGCTGACAAAGGTCCAATCATTATCGTAAACATTAGCCGGTATCGTTGCGATGCCATCGTCGTGCTCGGCTCCGGGAAGCCTCATGTTGTTCCCCTCGTTCAAATCACTCTCGAAGATGTTTCCCAATTGTCACAAGAGTTTGGCGCAGCGCTGAAGATGTCCACAGCTGCTGGCGAGGAGAAGATAAGAGAAAACCAAATCATACGTGTGTTGCGACAATTGTGGGATCTCATTGTGTATCCTATCGTCAACAAACTCAAAGCCTTGGAGGCCGATGTCCCACTAGGTTCGCGTATCTGGTGGTGCCCGACTTCAAAGCTTGCTTCACTTCCACTTCATGCAGCAGGACCATATCGTATGGGTGAACAGAATTTGCCTCACCTCTTCGTTTCTTCATACACTCCAACATTATCGGCACTCATTCGGTCGAAGAAGGACAAGTCAACTGTTTCCGAGTCGAAACGTGCCTTTTTGGCAGTTGGACAATCAAACCCCTACGGGACTAGCTGCGAGAGTGATCTCCAGTCAGTGAGTGTTGAGCTCGAAGCTGTCCGCCGCAAGGTCGTATCATCGCCTATGCAAGCGCGCTACTCACAGCTAATCGGAGACGAAGCCACTGCTGGAGCTGTAATGAATGCATTTCGCAAGCATGGGTGGATCCATCTCGCATCACATGGGAAGCAAGACATGTTGCAACCTTTCGAGTCTAATTTTGCTCTTCGTGATAAACCTCTTCGCCTTCTGGATATCATACACGCCGAACTGGAGCACCCAGAATTCGCATTTTTGTCTGCGTGTCACACTGCCGTGGGTGACAAGGATACACCCGATGAGGTTATCCATCTTGCCGCTGGCGTGCAGTTCTCAGGGTTTCGAAGCGTTATTGGAACAATGTGGGCAGTAGATGACAAGACTGTGCCCCATGTGGTGTCCGAGTTTTATAATCATCTTATAGGTAGTAATGTCGATTGCACTAACGCTGCGCTAGCATTGCACAAGGCTGCAAAAACCGTTCGGAAGTTTCAGGTTCCGCTAGACCAAAGGATCGTCTTCATCCATATTGGAGCTTAAATTGCTAGATTAACAACAATAGTGGAAAATATGTAGAAGATATTAGCTCCAATTTCCCGACAGATATGATGGATCTCAAACGCTCTACTATATATATGAAACTGGGACGTTCGACTGTCAGAAGTCACTTTAGCAATAGACTAGGAATTTGATCCTAGGCAGAACTCACACCGAGTAGGCATATGATATCGATCTATGATATTACTTCAATGGAGATAATAACAATGGGATGCAAGAGATATAAAACTACTACGTCTCAGTCTCACAAAGTAAGCATAGCTATGGAATAAATAACGTAAATGTAAAGGGACTGTACTGTGAAATATGAGTGAAAGTATATGTGCGTTTATATAGGGAATGTGTGTGCGAATTGTATATATGTCCATGTCATCAGCGACCATCGAGCATCTCATAGCGAAAAACGACGTAAAAATCACCAGCCACGTTGGACTTCCTCTGCAAGCTCTGGCAAGTCTAAGATTTGGAAATGGCTGCATTCGAATCCCATGACTTTGGCATCAGGATACACCGAATGAATCGAGTACTGCTCCCAGCCTTGTTTCTCTTCCTCAGGAATCAATGCAATATAACCCCCCGATGCCATGTACATGGTGATAGGTACACGCAGCTCTCTCAACCAGCCTGCAAATGCTTCTCGCAATGCGTCGACCGAGTAAGGTTCGTCGGCAGGGAGCAACTCGAACATGAATTCGTAAGTGGCGGCAAGAAGACTGGTTATGGTATCCATCCAACCGCGAACTTGAGGAGAAACCTCGTGACCATCCATCAATTTATCAAAGTCCTCAGCGGTACGAACACGTGAGGGCGCGCCGTCGATTCTATACAATTGCAGCATAGTGTCCATAGTTCGCTTCAGGACAGCGGGACCAGATGTGCGCAAGTTGATGCTCTCTTCGTCAGGCTTAACGAGGGGTGAGGCCCACAAGAGAGGGAAGTGATCAAGAATAGCCAGCTGAACAACTTCGTCTGCATTATCCTGCATGATACGCGCGACCATAAAGATAATAGTGGAAGTCCCGCAGAAACCAGCAAGACGGTATGGTCCATGCGGCCGAGCTGCCTTAATGTGTTCGTAGTAGTACTGACCAATGGCTCTAATCGAATGCACAGGCGTTTCTGGAGTAGTCTGAAGAGCCCACAACGAGGTCCTGAAGTTCTGCTTCATAGACATGAAGGGGAGAATGCTGCCGCTGGCACCGTGGAGAAGGATCAATGGCGTATCACCTTCGTAATCTGCTATCTTCACTACCGGTTGTTGCACTCCAGAGCCACCATCCTTCTGGACATCATGTGCAGAGCCGGGGTTAGAGATATCCTCAGTCTGAGACTCGGCTTCAATACGGCGTTCGACGTCAGCAAGACTGATGTCACCAAGGAGTTGAATTTGTGAAATCGTGATGAATGGTCGTAAAGCGTAGGACAGTCTACCAGCGGACAGAGAGTCAATCCCATATGAAGTGAAGGGGACATCAACAGAGAAGTCGGCTGGGTCCACATCAAGGAACTGTAAAACAACGTTACGAAGTGCATCAGCAGCGCTTTCTCCGGACGGCGCAGATTGCACAGAGGCAGATCGTGGAATTAAATGCTCGTAGAGCGGAGAAGGTCCTAGATGCTTTTCGACAAGCTCCCAGTCAAGGTCTGGAACATAAAGTTTGAAGGGTTCATCCTGAAGCTTGAAAAGTCCATCCTCAATGCAGTTGCAAAGCTCTGTGGTTAAGTGTGAACATGAGCAATGTTCCACAGCATTGGCGCGTCAGATATTACTTACCTCTAGCAGAGTAGGACCAGGCCAATAAGTGCCGTCCATGTACTTGGAAGTCGAGATCAGCTCTGCCGACCATAGCGATAGTGTCGGTAATGGCCGGGGTGATGATAGAAAAGGCATTCCTGTATTGTGCTGTCTTGCCTTCCACCACCGTATTCGCACTGCGTAATAAGGGTAAGGCGGAATGTGCATGCGAACGAAACCAGCACATACCTTGCATAATTGGTCTGGCCTGCATTACCAAAGGTTACGACAGACGAGAACGTAACCAAGAAGTCCAACTTCGCAATATCAAGACCAGCCTCCACTGTCTCGAACACACGCAGTTTTGAGTCGAAGACGGTCTTGAAGCTCGAAGCATCCTGCGAGAAGAACCCTCTGTCAATTAAGATTGCGGGTAAAAGCATGCAACCAGCTATAGGACGCGTAACACCCGCGAGCGTCTTCTGCAATGCTTCTAAAGAGGTAGCGTCTGAAGCCTCTATTTTGAGGTCTAGGTCTGGTCTGGTCTCAAGGTAACTGAGCATTCGCATGGCTAAAATATCATTTGCGCGTTCTAAGGACTGGCGGCCGGATCGAGATGTCAAGACGATGTGCCGAGCGCCTTTCTGCATGGGAGTTAGTTAATTACTCCAGAATGAGTGATGAATACGCACTTCGTACATCCACAGAGCAATGTGCATACCCAAACTTCCAACACCTCCTACCAGCAGATATGCCTCATCAGCCTTGAATAACTTGGAGCTCGCAGAAGATGATTCGGTACTAGGCCCACTGAGCACTTTTACATTAGGCAGCTCGAATTCCGAGGATATGTCAACTGCAGCCTGCAAAGTATCGCCAACAAGCCAAGGGTCGCTGGAAAGAGTGTGTGCGAGATTTATGCTTGTGGCCCAAGAGAACACACGAGTTCCCTCGGCAACGAAGCTTGTCAAAAGTTGATTGTCGTGACTGTAGCCAGACAAAACCAGGTCCCCGTTGCGGAGAGCGAGCTTCGAAAGTTCAAACGGCGAAGCTTTGGAGCCTACACCAATGGGTTGGAGACCCAAAGTATGCAGGAACCAGGCGAGTGCCTGACCAGTGGCCGTGTCACTGTGAGTAACAACGATACGACCCGATTTCATGCGCGATGGATCCCGAAGAGCTCCTGCGCCAATAGCCAAACCACCGATCAATAAAACTGGGATGACAGATGCCACGACTTGCGCATCAAGTTCATCCGGGACAGGTGTTACAGCACCCCTGTGCACCCTCAGGTGCTTTGTCGGTGCGCTCTTCACGACGGTAGTTATCAAGGAGTCGACCAAAGATGCGTCTGATTCATCACCAACATTCGTCACACGCCCAACAACGCCATAGAACCCAGCATCTGAGGGAGACGAAGCGACAACAGTGACCTGCACATCGGATGGTGATAATTCGGTCGAATCACCGTGTTCGATCTTGGTACCAGGAGACACAGTAGGACCTTCATGGAAGCGAGGGACAAATACTTGATACTCCTCATCGACATAAACTTCCCGTTCCATACCAGGTGTTGCTAGAAGACGATTGATAATGTTGGTCTGCTCAGCTCGAGGACACTGGAAGCCGAAGATAGCAAAGCCGATATCCCACAGTGGGAACTCACGCCGAACTGAACGCGTGAACCCTCTTCCACCATCGGCATCCATGGGATCCGTAGCAGTGAACCAAACCTTCGCTGGATTGTCAATGTCCAGGCCCTTCAGTATGCGCTGAATCTCCATTTCGCGGCCAACAGCATATGATATGAACAATATATCTTCCTTCGGTGCGCCCGAGGAGGGAGCAAAAGAGATTGATTGACGCTGGCCTTCCAGGACAACGAAGGGCGAGGTATCAGCCTTCACGCAGTGGGTAGTAGTACGCATTCCCAAAGAACTGAAGAGTGAAAGCCATTCACTGCAGGTATGCAGGCTACTAGAAGGAGTATTCGATGATCGTTGAGCAGGTTCAGCGAGTAGCAAGAATCCTCCAGGAAGAAGTAAAGAGTTTAGCTGATGAAGGTCTTGGTCAAGAGAATCACGTGATCCTAATGCCTGAAGGCTGATAACAGCATCGAAGGAGGCTTGCGGGAGGCCTTGCTTATCCAACGGTTCTGAGAAATCCAAAGACACCGGTCTGCAAAAGCGCGGCAGAGCCTGCTGTGCCAAAGATGCGGAATCTTTCATGCTAACGAAATAGGCGACGCTAGAACCTGATTGGACAATCTTTTCAAACGAAGAGCAAAGCTGGCGGTTCAGTTCGCCAGAACCTGCGAGAGGAATATTAGGGCTTGACACCAACACAACTTTTGATGCTTACCGTAATCCAAAGCCAAAATACGAATAGTTTTCTTTCCACACACACCAGTCAGATGGTTCAACGCAGCACGAGCAATTCGGAACAATGCGTCCTCTGGATCTGCACCATGCTGTCGAAATTGTGCATCAGCATCAAGTCATTAAGATGTATTGTTTCCACATACGGGAACCGAGTGCTCTTTGGGCACGCGCATACGTGGAGAGATGCCAAATGGTTGATATGCAACGTTGAATCGTTTGCTAATGGTACGAGGAAGAGTGTTGTAATGACGCTCAACGACCAGCCCACTCATGGTACATAGTCTGGTTCCAGTAGAGTCGACCACAGTGACATCGGTTACCAATTCAGCTGAATAGAACATCAATTAAAGACTTGCACTGTTTATAGAAAAGACATACAAGGTCGCCACTCTCTCAATAGAGCATGTGCATACACTGTTCCAGGGAAAGTACCTTGGGAGAGGCGCTCATGCACCATGAAAGTCTCCACCCGAGCCGGAAGGTAGTAAACCTTGTGATCCGGATTCCTCGTGAAGGAAGGATGCACTACCACATGAATGCATGCGTCAAGGATAGCAGGATGAATGACAAAGTTATCAAATCTTGAGTGAATGAAGTCAGCATATAATAAGCTAAAAAGAGGAAGCGCTCCAACCCAGGTAGATCAGCAGCCCCTCCCCGAATAGTCAATACGGCTTCATCTATGCCCATATTGAACTCTGTGATACGACGGAAAACGGGACCATATTGAGCGAAATGCTTTAGAGCATCATAGAAATCTGAATGCGGCAGAAAGCCAACGTTTAGTTTTATCTCAAACTAACAGAGTTCTTTGAGACTTACTCTCCATGCTACGCGGCTGGCACCGACTGCGAATAGCCTCAATATTAAGATTATCCAGATTATCCACTGGGACCTTGGACATGAATCCATCGGCGTGCAGACGCGATGCAACAGTGGTACCCTCCATAAGATTTGCAGAACCGCCACGAGATTTCACGGCCCAGTGCATACGGTCTATCTCCACCTCGACTGGTACAGGGCTTTCCGCAGACATAGACAGGATTGTATGGAACTTCACATTCCAGAGCACCTTAGCACCAGCCTCCAAAGCCTACGAAAGATCAATGTTCAGAATTCGTTAACCTAAAAATTAGATTGTATAAACCTACCATTTCTAGATATCCTGCAGCAGGCATGATAGGTTCATCGTTTATAAGATGTTGTGCAATTTCAGGGTGTGTGAGCTTATTGATGCGCAGATCTACATGGTTCAATGGGCCGTTACGAACGCCAAATTGCTTCTGCGCGACACGGGAATGCTCAGAAAGGTAAGGCACGAACTTCTTCGCGAATGGGTATGGTGGAATAGTGAGGGAATGCGATATAACCTTCTGCGAGTTGAGAATACAGAAATTGACAGAATTGTGACCCATGACGACAAGCTGTCCAAGTGCTTCCAGGAGCTTGGATTCTTCGTGGAATTCCTCCAATTTCTTGGAGCGGCGCATGGGGCACACTACAGACCCCATAGGAACACCAAGTTCCTGCAAGTAGGTGGACAACACTGGGTGAGGGCTGACTTCCACGAAACAAGCGTTGGGGTGAGTCTTGAGGATGGAACCAATGGCTTGAGTGAAGAGAACTGCATTCCTGCTGTTCTGCCAGAAGTATTCCTCGGTGAATTCGTCCGTTTTCAGATCACCCGTAGCAGTAGAGTAAGTCGGCACTACAGGCGTGTGCGCACCAGGGTGTCTGGCATACACTTCCGAGACCAACGAACGGTAATAATTCTCACAAACCTCCATGAGGCTGGAATGGACAGCAACACCCGTCTGAATTTTACGGGCAAGAATACCTCTTGTTCCTGCCAACTCTACTGCTTTCTCTACCAAATAGGTGTGACCTGCAATGGCGACAGCTTCATGAGCGTTATAGCACGCGATTTCGAGGATACCCTTCTTAGCATCCATACGAGTGACAGCGTGGATGATGGCTTGTGCTTGTGCAGGAGTGCAAGTGAGAGCAGCCATTGTCCCATTAGCTTTCTCAACGAGAGTCATAGCCTTTCCGCGAGCAATGGCAATCTCCATCGCCATTACCTTCGAGCCTGCTCCTGATGCGTATAACAAGGTAGTCTCACCAGCGGAGTGGCCAATAACCATGTCCGGGCGAAGGCCAAAGCTAACTAGCAAGTCGAAAAGCGCCATCTGAACCATGGCGAGCGAAGGGAGAATAACAGAAATTGGCCATATGGAGGGCAGAGTTTCAATGGGTGTGACATCTTCAAATAATCCGACCAACTCGCTCAAAGAGTGACCAGTCATTTCGCGATGGCAAGCGTCCAGTTCCATGATTGTATCACGGAACACTGGAAATTTCTTAAATAGCTGACGACCCACTGGAATATAAAGATCAGATCAGGTCCTGCGACAGAGCCACAACCAATGCTGCTTACTGTTAATATGTTGAGGACCCTGGCCAGAGAACAAGAAGACCATAGGTGGCTTAATACGGGGGGATAAAGCTGGTGCTGGGAATTGTAAAGCTTGAGCTTGCTGCCCTGGGCGAGCAATAGCAAAGGACCGCCATGTCATCTGCCTGGCTCGACGACCATAAATGGCAGAAACCGCCGCCAGATTCTCGGGCTGACTGTTGACAACACCACCCAAGGAGTCAGCGATGGCAGTTGTGGATCTAGGCGACAAGCCAGCTGCCACAAGTAGAACAGGGCCAGTCGCAACTTGACCAACAACCTGTGGTTCGCCCAAAGGCGATGGACTCTCGACAACGACGTGACCATTGGCACCACCAATACCGAAGCTCGACATGGAAACCAACAGCTTTCCGGATGCAGAACGCGGCTTAATTGGTGTGGCTTCAAGAGGAACTTGGAATTTGTATTGGCCCCATTTGATGGCGGGATTACGTTTCGTAAGGTTGACATTAGGAGGCACCACTCCCGTCTCCAGAATGGCGCACACTTTACATAAAGATGCAAGGAAAGCTGTAATTTCCAAATGACTATTTGCAAAGCTCAATAAGCTAGATGCTTCAGAGAAGAGATACTGGTTAGCTTACCCGATGTTACCCTTCACACTACCGATCATTAATTCCTCTTCCCTGTTAAAATATTGACCAATCCATTCACTCTCCACTGGATCTCCGGCCGAAGTACCTATGAATGAAGGAAGTCTTAGTTGATGGACGAATCGAGCTGTCGAGATAACTAACCAGTTGCATGCATTTCAACGAAATCGACTTCTCTTGGGTTGCGGTCGATACCCAGGTAAGCCTTGCGCATAGCCTCGGCTTGTGCGTCACCGACAGGAGCGTAAACCGGAGCAACACCTCCGCAAGAGTTAATTCCCGACCCAAGGATCTAAATCGAGAACAGAGCAGATACAACCATGAGTCAGCTTCCATCACAGATGTCCACAGCCAGTACGTACATTGCCATAGATGTAGTCACCATCCCTGATAGCATCTTCGTATGGCTTGAGGACAACTACAACGGCACCTTCACCTCGCGAGAAACTACGTACGATTACTATCGTCGTACACAATGCTTAAAAAACCAAAGCTTACCCATCAGCTCCGGCGTCAAAAGGTTTGCACTTGCCATCCCGAGCAAGCACAGAAGCTTGACTGTACTGGATAAAATCAGCCAATCTTTTGAAAAGGAACATCAGTAAATATAAGATAAAGGAAGCCAGATAATTACCTCAAATTAAGCTGGCATCCAGCAACAACAGCGGATTCACACTCTCCAGCTCGAATTGCCTGGACAGCAAGATGTAAGGCAGTCAAACTTGAACTGCAGGCAGTGTCCATTGGGACGGAAGGTCCTTGCAAGTCAAGGTGATACGATATTTTGTTGGCCATCATAGAGGGTGTTCCAGCGAAAGAACCCTTGGCCTCGAACTCATCCTGGACAGTAAAATATTAAAATCGCAAACGGAAGCAAGGTTACTCGTTGAGAAACCTACCGGTTCTGTGATACTTAAGATGTCGAAAGCTGTGCCAGCAGCGTAACAGCCGACATCACGACCCCGATACTCAATGCCCGCATCAAGCAAGGCCAAAAATGATAACTCGACAAGTTTACGGATACTCGGTGCCATGGCCCGGGCATCTTTTCCTGATATACCGAATTCGACGTGATCAAACGATCCTACTTCCTTGAGGAAAGCGCCACGCGTAGCAATTACTCGACCGAGAGTCTCTCCCGCCCATCTGTTGTGATACAAATCAGACGGGGCCTAGGTACAAGGTTAACAAAGACTCACGATTTAACGTTAAAGCGTTCTTTAGGAATTTCTTCGTATGCTTCTCCTTTATTCAATAGGAATTCCATGAATTTCTTGTAGTCCAAATTAGTTGGTGCATAGTCTCCGCTGGGGAGGTCGGCGGCGATACCGACCTTTATAGACACGTTAGGGTGAGGAGAGCTACCTGTACTGAAGTCAAACTACTCACAATGGCTATGGGTTGTTTCTGCGAGCTCTGAAGTCCGGATGACATGTTAATAATACTATGGTATTAGAAGTTAAGAGCAAATATGTGAGAGCGAATAGAGAGGAATTAAAAGTAGTTGTTGTTGAGGGACTGAACTCGACACTTTAGTGTCTTTATACAACAGAGACCACAGACAACGTAAGACGTTGACATCAAGACAGTAATATAAAACTTACTCCGGGATGCCGCTCACTCAAGCACAGTGACAGATCAAGACGTATAGGGACAGCCATCATCTATCAGAGTTGTCAGGTACGAGACAACATTGAACGGGAGTGCCTTCACGCCTCACTATATTGACATCTTGACCAATGGGAACGCTCGATAACGATATGTTTAACTCTGTTATTTCTTCTCGGATAACCCAAGTTCAGGCTGTGAATAAAGCTCCGATAGTCAAATCAGTGTTTAGTCCCGGAATTTTTGAAAGTCCAGCATTTAGCTACTAGCACAGATGGAGAACCTTGAACGAGGTTCGTAACGACGTCGGACAACCAATCGCACGAGAATAGCCATGAGCTGTCAGGGTCGTCAAGCATACACCAGGGCCGCCAATCATCCTGGTCAAACGGGAAAGTCTATTGGTTTAAGTGAATGGAAGATTGAAGTGATCGTGGCTTTTCCAAGTCTGCTCAAGATGGGAAAATACAAAGAATCGGACATTGCCGCTGCATCAGAATCGTCAAGTCCCTACACGCAGTTACTGGATAGCTAATCCCAGCTGCATGCAAGTCAAATAGTACAGGATCGCGGGTATTGCTATTTCACAGCGCGCTGCTCACCTCCGAAGTTCGCATGTCCTCAGAACAATTATGACATTGCAATTCGCCGCATCAGAAAAAAATATCCGGGCAAGAAGGAGTATAACCAAGGTCGCGAGGCAGTTCCGCTAATCTGATGGCATACGGTTGAATCTGTTATCTAGCAGTTGGAGCGCGGAGTCTTGAAATGATGCTTTATTACCAGTCGCCAAATGGGCTCTACGGGTCAGAGGTACTGACGTAGACACATTGGAGCGTCGTAAGGTTCCCATGCTCGCAGGAAACGAGCAGCGCGGAACTTCCAGGACAGCCTTCGTTGTGCTCCAAAGTCGCCTAACACTGATTACTGATGAGATGCTGCTGACAATGGGACATTGTTTACTTGAAGCAAAGTTGATTCGCTAACAGTGTGGTTTGATAAGGCGGATCGAAACCAACCACAGGAATGAGTTGCTTTCTCCACCACGCATGCAGTGCTGATGTAGGGCCATCAGGCTCAGAAGAAGACTATATCGTGAGCTGTATCTGACCTCAAATGAACTCCCACTTTCACTTGCTCGGAGAGGTCTGTAGTAACCCCATACATCCAAGGGTGACCAGTACTTCTAGGCCCAAGGCTGCGCATGTTTCGGTTGATATACTAAGTATTACGTTTTGACCTGCCAGATGATATATGAGCGTGAAGATGAAGACGAGTGAGCTTGCTTAGGGTAATAGCACGATGGAGCAAAAGATCCGCTGGCACAGGTCCGTGCGAATGTCACATGCTGTCAATCCAATTAGCCGTGACCGCCAGCGCAAAGAGTTACGCCGCTGTGTACGTATCTGGGAGATCTGTAAAACATAAAAATACTAGGGTACAGGTATTACGTAATAATCGAGGTCGAAACCATCAGCTTGATTTAAGTTACTCGCCGAATTACTTCCATCGAGAGATCTCTGACTGGATCAGATCAGAAATACAGACCCCGTGATTCGCCCTCGGAGACTGAACATTGATACTTATGCCCCTCCTTCCATAACTGTGTTCACGCGGGGCCCTTGGGAAATACAGCATTACGCAACACGGCTTGTCCCTTGCAACATATCATGATGAAGGCAGTAGCCTCAGGTTCTAACACGGATCACAATACCGACAACGTCGCAACATAGTACACGCACCATCGTCAAGTGATGCTGTTTGATCACACAAACTCAGGTACCTTGGCCTACCATTATCTATGACCTCGATTATCATTTAGCTGTGTCCACCTAGTATCCATCACTGTGTCATATTCATATTTCAACACACTTATCCTTCAAATTCGTCGAGTCAGAATCTGTATCAGTTCCCTTTGACCTCTCCAGCCCCTCGTCTCTGTTGAATTCACTTTCATCCATTACTACAATAATCATGTCTTCCGAATCCTCCTCACCTGCCTTTGGTCACGCCATGCGCTCGTACTTCGGGTTTGATTCAGACTACATTAACCTGAATCACGGTATGTACAACACTACTTATGTCCACCTATGTCTGTTGAGCTGCGAGATGATTAGGTGCCTTTGGAGCTGTGCCCAAACCGGTAGTCGAAGCAGCTCATGCTCTAACCAATCGAGTCGAGTCCAACCCAGACTACTTCATGAGGCTAGAATACGAGTTACTCTTGGACGAAGGGCGAGCACGTCTGGCACAACTCGTCGGTGCAGATGTGGACGAATGCGTGCTTGTCCCGAACGTAAGCAACGGTATCAATACAGTACTACGAAACTTCGAATGGGCCGAGGGCGACATATTGGTGTCTGGTAAGCCCTGCAACTTCTGGTGCCCCTTCCGAGTCTTACATCATTCATTTATTTGCGCTTCAGCCAGCACCACTTTCGACTCTATTGCCCGAGCGGTTGAAAATATCACTGGGGCACGTCCACAAGTCCCACACCCTGGCGTCTCCAAGTTCATCCTAGACTTCCCTCAGTCGCATGCTACTATCCTAGCTTCGTTCCGCGAACACCTTCGTGCCGTGAAGTCACAGGCTCCGAACAATACGATTGTGGCTCTCATTGACACTATTGTGTCTCAGCCAGCTATCTTAATGCCTTGGAAACAGATGGTCAAGATTTGCAAAGAAGAGGGGGTTTGGAGCGTGATTGATGGTGCACACTCACTTGGCCAGGAGCTCAATATTGGTTTAAGTGAAGCTGACCCCGATTTCTGGGTCGGAGTGAGTCACTGTTGCTTTTTCTTGAAGAGATCAATCAACTGATATGAAATGCGGACAGAGTTGTAGCAAATGGATGTACACTAAGCGTGGATGCACCCTTCTCTACGTTCCAAAGCGGTAGGTGGCGTCAGGATTTCCATGATTTCCTTACTGATCACACAAATGTCATAATAGCAATCAACACATCATCAAAACCACGCTTCCGACTGCGCACAGTGTCCTGGCCGCTTCAGAAGATAAGCCCCCCACCGCCTTCGTGATGGAATTTATATGTATGCCAGAATAACTCACTTGCGCATTTGCTTCTATTTATCGCACCCTGACCCTAGATTTTGGAACCGTGGAGGCTATTCCCTTCCTCAGTATCAAAGCAGGTTGGAATCCGGCGCTCTGCCTTTTATTTTGTCTCAAATTGACTCCTTTCACTAGCATTGGACTTCAGGGATTCCATAGGCGGAGAAGAAACAATCAATGCTTACTGCCACTCGCTTGCCAAAGCAGGCGGAAGGCGTCTCGCCGAGGTCATGGGGACATCTATGATGGTAACAGACAATGAGGACGAACTGATTGCCAACATGGTACGTAACATTAGTCAAACTGGCGCCGTATACTTATTGTGGTGGACCCGTAGGTAAACGTGGAACTTCCTTTTCCCGCAACTATTGCCTCGACCAAGGCAGTATTCCGCGTTTTCCAAAACAGACTTTTACAAGACCACAAGATGTACGCTGGCCATTTCTTCCACAACGGAAAGTGGTGGACGAGGGCCTGCGCTCAGATTTACAATGAGGTACGCTTGCGTAATATCTTGACGCTCAAGAGTGCCTAATCCTTGATCGCCGCTGTATCTTCTTGATTAGATCGGAGATTTCGAAAAGCTTGGATATGCGCTCGTCGCTATATGTAATGAGATCAAAGAAGCCGAGGCTCGGTAAACCCCATTTTTCTGAATATTGTCGACCCGCGATCATGTAGAAATACAAATAATAACTTATCTAAGGTTGCCACGGTTTACCTTCGTGGTCATAGATCCGATATGACGGCATCACTAATCATAAACCCCGGGAATTTACTCCGACCCTGACCGTAATAGCTAATCTACACCAGACCGAATTACTGAAAGTGATGAGGGGCCAGCACATGTATTGTGGTGTTACTAACTCCCGCAGGCAGTAATATATAAAATCTTTCATATTCAATCACACAATATACGTTGGCGAATAGATAGGATTCTCGCCTAGAGTTCAACATCGCCATCATTCGATATTCAACTGAATGTGCATCAACTACCCGCTATCTGTTAGGCTTTTCCCGAAACCAAAGCCCCTACAAACTCTGAGTATGTTCCGTGCGCTTGGCCTAACAACAAGGCCAACTTTCCATGCTAAGTACTAAGATACATGTTTAATATTAGAGAGGCGCGATGACTTTCCAGGAAGTCCATGCATATATAAAATATGAGCCGGTGCGATACTAACAGCACACATATGTACAGCAAAAAAATCTGAATCCAGTTGGAAGTCCACATGACAACTCATCCGCGTCTACAATCCACAGCCTTCACAAGCCTTTCCCCCGCTACCATCTTTCAAAAATACATATCACAAAGATGATCTCCATGTCACTCAGGCTGCCACAGTGTTCTGTTTTTTGGCTGTTCTGCGGTAAAGTTCGACGCGCATCAGGACGAACATGGCCAATCCACCGGCTCCCATAACCTGTATGATATCCATCGTACTCAATAAAAAATGGCCATCAGATGTGAACTGCAATTACTCACTCCGCTGAAGAGTGCAGGCTTCCACCAGATATCCTGAGTAGAGAGCAAAGCACCAGAGATAGGTGTACCTTTCAAATCAAAATGTTCAGACATAGACTGAGACAGTTCATTGATAATTTTCACTCACCAATCAAACCACCCAGACCTTCAATCATGTGAGAATGTCAGTTCGTACCGAATAAATATATAACCATTGATAACTCGAAGACACACCGGAGAACAAGAAACCGATACCCATGCGAGCCCTGCAATCGACGTTGAAGATGAATAATACAATACAAGAATACGCGCAAGAAAGACTCACCCCAGTTCTGAGACATCATCACTTAACAAAGCCATCAATGGTCCCATCAGACCTACAACTGTGACACGAACGAAGAATTTTAAAAAAAAAAAAAAAAGTAAGTATAATCTAACTAGAATCCAGGCCAAATGCTCTTACATGTTCCTGCAAAGAATCCGTAGAAGATCTCGACGGCGATAAAGCCTCCCAGGTTGCGAAGCCCGATCATCCCGAAGATCAAAACAGTGCACCCCATGTCAGCCACAGTAATCATGTTGTGAACACCGAGGGTCTGGGCAAAGAAGCCAGGAAGGATCCGCCCAAAGAAACTCGAGGCATTCAAAATGACGAGCTACAACAAGCCCACAGGTTTTGTAAGATATATATCTGGAAGTTATAAGTCACAAATTTTACCGAATAGAACGAGTTCGTTTGACTGAGACCATGGGCCGTTGCATCTAGTTGAATATAAAAGAGCGGGTAGTAGAAAGCCATGGTGAAGACCAGCAACCTAAAATGACCCAAAACCATCGATATTCCATATAGTGTTACTGGGAAAGAACTCACCCCAAAGCCGCGAACACATATGCTCTATCACGAGAAAATTTCTTAACTGCTTCACCCAAAGGAATGAGGCGTTTTGGAGGCGGAAGTCGCGTGCGCATAAGCATAGAAGCGATGATGAGCAAGCCTGTGACCATGCCAGCACTTATCCGCACAGCATTTCCAAATGACATATTACTGTTGAGTAGTTTATTCATCATAATGGGATGGATGACGGCGCCAAGTGAAGTTCCTGATACAGCAATGGTCATCGCAATCACTCGGTATCGCAGGAAGTAATGAGATACAACGGCGACCGTGGGGACATAGATGATACCTGCTCCTATGCCCATTCCTAATCCTTGGGTGAGGAATATCTATCCAAACTCAGTAATCAGCGAACGGCTACCGGAGAAAAAGTCGGTTACTTACTTGATAGAAATTATCAGGTTGAGCTAGAGACAACATAAAAAGCGAAAAACAATATAATAGTGAACCAATAGTAATGAGATGATAGCTGGTATTCAAATCATGTCAGTAGTGAACGTGCTCATAAGGCACATTTACCTACAAATATCCTTTGTCAAACAACCTCCCAACTATTACACCGCCAGAGATCATCAAAAATGAATTCACGCTCCCGATCCACCTTGATGTAGATTGTAAAGAAAATCCAAATATTGACAGCTGGGGGCATATAACTCACGAGATTGTAGAAGTCGACTGGTTTGTGATATAATGTTCGACATAATAAGCTAGAATAAGCAAAGCAAAGATGAACAACGTATAACGCGTGCAGCTCCAGCAGTATGCTGACCCTGGTACACGCCAAACGACATTGTATAACTGATTTTATCAGTGAGTTTCATTTCTTGAAATTTACTGGACAAAACACATACCCAAAACCACAAAAATTGAACAAGAATCTAACAAAAAAGTCTTAGCTTATAGATATCTGAATCATGAGACACTCAACGATCCAGCCACTGTTGCCCATGCTCTCCAACCACCTTCAGGGAAATCCATAACCGGCTGTGGTGCAACGTAAACTTTCTGCTCCTCTTCGATAGGTAATGACTTTAATCCGCCATGGTCAGAACCCTTCACGCCGTGCACCATCTCCGACATTGCAGCCAAGTCGATGGTGTGTACACTGTTACGATTGGGCCTGCCAGTCGAAACAATGAGTGCGGGTTCCTCATCCCCTCCTACTTTTCCCCCGTCGAGTAGCGCATTGTCACCATGGCCCACCGACGAAAGGTCAATTGCGATGCTGTTTCGAAGACTAGTGCGAATACTGTTTCGATTAGGAGCCATGCCCGTGAAAGAATGGAGAGGGCGTTAAAGCCGCGTGTTTGAAGATAAATGCGAAAGAGGACCAGTGAAAGAGGTATCGACACTGTCTTTATATATCAGAAAAGTGAAGCCGCGGATATCCGTTCACTCGTAAGTGGCCATACGTCAGAAGTACCCGATCCTCTCGTCTCGTCTGATTTACGAGTCACGGTGTAGAACTTCAAGCTAATGAATAGCGATATTACCTATGCACTATCACCCAAGAATAGAACGCCTTTGTCTACTTGCTAGGAGGCAGCAGGAATAAGTTTGATTTATGGGTTTGGATGGGGTCTGGTGAGTCTACCAGGGACACCGACCAGTCATGGTGCATCTGGTGCCTGTCATGTCAAGTTCGCGGGGACGAAAGGTATATGGCATTCTCTGATACGCAACATTGACTGATTTGAACCAGAATGGCAGTACTGATCGCAGATTTGCGTGTTGGTATGGATGGCGGCCGAGACAGAACAGCTGCTTGAGCACAGCCTGTCAGAGGAGCGCCTGCACAGACCTGCTTTCATTATTAGCCTTGGCGCATATATAATCGCTTAAACCAACCTCACTTGTTTTTTTTTGTTTTTTGTTTTGAAAATGGATAGAAAAATGAGGCCTTCTAAATGCAATTGCCCATGAGATATGGGTGTATGTCAGCTCAGTTATTATTCTAGATCAAAAATCTAACCTCCCCAACAGCAGAGATTCCGAGTCGCAATGGAAGCCAAGCGTGGCTATGCAATGGCCCCCTTCTGGTCAGACCAAATTACCTATGACAGTCGATATCACTGGCTCTTCACCTAACACGAACAAACAGCGGTACCATGATTATTGAATCCGTCGTGGCACTGGCACTCGTCGCCTTGCCATGTTTAATATGCAAGTGCCCAGCCCAGCAACGCTTCCTATGCTGAAAATAAAAGTGCGAGTACTAAGCCGCCCGTATATACACGGAAACAATGATACTGGTGGTCTGCTGTATGTCTGTGCGAAGTTCGGACAAAGTTGAGGACGGAGACACATGTTGATGTAGTTGGGTCATCGCTAACAGTCAGCCGAAGAGGATCTCACAATTGACATCGGGCGGCCCCATCGGGTACCATATTTACTTCCTCGAGGCGGGCGAGAACTTTAGCCCCACAGCATCGGGAGCTATCGGGTAAGTACCATAGACATTGCAGATAACGATTGCCTTTGATTGAGGCATTTTCTATTGCCTCGGTAACATCCCGGCAATCTGGATGATTGTGTAAGCAGCATCATGTTTCCCGCCACGCCAGTATATAGATTATGCCTTTGGGGACTTTGGACGCTCTCCCTCTACTTATGTGTTCTATCAGAACGCGCATCCATCCTTTCAAACTAGCATTGCTTTGAGTCATATAAAACACAGAAACTTGGCGGTTTTAATGCGATTGAATTCCAAGGCTTCTACTGCGCCCATAGTGGCTCGATTTTATCAGTCCTCGTCATCTTTGTGACTAGAACGAAAAGAGAACCAAATGCAAATGCTGACTGGAAACACTGACGGATAGTGATCCCGATGGTCCCGCCAGTAACCCAGCATATTTCCGTCACATCCCATTGACCAAACCAACGCTCAGACTGATACTTATAAGTAGACAATGTTTTGATGAGCTCCGACAAGCCCGGAACCACATCAGGATGACCCTGGCTCGCTACAGTCATGAAGTTGCGTGTTGTCCTCGAGGAACTTCGGCGGTGCGAGACAAATTACCGCAGTCTTACTTCCGCTGACATCGGTGCATGAGTAGGTCGCACGTTCTATGAAAACTTGGCAAGTCAAGCGCTCGACTCATGAGGTAGTGGGTGGACAGTACGGTAACTTCTACAGATGCGGTCCATTTGTGCTGGCACGGTAATAGAACCTGGAGGATAATACGCTAAGCGGTGACCAAGGCCCTCCATAGCTCCATATTAGATGGTACATTGCCTCCCCCAGGATATCACGACTCACCATTTCAGTATCTCTACCAGTTCGAAGGCAAGCACGGATCATTCCACAATGACAGTGGACATCATCACTCCGAGTTAGCAGCCGTGGTGGAACTATAAGCACCATGAAACAGTGAGTGGGCAGTGCGCCATGGTCGTGGTCGCTATTGAGCTGCCCACTGGAAAAGTAACTTGTTTTCCCTCTAATTTTCCACAGATTACATTCGAGTTGCGATGGGCGTGGAACAACCAGCAGAGATGGTATCATACATCACTTTCTCGACACGAACATGCTGATATACAAACTCGGTAGTCTCTGTTCTTAGTTTTAGTACATAGAAGTTCCCAGTTAATTCCGTGATTTGGCGGCCAAAATAAGTTTCACAGTTCAGTCAACAAATTAAACTGCCTGGCATTATTGTTGGCACTGCGTGTCTACTGTTGTGAATTCGATGGTGAGCGCAAATGGTTGTGTGGTTGAGCTAAACCTGATGTTTCTGTCGATCCAGTTGCTCCTTTACATACATCAGATGTAAATAACACCAGCCATAGTCCAGTGCTGCATCCAAGCCGCTTAGCGCCAACTGGAATGAACAGTCAACTACAATGAGTTGAAACCTGACTTAAATAAGGGCTTTGTTGAGCTACCCAAGAATAACACTCTGAGGCCTTATCCTACACAGAGAAGCAGAAGTGATCACATTTCAGCCGTCGCAAAGGTAACAAAAGAATGGTTTGCCTGACACTCGAACTGGCAAATTGAGTCAGAATAGCAACATGCTCAAGTATTTGCGCTCACCTGCTCATCGACATATAGAAGCGAGACTCCACCACCTCCAATCTCGTCTTCGAATGTTTCAAAAGAAGATTCAAACATTATGCAAAACGTCAATCTAGGCAACGATCCTGTTCAAGAAAAGTCAACATCGCAAATAAGAACCCGGGGACGGGTACAAAATATCAGTATGTCAAATTCTGGAGCACGCCCTCGATCCATAATTCGAAAGAGGTATACACCATGAAGAAATTCAAAACCAAGTTTCAAGCATCATGAAGAAAAGAACAGAGCTTTCGTGTACTCACCGTCATTCCTTGGTGTCCCGATCAACCAAATGATGAACACGAAATGTTCAAGCAAAAAATAGAAGCAAGTAAAGAAAAATCGTGTCGAAAGAGAGTAAGCCCCATTAAGTTGATGATCCACCCACGGGTGGGTCTACAATCGCATAACTATGTCTATGAGCAACGAAGCACCTAGTGTAAGACAGATGACCCGAACGCGGCAATGCTCATATCTTCGCACAACCGCGACTTAAGTCGAGTTAGCCGTCTACAGTAGGCAATAGAGAAGACGAGGAGGAACCTGGATCCATTTCTGAACATATGCAGTATAAACAGAACCCAAGTAGATCATCCTCGTCCTACCCCCCTCGTCCCCCACAGCGTGCTTAAAGCTGGGCGCTTTGCGTATCGAACGAGGGTGATAACTCTATATCTCCGGGGACTTTCCCCACAGCGAAAAGAAAAAGCATGATAGCTCTTTTTGCGTATACTGTGACAGCGATTCTTCGGACGACACACATCGATGAAAAAAAGAAAAATTTTGCTTGTAAATTTTATACCCAAAATTTTTAACTCCGCTCCATTACGAGCTAATGTGGTGTAACGGTCACACGGAACGTAACACGGGGTTAATGGGGGAATTCCTGGACCCGTAGGTTTCAGGTTTCCATCCAAGGCAGACCTGGACCCTGTTGCATTGAGATCTGGTCAGGTGATTTTTTGATGCCTTGCATTTAAGTTGGAAGGCAGTAAAAAAGTTCTCGATTGTACCAAATCCAGTGGCATAACAGCTATGTTGCCACAGTTGTATCTTTCTGACTTTGCAGTAGTAGAGCCAAAGGTATTAGAGCCAATTTTGCAAGCAAATAGGTGAGATAGCTTTGCTGCACTGGCATGCAATGCTATAATCAAGCCATACAAAATTGTAGAGTTTGAGCTACAGTGGGAGGCAGCAAGTAATGAAAGTTGGCAAGGCTAATATGCTATTGACAGGTTGCATCTGTTCATGGATGAGTGCTCCCTGGCACAGGCCACAACATGAAACCAGGGCTTATATCATTTTCAAGGGACCAATAAAAGGGGTGTAAGGAATCAATTTTTCTATTGCATTCCCGTCATGTCATCTTTTATCTTCTTATTTTCCTTTCATACTCATATTGTTATGATAACACAATTCTTGGACCTTTAAATTTCATTCTCCTCTTCAACTTTCTTTTGTAGTTTTTACACCCTGTGCCATGCGGCACTTTCCATTCTTGTTCAAGCTCCACTTCTCGCGCTGCACTGCCTTTTCCATTTTAGATATAAGTTTCTCACACAGTGGAGCTAGCCACATGAGCTGTGCCCCATGACATCATCAGCCACTGCCTCCATCAACCGTACAGTACACATGTACAAACAAACTGTAGTAGTACCCAATAGATCAAGGAGACTCCTCAGCGAGTCCTCCTGTTGTTTACCCACAACAAACTCAGTCCTATCTAAAGGGTAACCACTCCCCTCACTTCTTTATAGCTTTGTCTGAGTTGGGTGCCAGAGTATACAAACTCTTGGTTATCACATTAGAACTCACTCTTACTACTCTCATACCTCACACTTTGTGCAAACCCGGTCCCCAGGGTTAAGGGGTTATTGTTTGGGAATATCCCATATAGCAGAAGGGTGCACTCCTAGCGATGGCCCCGTAGTGCTCTGGGAGAAGAGACAATTATCTATACACGGCCCCCAGTGTCAAGGGGAGTACTTAGCTCAGCAGTTTGTGTGTGACCACTGTTGATTAGAATTTACATACAAATCTTCTCTTTCTCTTTCCTCTGACTAGGTCAGGCACTTGCCTCTGCCAGTCTGGAGAAGGGTTGACAGCTTAACAAGCGGACCACCCCCTGACAACCATATGGACCAGGGTTTATTACATTTACCTTTTATATACTTTTCAAATACTATAGTGTGGGTAGTTGGATATTGAGATCCAATACTCAGCTGGGAAGAGGTAGATCCGCAGATAGCAAGCGGGGACCCCTAGTTACTTTTTTTACATTACCAAAGAGAACAAGTTGGCATGTCGTCGCAACCGGATATGAACAGTCTGCTGCACAATATGTGTGCACAGATTCATGCATTGACAAATCAGCTCGCCAAGATTCAGGCTGCCCCAGCAGCAGAACCTATGGTTGAGTGAAAGTTCAGCAAGAAAGTCGAGATTGTTGCTGACCCCGGCGCTTTTGAAGTAGACAGGGCTCAATTTGCCGAATGGTGGATCAAGCTCCAAATTTGGATCAAGACAAATTGGGATGCGTTTGCCAACAATTTTGAGATAGCAACTGCTGTGACAACACCAACAAGACACAGTCTTGGGGCACTGGAGCACAATGAAAACAACACTCAAAAGAAGAGGAAGAGGTGAGCGTGGTTACCCATTAGGTTTCAACAAGTTAGTTGTTGGTAGACAACAGGAGGACTTGCTGAGTCCTTCCCCATGTATTGCTCCTGTATATATACTAAAATACATGAGGTACTGTACAGTTGTAAATAAAGTTTAAAGTCTGATGTTTAGCATGTGACTATGGAAAGTCAAAAATGTAAAGTAAAGTAATTGGTCACATTACTGGTCATGTGACTTGGAAAATGAAAAGTAAAAGTACAAAAAGTGAAGCGTAATTAGGTGCTGGTACGTCAATTGTAACAACTGCTGTGCTATCTCAACTAAAAGGACCTGTGGCAGGTCAATACACCCAAGTAAGACTGCAGGAGTGCTACATGGTGGGAGTGTGGCCCACCTGGGACGATCTCAAGATAGAAATCAAAAAATATTTCAAACCGCAAGCTGAGCATGACTGGGTGCGTCAGCAAATCCATTCCTTCAAGCAAGGAAGCATAAGGGCGGATGATTATGTCACCCAGTTCCTGGCTCTCTCTATCCAAAGAGGGCTTGGAAATGAACATGCAGTAGAGCTGCTAGAATGCAATGTGAACCCCCGCATTGCCGAACAGATCTACCTGCAGGATACACAAAGTGACAACCTGGCCCTGGCGGCCGAGGAAGTTCGCCAAGTTGGTAGAGCCCTGGAGCTGTATATTATGCACCAAGATGGCGGGCCCACCACCAAAAATAACCTATCCCAGAGGTGCCCTGGGTCATCAAACCACCATAATCACTCTCACAGGTTCAAGCCGTTTGGGCTGCAGCCAGGACAGGGTGCTCCTATGGACATCGGCGCAGTCCAAGGCGGACAGATGCGCAGATTCAAGGGCAACTGTTACAACTGTGGCCAAGAGGGACACATATCCCAAGATTGCAGAAACGGGGCGCAGGCCGCCCAACAGAAAATAACCAAGGCAGGCGCGCCAATTAGAAATTGAAAAACTGGATGATCGGCTCAATACTCTGGCTGGTCGTTCTGTTACAATTGACATACCAGCACCTACTTACGCTTCACTTTTTGTACTTTTACTTTTCTTTTTCCAAGTCACATGACTGATCCTGTGACCATTTACTTTACTTTACATTTTCGGACTTTTCATAGTCACATAACCATCATGTGACACATCACCTAACCAGTGTCTAGACTCATCATGTGACCAGTCACATACTAAACATTGGACTTTAAACTCTATTTACAACTGTACAGTACCTCATGTATTTTAGTATATATACAGGAGCAATACATGGGGAAGGACTCAGCACTCCTGTTGTCTACCAACAACTAACTTGTTGAAACCCAATGAGTAACCACTCCCACCTCTTCCTCTTCTTTTGAGTGTTGTTTTCATTGTGCTCCAGTGCCCCAAGACTGCGTCTTGTTGGTGTTGTCACACATTTGTATGATGAGATCTGGGCCTTTTTCTATGACTAGCAGGTCAACGAGATGAAGGCTCAGGGAAAAGAGTTCGGAGCTTAGGTCACTTGGGTGCCTTCGCTCCACAAAACAATGAAGTAAACCACAACAAAGTGGCCCCTGCTCTGGGGTGTTGCACGAGCAATAAAGGAAAGAGGGTGGCTCCCCTATTTGTAAATAAATTTCTAAATCTATTATCTGAAACATGTACTTGTATGAAAAATTGTAACTGTAATATTTATGATACTACCGCTGCACCAGCGTCTCCCTTGGAGCATGGCCCCGGCGAGACAACTACTAGTGTGCTTGATTCTGGTAAAAATAAAAATAAAAACATAGAAAATATTAAAGTAGAAAAACATGTTTCTCTCAATTCTTCTTCTTTGGAGCCACTTTCCCCTGAAATCCCAAAGCGTGTGTTGATGCGCACATATTTATTCCAAAAAGAGATCCATTCAGACGTTGGTGTGGAAAACCTTGCGCGGGGCATAGTACACCCAATCAGCGCACTGCTTGATTCAGGCACTAACAGAATTTTCATAGATCAGGTCTGGGCGGAACAAATTGGACTCCCCCTTGTGAAATTAGACGTATCTATTCCTGTCCATAACATTGATGGTATGCTTAATGCGGGTGGCTGCATTACGCACAAATATTCTTTTGTTGTTGAGTACCAAGGACACAGAGAACAAGTCACCACCGAAGCTACCTAACTAGGGAAGATCAATTTAATCTTGGGCTGGACCTGGCTATTTAAACACAATCCTGAAATTAACTGGCAGACAGGGGTTGTCACATTATCACGTTGTCCTCAGGAGTGTAAGAACTTGGGTAAACCAACTCACGTCCATCAAACTGAGCGCCTTGAAAAGATAAACGCTGGTCACATTTATGAGCTCAGATCTTTAGAAAAGATTGGTAAAACCTGAAGAAGAGATTAAGAGGCTGGTACCTCCAAAGTACCATGACTTCTGGAAAGTCTTCTCAAAACATAAATCAGAACGCAACACTGACTTATGAGAAAACAACAGAATTAGAATCAGAATGTGATAGAGCGGGGAAAAAGACTAGTCTTCTGAATAGTGTAACAAGCAACAGGATTATGTAGTAGATGTAGAATTCCAATGTACAGAGCAATGATGCAATATGATGTCGTCATTGTGGTGAGCTAGCTTACACCCTCCCTTCCCAGAGGCTAAACCTTGGGGCCATGCTATAGATTTGAAGGACAACTTCAAACTGAGGAAAGGACACATGATACCCCTCTCTGCTCCAGAAAGAGATGAGGTTTCAAGTTTCATAGACAAACAGCTTAGGAAGAGTTACATCAGACCTTTTAAAAGCCCTATGACGTCCCCAGTGTTCTTTATTACTAAAAAGGATGGAAAAAAGCGCATGATTATGGACTATCATGAATGAGTACACAGTTAAAAACGCGTATCCACTGCCTTTGATCAGTCAGCTAGTAGACAAATTGGCTGGTGCCAAGATCTTGGCAAAGATGGATCTCAGATGGGGGTACAATAATATACGTATCAAGGAAGAAGATGCTTGGAAGGCCGCGTTCACGTGCCACCAAGGATCCTTTGAGCCCCTTGTCATGTTCTTTGGGTTGACCAATTCACCGGCGACCTTCCAGAGCATGATGAACGAGATCTTTGCGGATATGGAAAACTGTGTCGTCATTTACATTGACAATTTATTAATATTTACGAAGTCGGACAATGAAGCTGAGCATGACAGGATTGTGCAAGAAGTTCTTTGACACTTACAGGAACGGGACCTATTCATCAAACCCGGAAAATGGAATTTTAAAGTGAAGGAAGTAGACTTCCTTGATATGATAATTGGTAGAACAGAATCAGGATGGACCCTGAGAAAGTTCAAGCTATATTGGATTGGCCAGAACCTACTCCCGTCAAAGGAGTTAGGGCTTTCCTTGGCTTAGGCAACTTCTACCGAAGATTTGTTGAAAAGTTCGCAAAAATAACGAAACTGTTGAACAATCTCACAAAAAAAGACATTGTTTGGCACTGGGGCACCAAAGAACAAGAAGCTTTTGATAAGCTTAACAGGCATTTATGACAGCACCTATATTAGCATTTCCCAAATTAGACAAAGAGTTCCGGCTAGAAACCAACTCTTCTGATTTTGCTACTGGGGCTGTTCTATCAATTAAATGCGCTGACAATCTTTGGAGGCCTTGTGCCTATTTATTGCATAGTTTGTCGCCTACAAAGCACAACTATCAAATTTACAACAAAGAGATGCTGGCCATCATTAGAGCTTTAGAGCACTGGCGGCACTACTTAGAAGGTGCTAGGCACCAATTTGAAATATGGACTGATCATAAAAATCTGGAGTATTTTATGACGGCTCGGGACTTGAACCGGAGACAGGCCCGCTATGCGGTGTACTTGTCTAGGTTCAATTACAAATTAATTCATAAGCCTGGAAGTTCTATGGGGAAAGCGGATGCTTTGTCCAGAAGAGAGGATCATGCCAACAGCATCAAAGATGACAACAAAGGTGTTACCCTGATAGACCAATCAAGGGTTGCCAATGTTTGAATTGTGCAGATTTTCTGGAAGTCTTCAAGAAAGACATCTCCTCAGAAGAGAAGGCACACCTTGATGGCAATGAAAACTATTTATGGGAAGACAGGCTCTTCCATTTCAAAGACAAAATCTATGTGCCTGAGTCTGCAAGGATCAAGGCAATAGATAGACATCACAACACTCTAGTGGCTGGGCACTCTGGGTGGCAACAAACAATGGAGTTGATCTCCAGAAACTACATGTGGCCTGGCATGGTCAAAGATGTACAGGAGTATGTAAAATTTTGTCTGAGATGTGCCATGGCAAAGAATTCACATCAACCGCTGGCTAGTAAACTTATGCCAAATCCAATACCAGCTGGTTCCTGACAGGATATATCAGTTGATTTCACAACGGATCTGCCTGAGTCAAATGGGTATGATTCAGTAATGGTGGTAGTAGATCGCTTCTCCAAAGAAGTAGTATTTATTCCCACCAATAAAACCATTATGGCCGCTGGTATGGCAGATTTATTTAAAGATTTTGTATGGTCCATCCATGGGTTACCAGAAATGGTTATCTCCAATAGGGGACCCCAATTTACTAGTGAATTCACAAAAGAATTATGCCGGTGTCGATGATGAGAACTGCTGTTAGAAAACCACACACAAAACAAACTAACACACAATCCTCCCAGATTCCACGGAACTTGTTTATGGGCTTTGCCTCCTAGAACAGTGGAGTGGTCTGGTTGTTTGTGGGGTGGTACGTATAAAGATCCTTCAAAGTAAAACCCAGAGGTGTATGAGTGTGGGTTTTGAAGAGGAGGGATAGTTGAATTTATAGAAGGATAGGGGCTTTGTGATGAGTATAGACGAGCACTACCTTGCTAATCGTAGCACAAGGTAGGTTTGAGAATGACAATATGACAAGGTTCCCAGTGATAGCAGGCTCCTGACGCACAAACTATAGTGCTCAGAAGGACTCTAATCAAAAGGGATGACAATGACTTCAAAAGTGGGAAGTGATAATGACAGCAGTTGACAGTGGTAGAAGTGGGAAGTGTTGTGACCACACTGGATCACAAGTAGCAGAGTAGTGAACTTGAGAGTAGAGAAGAAGTCTGGATTGGAGTTCTTGTTCTTTTACAAGGTAAAATACAGGGGTTTATATAGTGAAAGAAAAGTAGGCTATGCACAGTATAGCTGTGCAAAAAGAATGAGAAAGAACATGAAGGAAGGAATGTATGCTGACAAATCCTGCGTAGGTAGTACAGGATAAGATTGTCAAAAAAGGAAAAGAAAAAGATAGAACAATGAATGCTGTGAGTAATGTCACAGGTTTGTACAGCCATAAAGTAAAGTCCAATAGCAAAAAGAGAGCAGGAAAATCATGATGTCATGGGAAGATGCAGTAAAAAAAGGGCAAGGCAAAACACTATCAGTATCAACACAGTTCCTTTATTGTCAGTCAGGCATTCTAAAAAAATATGTGTCCATAAAAAATGATTCAAAAATCAAAAATAATTGCACTGTAAATGAATGTTCTGCTGAAGAAAAAGAAACTGGAGCCACCGGTCCACCACCTAGTCCAAATCTGACAGTTCCATGGCCTTACCAATGTAGTGGTTGTGTTGGACCACCTGATCAAACGAGGGAGGGAGAGGAGTAGTTCCAATTTGGAACAAGTAAGTCCCAGGCAGTGTGTGGTAGGTGTAGCTGTAGCAAAGACGATGGACAAAAGATAAGTTTACCCAAGTGAATGGGACAGCGATGAACATGGGCGACGCAAGGGGATGAACCTTCTCCAGCTCAAAAACTACCCACCCACGCTCCAACCAGGCAGGACGAGCGACTGATGTTTTGATAGTATATGATGGCAGATCAACGTCATGAAGATGGACCTGTTGCCCTATTTGGACCGGCCGCCGGGGCTTTGCTGATATCAGCAGTGGCACGTGGTAGTCAACTGATCGGCAACGGAAGCGGATAGGAAGTGGTGACATCAGAAATGGTGGGGGTGCAAATAAGATGAGGAGGAGGAGGGTGGAGGTGACGGAAAAGTGGATTAGAATAGGGATCCAGAAACGACCGTCAGGTGAGAATAAAAAGGAGAGGAAGGGGCCCATGGTGGGGCTAGGCAAAGGAAGGGGAGTAAGGGAAACGACAAAAGCGAGGGCGCAATGCAATGTGTAGCCAGTGGCGACGCAAAAATTTGCCGAAATGCCGAAATGCGGAAAGTACCGGATGGAAAAGCAAAGGTGAGCGTGACTGGATTGCCTAATAGAGGTGGTGCTGATCAGCCACAAGTTCAAAAAGGGCAATATTAATTACTATTCCACGTGGCACTGTGCCTGTGTGGCGCAAAGGCGAGTCTTTTTGAATATTTGCTTCGTTATTGACACCTGTCCATGCTACCAATCAACTTTGGTGCATAACACCGGATGCTGGGCATCAATCCTAAATTATCAACGGTGTTCCATCTGCAGACTGATGGACAAACGGAGAGACTCAACCAGGAGTTGAAACAATATCTCCAGATATTTATTCATGACAGACAGACAGATTGGGCCAAGTGGATAAAGATAGCCTAGTTCTCTTATACTATTAAACAGTTGTTGGCTACAGGAAAGGTGTTACAATTGACGTACCAGTACCTACTTACGCTTCACTTTTTGTACTTTTACTTTTATTTTTCAAAGTCACATGACCAATCATGTGACCATTTACTTTACTTTACATTTTCGACTTTTCATAGTCACATGACCAAGTCATGTGACACAACACCTGACCAATGTCTAGACTCATCATGTGACCAGTCACATGCTAAACATTGGACTTTAAACTTTATTTACAACTGTACAGTACCTCATGTATTTTAGTATATATACAGGAGCAATACATGGGGAAGGACTCAGCAAGTCCTCCTGTTGTCTACCAACAACTAACTTGTTGAAACCTAATGGGTAACCACTCCCACCTCTTCCTTTTCTTTTGAGTGTTGTTTTCATTGTGCTCCAGTGCCCCAAGACTGTGTCTTGTTGGTGTTGTCACAAAAGGCACCATTTGAGGTTACAAGATTGTACCCTCCCAGAATGGGTGTGGAACCTGCAAGAACAAGGCTGCTGAGAACATGGTCAAAGACATGAAGTCTGTCTTGGACGAAATGTGCAAGGTGCTATTCAAAACTGCAAAGCAGATGAAAGACAGGGCAGAGCGTAGGCGCTCAAATGCCCCTGAGTACAAGGTCGGCGACCTGGTCTGGACCTTTAATTTTCATTCTCCTCTTTAACCTTTTTCTGTAGTTTTCACACACTGTGCCATGCGGCACTTTCCCTTTTGTTCAAAATCCTCTTTCTCGCGCTACACTGCCTTCCTTCTTATTTTAGCTACAAGTATCTCACACAGTGAAGCTGGTCACACGGGCTGTGCCCATGACATCATCAGCCACTGCCTTCATCAACTATATAGTACATATGTACAAACAAACCTGTAGTAGTATATATACCCCAATAGATCAAGGAGACTCCTCAGCAAGTCCTCCTGTTGTATACCCACAACTAACTCGGTCCTACATAAGGGGTAACCACTCCCTCATCACTACCTTTATAGTTTGTTCTAGTTGTGCACCAGAGTAACTAACTCTTGGTTGTTACAAGAAGCCCATCTGGACAATTTCCACAATGTTGTTTGAGAATTTTATTCCAAGAATCCCTTGGCTCCTAGGAAGCTTAGAGGCATGGATTCAGCCTTTTTTAATTCCCTGTTTCAACCTATGCCCCAAAATTTGACTACTACCTCCAGTACTTGGTCTTGCCTGAATGTTGAGCCTTAGGAGGGGGTTAGTATTATAATACACAATTTTTGGACCTTTAAATTTCATTCTCCACTTTAACTTTCTCCTGTAGTTTCCACACACTGTGCCGTGCGGCACTTTCCATTCTGTTCAAACTCCACTTTCTTACACTGCACTGCCTTTCTTTATTTTAGCTACAAATCTCTCACGCGGTGGAGCTGGCCACATGGGCTGTGCCCCATGATATCATCAGCCACTGCCTTCATCAACTGTACAGTACACATGTACAAATAGTCTGTAATAGTATATATACCCCAATAGATCAAGGAGACTCCTCAGCAAGTCCTCTTGTTGTTTACCCACAACTAACTCGATCCTATCCTATAGAGTAACCACTCCCACTCATTTCCTCTTTGCTTGTCTAAGTTGTGTGCCAGAGTATACAAACTCTAGGTTGTAATGTGGACTTTGCTCATGCTCACAAGGACTGGCCTGTGGAGGATTGGAAAAAGGTTGTATGGTCTGATGGGACCAAAATTAATTGCCTGGGGTCAGATGGATACAAGTGGGTGTGGAAAAAGCCAGGTGAGGGGCTCGGTGATAAACTGGTACAGGGAACTGTCAAGATTGGAGGAGGTTCTATGATGATCTGGGGCTGTATGATGTGGGAGGGAGTTAGGTATGCTGCTAGAAGTGATAGTAGGATGGATGGGGACTTTTACCTTCAGATCTTGAAGGATGAGCTGTTGAACACCCTGCTGCAGTATTATGGTTTCAATCCTCCTGACATTGTCTTTCAGCAAGGCAAAGGCCCCAAGTATACCTACAAAAAGGTCAAGGAGTGGCTAGATGATCAGGAATTTAGAACTATGGTGTGGCCTGCACAGTCTCCTGACCTTAATCCTATTGAACATAGGTGGGGTTGCTTTTAGAGGAGGCTTGCAGAGTATGAACACCCTCTAATGGGATGGAGGAGTTGTGGGAGAGGATTCAAGTGGAGTAGGAGAAGATAGCAGTTGCAGAGTGTTGCAGCTTAATTGAAAGCATGCCTAGGAGGATTCAAGCAGTGCTCAAGACAAAAAGAGGCTATACCAAGTACTGATATTCCCTAGATATCTCCCTTGATACCAAAAATGAAAAAACTGTTGCAATAATATTGCTGTTTTGAAATGGACATATCTCCACAGCCGCTGGGCCAAATCACATGACCCAGGAACCATTTTGTAGCCAAGACCAAGTAATTTTGTCAACCCCACCAAAGTCAAGCAACATTCCCATGCCTGTTAGTGGTGCACTTCACACACCATGTTTAGGCCAAACATTGCAATGGTTTTTAAAGTCACTGTATTCCTTAGTTCAATATTAGTTTGGATTTGTGCCTATACAGATACTCTTCAATCTCAATACTCTGGTTCACCACCTTTCCTCAAGGACTTGGCCAGACATTTGTTTTTGTTATATAGTTTCATATTCAATGCCTGACAGGGGGAGGGAGGGCTACACTTTTTTCCCCCATGGGGTTTTTAGTGCAGGCTCAAGGATATCCCCTTATGAGCCTGACAGAAGTGATTGAAGAACTAATGGGTTAGTGAAGGACATGGAAGGAAGGACCACTCATGCCAAGCCCTTTTCGTCCCAAAATTAAGCTCACTAGTCAAAGCACTTCCAAATATTATCTCCCAGCTTTGTAGCCAAATCTCAACCCCCCCATCTTTACACTACTCTCTTTAAACTTCAGAATCCACTGCACCTGCTGATAACTCAGCTGGGTGCATGTAGCTTTGAAAGTGAACAGCACCACAGCAAAACAGGGCCCCAAACACACTCACACAGTCTAACCTCCCTCAAGACCAGTCACATAAGAGTGATAGGAATAATGCAAGATACATTGGATGTACCAGGTTGTCAGTACTTGTTGTATGTAAATAGTAAAGTCTCTGACAAGTATTCTGTAGAACCTCTAAACAAATATTATTGGCACATATACAAAAATTCTGCAGAGTGACCACTGCAGCTGCAGACAGTGCAAGGTTTTTGTCCTTCAGATTTGAGACATTGTCTCCTGCCACCCCCAATAATACCTGTTTTGAGAACAGCTAAAGTGGCAAGAGGAAAGTTATCATCCATGCTATTGCAGTAGCTGTGTCTGCACACTATTTATTACATTGGCATGAGCAACGTAAGGCATTAGCTTAACAGCAGAACTATTTCCAACAGTAGCGCTGTATACTCTGTCAACTATCAAGGCTTCAGAGAAAAAAATAGGGGGCAGACAACGGGAGCTACAGCAGTGGGATCTCAAGCCATGAAGGGTTCCCTCCTTCTTGAAGTAATGTATTAGAGAGACTGCATGTCACTGCAGGCATTGGCTTATCTAAGCCCAGCTTATATCCTGAAAAAATGGGAGTTTTGGGTTCTGATTAGCTAGAAAAAGCTAAAATTGAATGTTTTCAGGATATAAGCTGGGCTTAAATAAGCCAATGCCCGCAGTGTGTGCTGCTCCAATTGAGCACAAATCAACGACTTGCAAAAATAAAAAAGTATCCAGTAAGGTTGGGGAAGATAAAATGTATGATTTTGCTGCAGGGCCATACATTGTGTGGGTAAATATGTTGCTTTCTGTACAGGTCCAAACATTTGGAGGTGCATTTCAGTTTGATTCAGTTTGCCATCATCAAGCACATCAAGAGTTGGCAGACTGCTGATTGCCCATGGTGGGGAGGAAGAGGAAGAAATAATGATATAAAAGAGTGAGACCTTAGGTCTTAGCAACTAGATAAATAAGAAGATGACTGAGATGAGATGAGTAATTTATAAAAGGTCCGCAAAAATCACAGCGTAAATGCAAAATGGAAACCTGGATCCTAAGGGTCCAGGAACTACTCATTTATATTTATGCTTCCTTTCTTTTCTTGCGCTTTCAGCTTATTCTGTCTATTGTCATGTGGCTACCTTGGTGCTACTCACTCTTGCATCCATTGTATGTTGTTGCTCTGTAATTACTGTAAAGACTGTGCAGAATGTTAACTGTGATGGCTTGGTGTGTGATCTGGACACAGCCAGGGCAAGGCCTGCCCCAGAGGGCAATGATTATGAGAGAGTTCTCAAGTTGCTCTGAATCACAATGTAAAGTCTTCTGATGTATTCGGAATCAACTGGGGACTCTATGAAATACAAGTCCTTTATATACAAAAACAAGAGTGAACTATGTTGTAAAGGGAAACAACGAATGTGTAAGGACCATTTTACTATTTTCTTATCTTCTCTATGTCTTGGTTCTCGAACACTTTTCCCATTACACCTCTGGCTCTAGGGCTAGAGGTATTGTTTGCTATCTTACTTCTCATAGCCATCATAGGCTTTCTTAACCACAGCTACCACTTTATATCACAGATCAGAGACTGGGTATCACTCCCAGCCAGCCAGCACAATGGGTAGGGACTGGTAGTAGGCATCTCGCCAACCAGCTCCAAGCCCCATCAAGGCCTGGATATACTAATAAACACTTTGATCAGGATCGTACCTCATCATGAGGATACGGTTCCTGAACACGCATGACAAACACCTATTATTAGTACAATTCTCTCACCCGCTGATTAATCAAGTCAAAGTTGTACAATAGTTGTTCCCTTTTTCTTATTGGACGATTTATTCCTCAGACCACTTTTCGTCTATACTCCTTTTGGTCTGAAGAACAGACAGTTAGCTATATAAACCTTACACATCACATGTATAGCTCTTTAGTTTTCTATTACTTGAATTATCCGCTTTACCTCTTATCAGAAACCTCTGAGTCCTACTTCTACATCCTCTACTTGCTATATTCTCTAGCATCTGTTGATAACCAGGCTCATTGAACCCCTTACTCCCTGCAAGCGCAGTAGGAGACAGGTTTTGTTTCTGTTATAGTTTATTGTTGCCTCACAGAATGGCTACTGAGTAATGACAGTGCATCAGGAAATTGGTGAGGAAATGATATGACCAGACAGAGTTTGTATATCACTTTATCATTTTTCATCATTCTGCTCTATTTTTATCATGGATTATAAGGCTTTATAATCAACACAGTTTTAGTGTTTTTTTTGGAGTGCTTAAACATGACTAATCACAGTGTAGGTGGGTGGCTGCACAACAGAGTTGAGGACTTGGTAAAATTTGCAAGTTTTTTGTATAATCAATGCTAATCATCAAAAAAAACCAGTACAAGGGCATGCAGTCTAATGGCTTAGAGGTTAGATTACCTGCAGCATTTAAGATTCCGACCATGTAATCTCAAGTTCAAACCTTGCTTGTGCAAAATGTAAAAAAGCAAAATGAGCTCATAAATTACTTATATAATCATGCAATTATTAATTAAGTTGAATTTTGGAGTAATAAAATCTACAAACATTGATAAATACATAAATACAAAGAGTTACTCATAAAATATAGCGAATAATATAGTACATGGCCAGAGATTTGTAGCCACTCCGCACAAGTTTCTCCGACATAGACCCCATACATGTGGCAGCCCAGACTCAGCTCCATGTGTTCATCAGGTCCAGCTTTTTTTTTCAAATATAACCATGGACTCTGATCCAGATCCCAACCAAGCACCTGATTTCTCAATTTGCAACCATACCCAGACCCCAGCTCAAGATAATCTTCAAATGATCTCCAACCCCGCTATCAAAGCTTATTATGACCGGTTAGATTGTGATATGCTTTGCCGTTATTACTCTGTTTTTGTATTCATACCATAGTACTCCTAGATCAATACCAGTGCTTAATCTCTCCCCCATCTTTTCCAAGATGCCTATATCAATTGACAAAAGTAAGTGCTGGCTTGAGTTCACTGTAAAATACCAAGGCTGAGACATATCATTCTCGCACTGTAAGCATTATGGGAGCTTGTACACAATTCAGAAGGCCAGCCCCAATATAGGTGCCGTTTGTGTCGCAATGGGCGCTTGCGCTATCCATGGCACCTACCCCGCCATGTACAGTCTCTTTTGCACCAGGCCCAAGCCGAGTATGCTCGCCAATATGAGCTTGATCTTGATCAAGCTCAACCTCCTGGATCACCACCTCTGGCTCCTAAAGCCTCGGTCCCCCAAGCATTTACATTAGTCAATAATGGCATTTGTACTTTTCTTACATCTTTAACAGGTGATAATCATTCCAGCCTACAGTCTCAGCCACCTGCCAATCCCCTGCCATCTTTCCCCAACATCATCAACTTTGACTAGGGTCTACTCAACAACCCCTCACATGCCGTTCTTGATCTGCAACCTGAGCAGGAAGTAGTTGCCTCAATAGCGCAGGCTGCTCTTGACCACTTCAATGCACTCTCGGATTCCTCAAATGAAGACCTTGAATGGTTGTATGCTCCCAGCAACGATGATTTGCTGGAGGTTACTGTGATTGGTAAGCCTCATGCTTTTTTTTTCATTAGTTATAACTGTGACGCTTTCCAGTCAATGATGATATTGAAACAGCCAGTCATGGATGCAAACGTGCTTGTACTGCAGACCATACAGCAACCTCATGCTGGTGGTTCCCTTGGCAAGTCAAGGTTGTAAGTAGTCCGCTCCCCCAATATGTTCCTCTAGCGTACCATCTACATTATATCACTTATACAGACATGTACCATGGATATATTAATGAATTTACCCCACTCAGTTTTCTCGCAGAAACAACTTGATCTGTTTCTCTGGCTGCTCAAAGTCAATGATGTAGATGATGTCCCATCAGTCAAGACCATACAAAGTCTTAATTCCGCTTTGCAGAAGTGCTGTGGCATTGGGACTATCACTTACAAAGGAGCGCTGGGGAATCATTACCATGTAAACAACCTCGCTCATATAATATCTCAGGTAATTCTAACCTCATTTTTTTGAGCATGACACGACATTCCTATCCTTTTAACAGGAGATGTCAAACCCCAAGGTTAGGCCCCACTTACACTTCTACCCCAAAGACAGTGGACTATGGCTCTCAGAGGCTCGACAGGGTTTGTGCTGGCTGTGTGAAGTTCCAGATGAGCAGCTCACACCTATGGCACGGCTCAACAGCCACGATTATTACATACATGAACCTGCAATGCTCTCAAATGGCCATGTATGTATCCCCTTCCGCTGGTTTTATCATACTCAGAATGGCCATCCAATGATGTTTGCCCAGTGCTGGGCCATGGAACCTGTAGACACAGACCACCAGCGTAGTTGGAAGGTCATCAAATGTGATGATTATGTGGTTTTGCAGAATGAGTTCCTTATGAATTTCCTGCAGCTTTGTCAAAATGTGAAGTGATATAATCTTCCTGACCCCAGGCTTCTCTCTGGTACATTAAAAAATGAGATTGTTTCCCCAACAACATATTGATTATTTTATTTATCAGCCGTTGTAGACTCCAAGACATCCTCAACTTCTGAGTGGGCATTTACAGATCCCAATGTTGGGAATCGATGGCGTGCACTGTCAAAAAGGCACAAAGTGCTCAGTTTTCCAATATGGATGTACTGTAATAACATGTCTGGTAATATGTCCAAGAAATGGAATGAACATAACAGTTTTCTGTTTATTCCTGCAGGTCTTCCATGTTCTGAGGCCCAACAAGAATACAATGTACACTTTTTGTGTACATCCAACTTAGCACCTCCACTGGAGATGCTGGATGGTATTGTTGGCCAGCTCAAGCATGTCAACTTCTTATTACTTTACAATACCTGGACTAACAGTATCAACTTTCTAGAAACGCACAAAAAAGTGGTGTTTGGTCATGGGACTCTCAAACAAATGAGCCAGTCCTTCTTCTACCCTTCGTACTTGCTCTGTTGGGAGACAATCCTATGCAGAGTGACTTTGCTTGCCACATAGGACTGTGTGGCAAACTTTTTTGTCGTGCATGCTGGGTCAAAGGAACTGATGCTGCTACCAACATCCTCGAGTCAGCAGGCCAGTGTGTCCACCAAGAAAGCAATGGAGCCGAAAGTGATGCAGACAGCCAAATGGCCAGCGACGACAGTGCAAATGAAGGAACATCCAATCCAGCCAGTGAAACTGAAAGTGTACATTCAAATACAACAAAAAGCAAGCGCAAACAAGGGCTGGAGACCATGGCTAACATGCTTAGTCGTGTTTGAGATTTTGTCAAAGTATGCTCTTTTATTATGATGCAACTACCCATAGCTGATCTGTCAAATTCTATCTAGGTTGGTAAACCTCGAAACAAGCAAGAAACAATCACTCAATTGTGTGCCCAATTTGTTCAAGCATCCCAGCTTGATTCAAAGACAAAAGTCAACAAGATGCGCACAGAATCTGGTATCAAAGACACCTTTCAGAAGTATTTTATAGATAAGGTTGTCGGTTCATACCAGCGTTTGAGAGGTGTGGCAAGCAAACAAGCTGCATTAGATGAGTCAATAGCATCTTTTCCCGACACAATCATCAGTCCTGTGTGGAGAATCAAAGGTAATTTCATTTGTGGTATTTTCGTCAATTTACTCAAAACCTTATGCTTCACAGGACTTGACCCACACCAAGACACGCCTGTTAAAATACTACATATTGTGTTACTTGGCTTTGTTAAATACTTGTGGCGGGACTTAGTACAGCTTCAGCTTAAGGGTAAACCTGACAAGCTCAACCTCCTTGCCACCAGACTGTCATCTCTTAATGTCAATGGCCTTGGCATCTCACCACTTGCTGGAAAAACTTTGGTACAGTATTCTGGTTCACTCACAGGGCAGGATTTTTGTGCCATAGTTCAGGTGGCCCCATTCGTCATCTATGACCTTGTCTCCAAGGAGTGTATGGATACATGGGTTGCATTATCCAAGTTGATTCCGTTGATTTATCAGCCAGAAATACATGACATCAACGCACACTTGGTCAGTGGCAGCTTGTTTAATATAAAGTTTTACTCATGAGCGTCATTAGGACATACTCACAAAAGAAATAGAATATTTCTTATTATGTTCAGCATAATGGACATGTTGTTGGTTTAACAAGCCAAAATTTCACATTTTTGTACACTTAGTACAACATATCTATCGCTTTGGTCCCGCAATTATGTTTGCTACTGAAGTATTTGAGTCATTTAATGCAGTTATACGGGCCAAAAGTATCCATTCTAATCAACATGCCCCTTCTTGCGACCTTGCACAAGCATTTGTGCAAGGGAACCGCATTCAACATCACCTTAGTGGAGGCAAATTTGTTTATTTGCCTGCCTCACCTGCCGAGCACACACTGGATGGCCCCATTCCCATGCAAGGACAACAATCTTTCTCTTTTTGTGCATCTGACTGGTGTGAGGTTGGGCCTGGCCCTCTATCACTAATTGCATCTGTTACGATAACACAATTTTCGGACCTTTCCTTTAATTTTCATTCTCCACTTTAACCTTTCACTATAGTTCACACTCCGTGCCATGCGGCACTTTCCTTTTTTGTTCTAACTCCACCTTCTCGTGCAGCACTGCCTTTATTCTTCTTTTAGACACAAACTCTCTCACACAGTGGAGCTGATCACACGGGCTGTGCCCTTTGACATCATCAGCCACTGCTTTTATCAACTGTACAGTACATAGGTACAAACACTCTGTATTAGTATAAATACCCCAATAGATCAAGGAGACTTCTCAGCGAGTCCTCCTGTTGTTAACCAACAAACTCTCTGCAGCTTAAGGGGTAATCACTCCCTCATCACTACCTTTATAGTGTGTTCTTGTGTGCGCCAGAGTAACTAACTCTTGGTTGTTACAGCATCCCCAAATACAGTTTCACATGACCTGGGTATTAATCCCCACTTTCCAAAACTATGAGTTGGTAAGTCCTCTTCATTACTTAGTGATAGCCAGTTACTTGTGTTCTAATTCTTGCCACTACAGGACTTTGTGTATCCGACAATAAAGTTGCGCATTTATTTGCTTCCACCTTGACAGGGCAAAAACTCCCTCATGCAATGCCTGATGCTGGTTCCTGTCTTTGCAAAACCAATGATACCGTTGTGCTCTCAAACGGTGACCAATGTGCCCTGGGCCAATTTGTAGTTGTCCAGCCACGAGGATCTCTTGACCTCATTTATATGGCACAAGTGGAAGAAATTTTGCAAGTAAAGGGCACACCAAACGAGCTTACACAACTCGCAGATGGCATTCTAGTCCAGTTGGTATCTACAAGTCAACACTCAGATGCTTATTCAATGCCTCGCACTATTTTAACTGATGGATGGGGTCTCCTACATGTCGAGGCAAGTCATTACAACATAATCATATTTTTACATTTTTTACACATTCTTAGGACATTATGTGTACGGTCAATGTGCAATGCAACTGTAACGACAATCTATGTGATACGTCAGGGATCCGCTATGTGTATCAAGAGCGGGTGCGGACTGATCACACTCTACCTACTGTGGCCCATAGGCACCCATCAGACCTCATCCTCAACACCGCCCAAATGCGAGATGCTGCACATGTACAGCATTTCCGAATAAACTTGCCTATCCCGGATATTGAAGAAGTTTTGACTGGGAGTGTGGCACGTGAAGTTGATGCACGGAGATCAAGTACTGCACAGAAGGCATTGAGTTCGTTGAAGAATGCAGGGCTGGGACGCCATTCACAAAATGCCACAAGCCTTGGTACAGTCCAAGCATCTTGAGTGTCACAGCTTCGGCAGTAGATACCTTGCAATAGTGGTTCTGATGTAATATGAAATCCTTCAGCTGCTCACATCAGTTCCTACAACGATAGCTTCTCAGGCCATTCATCTGCAAGGTTGCATTCCAGCTCAGTCCAGTTCCTACAATGATAGCTTCTCGGGCCGTTCATCTATGAGGTTGCAGTCCAGCTCGGTCCAGCCCCTACAACAATAGTTTCTCAGGTCATTCATTTGTGAGGTTGCGGTCCAAATAATTTTGTCAATGTGATTTGAATTGGCTGAGTTGCGTGCTGCCAAATGTGGCCTGTTCAGCACTTTTGCTTCCGCACACCATGGCAAGAAGGTTTGAACTTGCGAATTTGCTTCTGTTGATATTGAGCTGCAGGCTAACTAAGCCCAGCGATAGTATACTCAATATATTCTAGACTGCATATTTTGTCAATGTCAATCATACCTTGTATTAACATGCTCTTTTTTAGGTTTCAATCGAGCCTCGTTTCTGATGTGTTGCCCACAACAATTTCTGTCTCATCAATTGCACTGCAACAACTCTATCACACAAGCTCAATCATAACAATACTCAATGTAGTAATACACTGCTTCAAAAGCTCCAATTAGCCTCTATTTGATCAAGAAACTGGCGCCCCTGCAGGTAAGTACTTATAGCGTGCTTCATGTGCTCCACTTCCACTAACAGCTCTTTCACATGGAATTTGGCCAGAGTTTCAATTGCATCGGGTAGTGTTGATATGATGGAATTGCAGGTGTGACCTGCTGAGGTGCCCGGGAAACGGTTGAGGGATGAGAGTGTCTGGAAGGAGTTTGGCTGTTGCTGGTCTGGTTTGAATCAAAAGTCAGACTTGGTGCTTATGATGTTGCATTTGGAGATACTCACTAGGTTCTGTATTGTTTGCGGATGTTTGTCTGCCTGTCAAAGCCCATGCCATGGTCCATCAAGTAAGTCATGCTCATTATCAGAGTGAACAAACCACTCATGTGTTTCCAGTGCCAATCTGACATGTTTCACAAGGCAGCGGTGCTTGTGGGAAGGCTCAATAGCCATGGCATGCGGTCTGGAACAGGTGAGTTGGGAGGAATGAGCCTTGTGGCAAGACATTGAGACGCACCATACTGAACAAATAGCAGATGACATGCGCTGGCTGTGACATCATTTTATGGTGACCGGTGTGACAGGAGGTGTGAGCATGGTTGAGAATGGGATAGTGAGTTGTTCTACGCTATGCAAGTTATAATTTGACACATTTCCAGCTTGCAATCAGTCTCCGGGAACAATGAGCCAACACCAGCAAACAAAAGTGTGTTGCATTCACGTTGATCACTGCGGGCACATTGCGCATTTTCGGAGGGCTCACGTGAATTCTATCCAAAATGGTATAAAAACAGTATGTCAGGCTTCAACATCTCAACTCCCCGCTTAATCATGCCTTATTCACAAGAAAGCTCAAGGTTTACCTTGCCATCCCCGCGTCCTTTCATGGACTCGGGAGTGGCCCATTTTTCCCTTAGCCTCCCTTGTATTGACGCTCTGACAATGTTTGGTGGAAATGCAGGAAATAGGCCACTGCTCAATCACACTCCATCCTCAGCACTGGACCCACACAACTCAACAAGTCCTTCCCCCTCAGCATCTCCGTTGGTGTATCACAGGAGCATATCCCCACCACACAAAGTGGTAGCTCCACATACCGATTCAGAAATGTGCACGGCACCTAGTTTAGCGCCCGGGTATATAATTCCGCCATTGTTTATTGACAGACTGGCTCATGACCAGAAACTAGAGCCTGTGCAAAGGGAAAGCCTACATGATTTTGTCAAGGTACAGTTACAACATGTTTTGTGCTTATTTGTTCTGCTGATTCATATTAGCTGGGCTCACTGGAAGGAGGATTGACTAAACCAGACATGGCCACTTGATTATACCTCCTGGCAGCATTATTTGGTGAAGCGGCAGAGCGGCATCGACAAGCCAGAGACAGCCCATTTTCTGGTGAAGATATCAGGGCCTTGTTTGCAGACTTGAAGATACGCTTAGAGGACAGTTTCTGTTTTACAGCCGAGCAAAAGGTAGTTGAGTATGGGCAACCGAGTCTTTTGTATTACTCATAGAAATTTCCTTATCAACAGGCCAATATCCGAATTATCACACAAGATATCATCTTTCAACCCACCCGAACGGGATTCAAATCAATCAACATTGAAGTTAAGGTAATCCATTTGAAAAATCTCGGTACAAATTCTGCTGCTCAGCTTTTGGTTATTCAGAAAACATTACAAACAGAAAAGGAAAACATGAGGTTGATGAACGTGTTTGGTATACTGGAATGAAAATGTCAGCTGGCATCTCAAATAAGAGATGTCTGTTTAAGTGTTCAGAATGATTTTAGGCAGGATGTCAGTATAAGTTTATGCTGCAATCACTGTAGATTAGCTGACAGCCTTCTGAGTCAAGATTTGAGACAGTATCACAGGGCCAAAAGCTGTCAAAGTCGCCAAATTCACTTACAGCATGGCACTGAAATACAAGAGGGGGGATAGGTGACAAACTGGACACCGCATATACATTCCATATTGTGTTACTAGTATTTAATTTACATGAGTTTTAATTTGTTTTCTGACAGATATCACTGCAAAGGTGTTTTGGCTATGAACACATGGAGCTCATCAGTAGCGCAGCAATAGAGAGTGAGGAATATGGAGGCAACTTGGATGATGTGAACGAACGGCCCAGGAAAAAAAGTAAAGGACAAACAGGTGGCCGTGTCATCCAGGGAGAGGACTTCTGGGGTCAAGTGGTTGTGGTTTGTGAAGGGGATGTCAATTCGAGGGCAAAACCTGAAGGGTGCTGAGTGGAAAGAGTGAGTGACACAAATTTCATTTGAATGAAAATACTGAGGGTAATACAGATATATTAGTGAAGCAATAAAACTCGACAACGCCAGGTTCTCAGTGGGAATGGATACTGAGAGCAGCATGGACAGCCAATGTAGCAGCAGAGGAGGGGCATATTTGACTCAGGATTCAGTGACTCATGCGGGGGATTCACTTTTTTCTTACATTTAATTTATTTGTTCAGAAATAAGGATTTGTATTAGTATATTATATGGTATATATGCTGTCTGCCTTTCATTGGGGGAATGTAAAAATACATCTGATTTGCATTCTGAGGGACTCAGCATCTGAGCATTGGATAAGATGGTCTGTGCATTGGAGGCACGTGAATGGTTGAAGTTTTTTTTCGGTGGTTTGGAGGAGCAATATTTTTGTGCCCATTGTTCTTCCTATCCATTCAGGTTGGTTCATCTTTACTATGTGTCCGCCTATGGACTTTTTCAATGTCAAGTTCTATGTCCTTCTTGATCCACTGAGGATTATTATAATGCATTTGTGGCATATCCGTCTGTGGATTTCATGGTGCTTGTTTTGGCAGTACTAACACTTATGCATGCTCATTTCTGACACAGGTGCAAGCCTCATGGGATGGATATTTGGTATGTTAATCTCCGCTAATGGTATTATACCTACACTGACATAAATCAACACAGGGGGTATCTTGAAAAACTCAGACTGGGGGGTGCATAAATGCTCTGCAAACATGTGATGTTGGGATCACTGATATTGTTAATCATTGATAGGGCCAATCACTGGCCAGAACGTGGCTATGATGTGGCACTGTGTCCCTGGGATATGGGACATTCGGAGCTGATAAACTTGCAGTGAGTTGTTTCATTTTTTCATTTTTTTGGCATCCGAGTGATCACTCCATGTTTTTTGGGTGCCAGTGTTACTGTTTTTCTATGGTTATTGTAATTTATTTCTAATCTTTGTTGGCTCATTGACCAGCAAACTTTTGACTTGGGCCTGTATCAAATATATTTAATACCATAAGAGTTCTTTGGATTGCGAAACATAATTTAATTAATAATTTGAAAGCTACAAATCTATATATGGTGGGATATATTGGTGGAGTGATATAATATGGTTTGTACGGAGTCCAAAGTCATTTGAAGCTGAGTTGGAAATCAACCCCAGCTCCGCACTCATGATGGAAATCCTGGCGGGGGCTGGTGAAATTACCTGGCCGTGTAGGCTGTGACAAATTATCAGGTCACAACCAAATGTCATTTTTTGGCGCCAAATATTACTGGTAGCCTTATAATTCCATATCTACTTTGCCAAACTGATACTGCTGGTGAAAACCTCATACTAAATCTAGCCTTATAAAGCCTTATAACATTGCCCTCCGGGCACTCCTGGCCCCGTGGCAAAAATTATACCATCATTTGTTTATATTATATGGTAAGAATGTGGTACGAAGGCTTGAGGTGCAAGACATTTGAAATAATGATGATATTTAAATTACAAGTTTTGAAGTAATGCACACCATACAACTCAAAGTAGGCATGGTTATTGTCCTTGGTTCAATCAAAAAACCGACCAAGGATTTCTACAGAACCTCGCCAACACTCTTCTTCAAAATGCAACTGTAACGACCAAGAGTTTCTTACTCTGGCGCACAACTCAGACAAGCAAAGAGAGAAAGAGAGAAAGAAGGGATCACCCCTTAGGTTTCAACAAGTTTGTTGTGCTAGACAACAGGAGGACTCGCTGAGTCCTTCCCCATGTATTGCTCCTGTATAGATACTAAAATACATGAGGTACTGTACAGTTGTAAATGAAGTTTAAAGTCCGATGTCTAGCATGTGACTGGTCACATGAAGAGTCTAGACACTGGTCAGGTGATGTGTCACATGATGGTCATGTGACTATGAAAAGTCCGAAAATGTAAAGTAAAGTAAATGGTCACATGATCAGTCATGTGACTTAGAAAATGAAAAGTAAAAGTACAAAAAGTGAAGCATAAGTAGGTGCTGGTATGTCAATTGTAACAGCAACATGACACTCAAATCGTCAAAGGGGCACTGCAAGACGAATGGTTTGATTGCATTGGTTATGTGTTCTCAAGACAACTCATTTTCATTCAAGTTTATTGGTGTTAATTGGAGGCAAGGGAAGTATGGGGTGTTGAGAGGTGCATACTGTTCCTGCACAAAAAGATGTGTGTCTGTGGTACTATGTCTGTGGCAGTTCGATGAAAAGAGATGGCGCTCACGTGCCAAGTGCGGATGGTCGGTACGAATCACCGGGGCCAAAAGTAGTGTCAATAGCTGGTTCTGAGACCTGGTAACCTACGGTACCAGGAATAAATATGACTATCAGCCTGATGCCTATTATACATATTATAAGGCATTATAAGGCCTTATCATACTTTCACGAATTTCCTGATGGTGCCATAAGGATTATAGCTCGGCTGAAAGAAACAAAGAAAGTGGCGCGAGCGAACTGGCGTGAATAAGCAACACGTGGTTTACTACGGGTGACGCTCGAGTCACAACCGTTACGTGTGGCGGCCCCGAAGAATTGTACACGCCAGCTCAGGCTCAAACCATCAATTCACGTTTGTCAAGACTTCAAACTCTCATATCTCAGCAGGGACAAGTAGTTGGGACCAACTTGATCTTGTGGGAATGGACAAGCAAGACAAATCTGCAGCATCGCATGATCAGACTCCTCCATCACCTTCAAATACAGGTTCATCTGACTCGTCGCATGTATCACCGCCAGGACGGCCTCCACACTCAACTGGTTTTCCTTGGTCGAGTTGGCCATCTGTGCATGTCATGCGACCCCAAAATGGTTAGCCAAGGTGGTTACAGTACTCTTACCAACGAACTGACAGGATTAATGGATCATGCAGGCCAATATTCTCCCCGTACAGATGAACGATGCTTATCTTACTGTTCCCAGTCTTCGCGAGGAAGGGCTGAGGGTAATGAGCCGTGGTGTCGTTCTATTTGTCTTCGTCGCGTTTTCGCACATGAGGTTAAGCGAGTAGTTGCTCACGACAATGCATCCAAACTGCATGGAGCATCTTCACGACTCTTTCCGCTTCCGCCAGAAGGTCAACCCGGCTCCTCGCGTCCCCTGCGACAGGACCCAGGCCACTTTTCAGAAGATCATGAACTTTCACCCCCTTACACAAGTCCAGAGGACACTCGCTATTGGGAAGAGGGTTGGTATCTGTGGACGAGCAAGAGTCGGTGGGCGGCTCAGGAGAAATTTGACTTAATGACATGCGACCTTCACCGCCAAGACCAGTGGCAGCGATATAAGACGGATAAATCCAAACAGGAGCCCGTACATAGAGCATACGGTAATGAGGGCCTGGAATGCAAACAGAGAGATAAACATTGTGGGAATGGATATGATGTGAGTGCAGGGATGTCTTCGAGTTCTGCGGAAGACTCCGCTAAATGGGTGGCTTGGTGAGTATGAGCCTCACCTATATATCTGCATGTGTTAATTCAAGTCTGGCATAGGCAAGAGTCGACAATGGTTCATCTTCCTCCTCGCTTACCGTCAGTGTATGAGCCCCTCAATCATTTACTCGCACCGACATTCAAGGTTATATCATTGATTGGCCAAAGCTTTGACTCTGGGGTATACGCACAGCTTGCTCAACGGACGTGGGAAAAGGCTCGCTCTCCAGATCCCTTCATTCTTGCAGAGAATGTGTGTAAAAAAATGTGGGAGAAGTGGAAAGAGGGACCTCCAGATGATGCAGACTCAGAGTTTTGATTTTACTTATGTTTGTAATCTGTACTCATGGTTCATGATAGTGGTGGACTGTATATATCGTCGCTATCAAAGCTTTTTCATGGCGGAATGGCCGAGCGGTCTAAGGCGCCAGAATCAGGATCTGGTCTTTCGGGGCGGGAGTTCGAATCTCCCTTCCGTCATAAATTTTTTATTTTTCGGAACCTCAATCATCCTGTGATCCGCAGATTTCCCCACACGGCGGATAGTCTGACTTTCTCCCCACAACAGCCATCGCCTTGTGTTTTGTTATGGACTTGGAATGGGTGTTCATGGTCTAACAACATTCCTGCGAGAGAACAAGCGTGTTCTTGCGAAGACTATCGTGCTGTCTGCTAATCCATTGGATGTCATCCCAATTGTGGTAGATGCATGGTCGTATGTCATTGCAATTTATAGTGTTGTCCTTTGCTTTGCTAACGATTGGAGATGGGTAATTTTTCAGTTTTATCTATGAGTTATACGATCAGTCTCGACTGCCTTGGGTATATGGGGGTGAATACGATGCATTTACGCAATTCGTTGTCCGTATTGTTCAAGCATGGATTGCTGTTGGAATGAAACTATATTTCGTCTTTGATGGTATGTGACTTGTGTGTGAAAGTTTTGACAGGGCCTGCTCACTGATGCTTATTATCTCAACGTAGGTGCTGCTCCTCAACTAAAGATACCGACCCTCGTAAGTCGGTTGAATCAATCGAATATTCAACATTCCCTTCTGTTTTTTCGCACTTCCTCTGCCTCTCGTTCTACTCCCCGCTTTCTACATGAAGTTCGCATTATTCCCCCCCTTGTATACCAAGCATGCCTTCACGCCCTACAAGAGATTGCTGGTGCAACGTTCAAGCTCGAAATTCACTTTGCAGATAATGAAGGTGATCCTTATGCCGTCGAACTAGCTGGAAGACTCGGCGGTTACGTCGTTGGAAATGACTCCGACTTCGTTATTCTCAACACAGACCAGTATCGTGGTTATATACCATTGGAAGAAATGGTATGGATTGCGTCCGTGCTGGAAAAGCCATTACCTGATGAGCAAGATGGCGGGTTCCAGCCGGTTCGCAAAACAAAGACAAGGAACAAGGTCACTAGCGAGCAGAAGGCATCAAGAGGCCTTATCCCGCCTGATAACACATCTGATGTCACATTGTCATTTTCGGTGTACTCCCCTTCCGCGTTGGCATCTCATCTAAACATTCCTGTTACACTTCTCCCGTTGTTAGGTTCTCTGGTTGGTAACGACTTCTCTAACCAGTCATCCACGCAAAGGAATGTTCAGTCATTGTTCTTCGAAAGGCATCTAACGTTATCTCAACGTATCACTCGAGTGGCGACCACGCTAAATAGCATCCTATCGGCTTCTTCTCAGAAACGAGCGAAGGCAAAACATCAGGTCGGAAGTGTCATGGATCTTATTGATAGGACTGTAAACTCGCTGATGATTCGGTCACCATTTTCCGTGGGTTCCGTAGAAGCTGATGCAGTGGTTGACAGAGTTGTAAACGCCACTCTGCAATATGCTATCGATAAATACGATGGAGACGGTCGGGGTCCCGAAAGTCTTTGGGCGACAGATATATGTGCACTGCATGAACAGGATACTTGTCCTCTACCTTCCTTATTCTCTCGTTCATTGTTACTCCGATCGCTCCAGATTTCGGAACAGAGCAGAGATATGGTCACTCCTACCGAACAAATCCGAGCGATGTACGTGCAGGCATATCGTTCTGGAAAATTCCAGCCAAAAATAATGGACATTTTGAGTACCGGCACATACTGGCCTCGCATTTTCCTTGAAAACCCCGACATTGAAAATGTTGGCAGGAGTATCAGCCGATCAATACGCCAGTGGATGTATGCTATCCTTGAGGACGGCTGTGGCCTACCTGATGCATCTGAAGATGTACAAAATGAAGTTAACGCGAGTGAAGGACCGGATGATGAAGATTCCGATCAAGATGAATTAATAGACGTTGCTGAAGAGCATTCTGACGACGATCTTCTTGCTCCTTTGCGTGGAGAACTAGAGAAACTACGCGGCTCCGAAGACGACGAACTTACTAAATCTATACATCCTCAGTCCATCTCACCTCGCTCTTGTTCTCGTCCACCTCCGCGTCTTAAGCGTGTTCTAGAGTACACTCGACGAGGTACTCGAGTAGCGTCCGAGGAGGTCAGGGTCCCTGACATCCGAGAACTCCTGTCAGCACCCTCATTGGACGTACTTGGTTTAGAAAACTGGGCGCCCGTGCAATATAAGCCTCTGTCGGACAGAATGGTGGTCTTCCTCCACGCACTACATAGTAACATGACGTCTGTCATGATCCTACCACCGGAGCAACTGCTTGCAGCGCTGACTCTTCGATGGGTACTTTTTACCGTTCAATCTAGAGCCTTGCGCAACGGGGCCAGTAAGGAACGGGAAAAGGAGCGTTGGACTAGACACGAGGCGCAGGCATTTCTCTTGTCTTTCGTGCCGTCTGCATCTAGAACCCTATCCACCACTTCTGTGAATGATGAAAACATACTTCTTATGAACCGCAGTATTCAGCTTACCGCCCAGGCTTTAACAGCGCTCGAAGCTATTCACCAGTTGTCACAAGTACTCCTTTTGTCAGATCGAGTCCCCTGCACGGTACACAAATTCTCTGGCCAAAATTTTCACTCCCTTTTAAACAGACCGGGTACCTTGGGCACAGGTATCGTGCCAGATGGTCTGTGGATGGCTTGCGTGGAAGGTTTAGAGGATGCTTTTGCAGAAGAAAGAAGAAAGAAAACGAAAACGAAAAAGGGTAACACAGGAAGGGAACAGGTGGACTCGTTGGGAGGTCCTCAGCAAAGAGCTGTGAAATATAAACTTCCCGGAGTAGGAATGTATGGGTTATTAGGCAGTGTTGACACGTAAGCGCGTAAGCTGTCACTGGCGGTGGTTAATCACTAGTATTGTGTGATGTGTTAAAATCCATATGTTGTCGCTGTTAACACAATCCGTTATACCTGTAACCTGAGAAAACAGCTTGAACCGAGTATACGTAACAGGTTGGAAATGATGACCATAGTCATTGTAGCACAGGCCCGGGATAAACGTCAACATGATCAGTGCTCAGTGCAACTCCGAGTATCCGAGTATGCTTTTTTTCGAATACTCTGATAACCTGTGGGTGCAGAAGGCTGCCACGTAGCAGAAGGTGAGCAGGCTGCCGAATGTGATCATCAGACCAAAAGTTATGCATGACCCATATTGACGAGAGCATCGATCATGGGCTCCAAGGAAGGATGAAGATACAGTACTTTAAGTTTCTACAGATGCAGTGTGTTGATATCGTACGCTCAGGCTTATTTGTCCTCTGTGGATGTGTACGAATACTTACTATTAGTAACAATAATAGTCGGTAAGGAGTTCACCTTCTTGAGCATCCTCCTGAGATCGGACTTTATACTACCCTAGCTGCACTTAGTAGTTGGTAGCCCTGTGTTAAGTGGAAACACCGCATCGATATCGGAAAACCTTCTGACAGTCTGGAATGTCCAGCACTGGCGTCATATAATACCTGCTGTATACATAGCCTATGTATACAGCAGCACCGACTATCATTCAGGCTGTCGCATCATCGTCTTATCATTACATATAAAAACAGAATAGTTCTTTCGCGATAATACACTACACTAACTCACCAAACCCCCAAGTTCGCTTTGACAATCAGAGCTCGCGATGTCATCCAACTCTTCAAACACTGTATCAACCACAGACATCTTAACTTATCGTCTCAATCGCAACATGGTGTATGTTACGCCACCTCGGGACATGGAGGTTCGTCGAAACTTACTAGGTTAACGTTTGTAAAGAATTCTTGCTCACATGTACTTGTCACTTTAGCAAGCCCTTGAGTTTGCTCGAACTGTCTTTCCGGACGAACTTGCCGATGTGGATAGGACTAGAATATCCTTCTCAGTCACCGTCATTTCCGGAGGGAGAATTAGTGCCGTTGGGATAAGCCCATTCGCATGGTCTGCCATCGTACCCCATTTAATCCGTTACGAAGTCATCGATGTGCATGTTCGACGAGACAACGATGCACCCCCTGAGTATTCACATCGAGAATCGAAAAGATCCTCTGAAAAAACCCCGATCTCGTATTCACCAATACCAATGCAAGCTAGAGCGCGCTCATGCTATAGACGGCTGACAACACTAGGGAGAAATGAGAAGTCTCGGGAGAAAGCTACTCCCTTACATTGGTTTCAAAGGTTTCAATGACTTGAACATTCTTCATCACGAACCCATCACTTTCCTTCATGTTCATATATTTCACTTTTATCGATACCCTATCTATGGCTCTCACAACACCCCTCAGGCCCATTGGACTGCATATATATCTCGAACACCCTGCCCTCATTTTCACCCGTAGATTATTTTCTGGTCTCGCTGAATTTCCGGTGCATATACTCTTAATATTGTCGCGGTAGAGTTACAATTGAGATTGATGAGAATTTTCACCCTGCGAAGTGTAATTTAAAAGTGCAAAATTTGATACTTAGAGCTTGTACAAAGGTTCTCACTTTTCACAGCAAGCATAACCGACTTTTGTCAAACTCAAAATCAATGAAAAAGTCTGAAAGTAGTTAAAATGCTTAATTGCATTGTGGACCTACAATACTTTATCAGAATAGTATATTTTTGTTAATATATTTCTACATATCCACACAAAATACACCTCAGGCAGGGACTTAATCCGTTACGTAAGGGCCTCAAAGACCTATTCTTTGTCAACGGGTTTGGGACCTTAAGTATCCCCTCGCTGCCGAGGTTTCCCAGCCAAGTATATATATAGTATTTCTAAATACAGTGATACTTGAACAACCCTCTGCAAACCCTCCTGTGGTGCCCTCTGGAGTTTGTAAAATATTTCTTTGTTCCAGAGGCCTTCTAGGGCAATATTTACAGCATTATTTAGGAATCCTTCTGTGAAACCTTGTGAGAACCCTCCAGCCACTACTGTGTCCGGGTCAATCATCCATATATGGATATCCAGAGCACTACCTCCCAAAACATTACTGCTTTTGGAAACAACTGGCTCCATATGTTTGTTTTTTTGCTATTTCTGGGAATCTTAGCTTGTAGATATCACTTTAAACACCTATAGCATACTTAGCAGTGTATATTAATATTGCTCCACCTGACAGATAGTGTGTTTATGTAGCAGAATACCATTGTAATTCAAAAAACATCGCCTAAAAAAGGAAATAAAAGAGGAAAAAGGGTTTTGGGAGGGTTGAACAGGTTATCACAGCTCATAATTAGGCTCTGGACATTATCCAGACCTTATAAATGATTTTTTGTAGAGAAAACTGGTGCTTTTTTGCTATGCACCATGTCAGAAACACCAAAACAATGATAAAAATAAGAAAAAACATAAAAAAGCGGAATAAAACATAGAATAGTGCATGATATAATATCATACAAGGTATAATAAGGTTGCAGAAATGTTTCAACATAGTGTATGCATCTTTATGGCTCGCATATATGTTTATCTGATGGATATTCTACCCTTAAGGGCTTGATATGTGGGTTGAAGTGAAGTTTAGTATCACTACTGTTATAAAAGCCTTAAATACACCTTAATTCAGCACTGAGGTCTATGCATTTGCCTGATTAACATATATGCGAGTCATAAAGATGCATACACTATGTTAAAACATTTCTGCAACCTTATTATACCTTGTATGATATTATATCATGCACTATTCTATGTTTTATTCCGCTTTTTTATGTTTTTTCTTATTTTTATCATTGTTTTGGTGTTTCTGACATGGTGCATAGCAAAAAAGCACCAGTTTTCTCTACAAAAAAGCATTTATAAGGTCTGGATAATGTCCAGAGCCTAATTATGAGCTGTGATAACCTGTTCAACCCTCCCAAAACCCTTTTTCCTCTTTTATTTCCTTTTTTAGGCGATGTTTTTTGAATTACAATGGTATTCTGCTACATAAACACACTATCTGTCAGGTGGAGCAATATTAATATACACTGCTAAGTATGCTATAGGTGTTTAAAGTGATATCTACAAGCTAAGATTCCCAGAAATAGCAAAAAAACAAACATATGGAGCCAGTTGTTTCCAAAAGCAGTAATGTTTTGGGAGGTAGTGCTCTGGATATCCATATATGGATGATTGACCCGGACACAGTAGTGGGCTGGAGGGTTCTCACAAGGTTTCACAGAAGGATTCCTAAATAATGCTGTAAATATTGCCCTAGAAGGCCTCTGGAACAAAGAAATATTTTACAAACTCCAGAGGGCACCACAGGAGGGTTTGCAGAGGGTTGTTCAAGTATCACTGTATTTAGAAATACTATATATATACTTGGCTGGGAAACCTCGGCAGCGAGGGGATACTTAAGGTCCCAAACCCGTTGACAAAGAATAGGTCTTTGAGGCCCTTACGTAACGGATTAAGTCCCTGCCTGGGGTGACAAAATATGGTATTAATGGAAATATGTCAACAAAAAGACATCATGTTGTAGATCCAAAATGCAATTAAAAATTGTAACTACTTTCTAACTTTTCCATCAATTATGAGTGTGACAAAAGTTGGTTATGCTTGCTGCGTTTCTGTCAGAACTGTGACCTCAGGAGTTGTTGGAGCTTTGGAGAAGGTATGCTGGGGGAGTGGAACAGGATACAAGGTTGGGAGTCAGCTTAGTGACAAAACTGGATAAACCTGGTCTCTGCTAAAGTGGCCATTATTCTCCTAGGAGTCTTTATACCTTGGCAAGTAGCACCTCTGACTATAAGTAGTAGGGGGTTTAGTATACTATATTTTTGTGTTGATATATAGAGATATGTCAACAAAAACACATTATTCCGATAAAATCTTGTAGGTCCAAAATGCAATTAAACATTTTAACTACTTTCAGACTTTTTCATTGATTTTGGGTGTGACAAAAGTTGGTTATGCTTGCTGTGATAGAAACAACTGAAGTATTCCTATTAATGGAAATATGCCAACAAAAAAATATTATTTTGTAGGTCCAAAATGCAATCAAATATTTTAACTACTTTCAGAGTTTTTCATCCATTATGAGTATGTCAAAAGTTGTTAATGCTTGCGGTGTACAGCCTCTTGAGCAATGGCTGAGGTATGTTAATTACATTTATTAGAGATCACCTTAAATTGACATCTAAAGTTTCACTTAGATTTATTACTTAGCTTGTGCGCTAGGCTCTTCTGCGGACCTTGGTCCCTAACTCAATGAAGCAAACAAGGAAAAAATAAAGGATGAAAGTGGAGTGGAGTAAAGGTCCTTCTCCAAGGGACTGGAAAGCTTAGAAAAGGGCTTGGGAAAAAAGGTGGAGGAGCTTATACATATCTAAGCTGCAGGAACGGAGTACAGAAGCTACAGCTTATATACTAATCAGAGGGAGTGGAGTTTGTAAGGAGTAACTCATAATGTTGGTACAGGGTTCCATGTGAACAACTATCTAGCAAAGAGAAATTGTATGTGAGAGGAGTGTACCATAAGGTCTAACTACAGAGTCTATAAGGAAACATAAGAATATTTGGAGGAAATGTGTGGTGTACTGGAAGTCCGGGGCAGGGGAATTAGAGCAAATATCTGGAGTATTATATGGGAGCAAGGTACAGGGCTATGCTGAGCAGCAGAGCACAAGGGGCATAATTCTGGGAAGACCAAAGATTTGGGAGTTTGGACTTGGGGGTTTCTGACTATTTGGAGGTTCGGAATCCTTAGCCTGTGGCATGAATATAACAGTATCGCCCTCTTAGGGTTGGACCCTTAAGGCACAAAAATAGCTTTTGTAGGGCCAGACTATGGTGGACATACTGTATTATAGTGGTCATATCCCTGCAGAATGGGAGGATAGTTTTGCCCATCATGGCAAACCCAATGTATGACCACATCAAGTCTTCATCCTCATCAGCGAATTGGATTGTATGAAGGTCCTGGAGCATCATTCTTACTGCCAAACATATCAGGGCCATAGCTGTATGGCCCCTGATACCTGTGTGGCTGTCCTGGGACCACGGGCGATGTAGATAAGGCTGTATATGGAGCCACCTCAACCAGTTTTGAGTTCCATTGCCTTGATGAATCTCCAATAGAATTATGCTGTGGATATAGCCCCATGAGGCTTATGATGACCAGTAGTCCAAGTAATCCTCTGGCTGGCCATTACTCTGGGAGCTGGGCCCGGGCTTGTCCTTTGGTAGTTGGTACACTGTATCCACCAACTTCAGGTATTCCTCCTCAGTACATAACCTGGTGAGGAACCTCCTCTGAGACTTGTGTGTAATAAAAGCATGCCAGGGACTGTCCTTGTCCAATTTTTCTACACCTACAGATTGCTGCCCCGAGATAGAAGGAGCCAGGATGGGATCAAGCACCGGTTTGAAGGGCCCAGGCCTGGTTGTTAATCCCTGGAAGGCTACAGTTTGTTGCCTTGCAGCTGGCTTGGAGGGCCAGGGCTGGTTTTGAACATCGGCACAGTGTTCATCATCGCTTAGAATTTCACCAAGCCCCTCAATCTCCTCTTGTTCCTCGTTTATAGATTTGCTTCTGGGTGCAAGCATTCCCGCTTTGGGAAGGACTCTCTTCATTGCTGCATTCTCTTTACCCTTCCTTTATTGGCTACCAGGTGCAGACTAGATTTGAACCTGATGGTAACTTTGACATTTATATTGTTCTGCTGGTTATACCAATAGTCCAACAGACCCCAGGTCTACTTTTTTGTTATATGTGATGGTTCCCAAAATTTATACCACGGATGTATATACCCCTTTCACGAGTTAATTTAGTCGTTTGGGCGCTCTGCAAGACTGGTTCAAAGTACTGAAGCCTTTATATTTCCAGTGGAAATCTGGTAATATGTTATTGAGAAAGACCTGACATTAGCCTGTAGGTCTGAAAAGGTTGCTGGGGAAGGCAGGTCCTCATCTACAAGGATGGGATATCCATTATCATCGAGTGGAAGCTTGATCTTTTCTTTCTGCTTACTTGGTAGGCTCTCCTTTGGCACAGACCCATCTATATCAGATACATACAGTTCAGTACTCCATGATGTTTATTAATTAAGCTGGAAACTTACCAAACTGACTTTGTGCATACTTTCCCCAAGCCTCCCATATTTTTATGTTTTGCCAGTTGGGTTGTATACCTTGCTAAAAAGCTCAAACCCGCCTTCATCATTTTGCTCATGGCTGCAATTAAAGTGATCAGTTTCAGTAACTACACACCTGGTTTGAGACCTGGGGTCCATAGACTATTTACAAGGACATGCAAATGGCTCCATTTGTATCTCTATGGGTGGTGAGCACAAAACTCAACATTCCCAGATCCCGGGTCGCTTGCATCTGGAAGTCCTTCACTACTTTCCTACCCTTAATTTTAGCAGCTCTGGGTATCATATACCACTTCTCATGCTTCTCTTTTAGTTTAGCTAGCTCTTCCTTGCTAAACTCAGTCAATATTGCCTTCAGGATACTCTGTAGTTTACCAATATAACCTGACTGCCCGGGCTTCACTCCATAAAGGTCCCACATCCTCTTCTCCACCTTCTTCTTCTTCACTAAATTGAGCACTTGGTTCAGACTTAAATACTTTTTATGCCTGGCAACCTTGTTCCCAGTAAAACAAGAACTTTGGAGAATTTCCTTATTTAGAAGCCCTCCAAAAGTAAAAGTATCCAGACTGATAGGGGCATGAAAGTATCACCTACTCCCCAAAAACCAGAGTGATTGGCGAAATGGTTGTTGAGAAAAAAGGCAGATTATGTCATGGGAAATTCACTTTCCCTTTTCAGAAACTGACCATGTGCAAGCCATGTGGTCAAATTTCAGTGTGGCTGCCAGTGGCTGACAGTAAGCGTGATACAAGCATTCTTGTTTGGCTCATATCTCCAGAACTAGCAGTCATCAAAATATAAAACTTTGTAACATGGTACATTGGAATTTGTACTTCAAGATGAGGTACTTTTGGTGGGGTACAATATGTTGTGGAATGCCATGTCCATACATGACACATTTTTCATGTATGACACCAGGACCTCCTCAAGAAACTTGGCGACATCAATATTGCCTAGATAACTTTCAACCTTGAAGTAAAAAGCATCTACGCAGGAGAGCAGGCGTTAATGCCTTCACTCTAACTCCAGTTTTTCTGTGGTTGTGCCTTTTTTGTTTATTTGTTTTGCATATATTTGCAGCTGTATCCTTTTATGTAGAGTTAATCAGTATTCAAAAAGCATATATTCTTGGGATCCCAGGGGCCCAGGAACTTACTGAGTCTCTTTCAACTTCAGACCCACTGATAACCAAGCAGTGGTTCCTGGAACCACTCCATTTCTTGTTTCCTGTTGCAATAAATGCAACTGGATTTCTGCTTTGCTGGGTAATTTTGCCAAAGAGACTTCATATATATCCATGGCATTTTCTTTATGCAGCTGGTTTTGCTGTGCTTTTTTTTCCTGGGCAATCCAGGCCTCTGTGTTCTTGGAGTCTGCAGTGGAATTAATATTTCCAAATGCAAGTTTGCTTGATGACAAGCCTTGTTGAACCTTTTTGAACTTCTTGCAAAGTGCCGAGACTAGGCATGCACTTAGTCATGAATATGGGTGAGTTATTGATGCCCAGGACCTACCCATTTGTATAAGCTTCTTCCAATTGGAATCACTCATGTGGTTGTCCAATATTTTTTGCCTATGTGACTTGCTCATAGCCCAGGTGCTTTGAGAGACTTCATTGAGGGGAGCCCAAAGTGTTTCCAATATCTCACCATCAACCTGCCTGGCCCGGAGGATGAATTAGGTGCATATCATGGGAAGCAGATGTCTTGATGTCTATGCACATGAAATAATCCAATGCCCTTGTACATGAATACACCACTGGGGACCTGAGGATAAGGACTTTTAAGGACCCTCTTTGAGAAGTGTTTACTGTATTGGCACATTATATCATAGAGGACTATGACTAAGTTGATTTCAGCCAATGAGGACAAGGCCTGACATAGGGAATAGTCCATGTTTATTTGGCTATGAAGAGTGAGCAATTGTCACGATCACAGATTTGTGGGCACAGTTCACCTTTCTGACAATCCACTATGGCACCCAGGCAAAATACTCTATACCGGGCACAGGCAGTAGCACCAATCCCGGTAGCATTAAGGTGCTGCTGGTCCTTGTTTGCCAGGTTTACAGCTCTGTGATTATTACAATTAGACCCCACTTTATTTTCTTTGGCAATTTTGAGGTGCTCCATGTACAGTTGGTTTGCCATCAAGAATGCTGTGCCATTGGCCAATGGGACATCATCATGGGGGTTCTTTGACTCCATGTGCTCTGCATTAAAGTTTTTGTCCATGACAAAAGTCCTCAAGTGATACTGCCTGAGGGGGTCCTGCTTTCAATCAAGCAAGACATTGATACCTGGCTGAGGGCAAGCCGGGCAAAACAATACTAGAGACCCCAGGGAAGGGTGACAGCTGGGTTAGTGTGCAAATCCATGCCAACGCATATATTTCAAATGTCTCCACTGCCAGACACCCTCATGAACTTCTGATATCTATTCTAAAGGGGGGAAATATTATTAAGGTACCGGGAAGTCTAGAACTGAGGGACACACTGGGACCTTGTGCGGGAATGCACTATTTGTCACCTGCCGTATTTTGGAATAGAAAGTCATTGCATAAGTTTTACATTCCTTGTTATTAATTAAGAAGTCATCAAGCAAAGCAAAGGTGAATGCTGTTTGAGGCTTCTTTTGACCCGCTGGGTACAACCCATTGGACAAGAGCTGAATGTCCGAGCAAGCAGCATTGGGACAGCTACACCATTTAACTAGAAAATGATGCACACTGATCTGTCTACCAGAAGCATCATTGTGTTGCTATTGATGCTGGTGGAGCAAGTCCTTTTGGGCATGTTCCCATTGTGATTACTTCCTTGTTGTTAGGCAACAAATACAAAGCTATATAACAAAACTCAATGCCTGGTCAAGTCCTTGATGAAAGGCGGTGAATCAGGGTATAAGAGTTGAAGAGTATCAGTATAGGCGCAAATCCAAGTTAATATTGAACTAAGGAATAATACATCAAGTATGTACTTCCTTATATAGTGAACAGTGAGGGTCAGACTGGAATAAGAGAAAGAGTAAGAAAGTGGTCTGACCGAACAACTAACCAATAAAAAAAGTAAGGGAAAGTGGTCTGATCTATTGTATTTACTAATCATGTGAGAGAAAGTCTTGGTAAGAGATGTATGATTGTCTGTATCAGTAAGCCCATGAGAAGGCGCTGATTCATACCCTACATTGCTGATTAACACCCCCCCGAAGTATTCCCGGACATAGCATTGAATTGTTGCTATGTCATCTGGATATCTTCTCGAGGGTCTACAACGGTTCTCCTTTGTTGTAAGTACAATAAGTTGTGAGTATAAATGGAAAATAAGAAGAACAAGGATAACAGTAATAAGACACCGGCTGTAATCTCTAGTCCAAGGGCAAGAGGAGTGACAGGAAATGAATTGGATAACCACAACATGATGGGAATGCAATGAGAAAAATCAATTTCTCACACTCGTCTTCCCATAATTCTCCTTCCTCATTGTCTGATGGGGAAACTGGAAAATTGTCCTGGGTACCGTCCCCCTGGGAATCACCCTCTGATGAGTTGTCCTCTGCTAGACTGTGGTTGTCATTATCCTATTAGTCTCTCAACAAGCAAGGACTATTATTGTCACACCTAGTGTTAGCTATATCTTTTAGCTAGTCATGTAACACTTCAAACTCACACGTACCCTCACACTTCTATTCACATACTACCACTTATCCTTTATATCACCAAGGACATATCTACCATTGTCATATTAGTCTTCCAGAGCACAAGGACTATTGGCATACTCACAACAAAAGGGATAATTAACTTCCACCCCCCATGAACAAACTAGGTTATTACCCGTTGTCCAGCTTCGGTTGTAAACTTCTGGTAACCCTAGGATAAAGAAGCTTTGGTAGCTATCCCATATCAATCACTTTATCAACAAGACACCGGGGTAGCCAAACTCTAACAAAGACAACAACGCAGAAGACATAAATCTGTTTGACCTCCCAGGTTCCTTTGATGGCAATGATGAGCCTATTGAGAGGAGAAAATTGGTGTTACTCTCTCTAACTTAGGAAAAGGCACTTGCAAAATCAAAGTCCTACACCATCTAGTAAGTCAGGAGCTTACACTCCGGGAAGTTCAGGCCAATAACACCTTGCATCAGATATGTATCCTACTGGGTTAAAAGTTTTTTCTGTTCAGGACAAAGGTAAGAGCGGCCTAGGGCTCTCAAAAGAAAAAGTTTAAGGCTTGGGCAGAGGTTACCCACATGGAAGCTAATGTCAAAGTCCACTCATCTATATATAAGAGAGCCCGGTGTGCAATCATATCTCTGGGGTGCCGGGCAAAAATATTATAAAAATATCAAGAGCTCAAACCAGACCACCTCGAGACAAGTACACAGCTCATGAACCCTAATGCAACCAGACTCCGCAACACTGCATTGCCATGGTTTTGGAGCATGGATCTGAAAGGTGACACCTCCTAACAGACCTGGATGTCTGAATGTATGTGCCCCAGCCCGGTCACAGTTTCACGGTATCACACAGCTAACATTTAGTAATAAGATACAGTTTACCAGGTTCAATGGCTAAAAGAAAAAGCCATGTACAATAGGTGGATAGAAGAAGATATTCTGGTGCACCTTGAGATGAAGTGGACAGTTCAGTATTTTCTGACAAATTATGACATTTGTTTATAGTATGAGAAAACATGCATTGGCTAGGGCTTGAACCTGGGACTCTAGCTTTCATGGTCTGGTGCTTTACCAACTAAGCTACCAAGGCGTACTTGGAAAGCATACTGATTGGTTGCATGCCCAGAAGGTCCAGAATCACTGTACACAGGTGCAGATCCCATTGTGTGTTGTGATATTTTCAACATCAAGCTAAGCGTTAGAAGGGTTTTTGAGATGTCATTGGAATGGAGGCTAAACCCAGTCATGTAGCATATGCAGAGAGGCAAATCAGGATGTGGAACCAGTTCTCAGAACAGGCAAAGGACTCATCCCAGAGGCTAGACATAGTGGTTTGAGGGAACTAGAATAGTGGACCACAATTTAATAGAAACCCAGGGTCCATTATACTATGTAATGGTAGTCTTGTATTCCCAGGCTTTGAAGTAATCTAGTGTTCCTGGGCTTTGTAGTAATATAATGTTCCTGGACTTTATAGCAATCCATTACTCCCTGGGCTTTGCAGTAATACAAGATTTCTGGGCTTTTACTTACTCCCGGTATTCAACTGCAGGGTGCCCAGGTTTCATCCTTTTCATTGAGTGAGCTACTACAAATAGCTACAAACTTGCAGCAGTGATGTACCCAGATCAAGACAGTTCAGCTGCTATTCCACATCTATAAATGCATAACATGATCAGTCTCAGATGGGGCAACCTATCACCCAGCTAGGTTGTCTTCAACAAGCACCCTGTGACCCAGCCGGGTTGTCTGAGATGAGCACCCTGTAATGTACTGACTGACCCAGCCGAGTTGTCTAGGATGGGCAGTGTCTCACCCAGCCGGGTCATTGATAATGAGCACAATAATATTACGTCTAACATGGCCTGGCTGGCACACTCCGCTGGACTCCGCCGGCTCTGTCTATATAGTAATATTATCAGGTAATAATGCCCTATCTAAGATGGGCAATTATAACTATATGGGCTGACAAGGGAAGATTTGACCACCACCTCCTGCACCTGAACCATCTACCAGTACTAGAATGCCATCTTTTTTTCTCAATATTGATGAAAAAAAAGATGACAGAATAGAGACTAAATTTTCTCTCCATCTGGATAATCCGAAAAATTTTCTCAAGTTTTGTTTGACACTTTGCCTATGACTCAAGAGACCTCTACACAAAACGGATATCAATCACGCTGCAACACTTATTTGTGAATACAAAAGTGAATTGATCCCAGTATTGTTTCTCATTTGCACATTGGTACAATTAATCAACTGTATAGTATATATGTACAAATATTCTGTAGACATATATAAACCCCGATAGATCAAGGAGACTCCTCAGTGAGTCCTCCTGTTATTACTCTAACAAACTTGGTCCTACTTTAAGGGAGATTACCCTCCTCTTCACTCACCCTTTTTTGCTTGTCTTTGCTGTGTGACAGAGTATACAAAATTTGGTTGTTACATTAGGACTCACTCTTTTTACTCTCTTGCACATTGTGCAAACCTGAATACAGGGTTAAGTGGAGTTTTTCAAACAGTAAGACTTTAGTGCCAGAGCCATGTTGGGCTTTTGCCAACCAATTGAAATAGAATGTGTGCCCCAACCCTGCAAGCGAGCTCCTCAGGGTGTGGTACTAGAGAGATATAAATCAAATGTTACATGACCCCTAGTGTTCTTCATTCCTAAAAAAAAATAGAAAAAAAGTTATGATTATAGACTATTGTTATTTAAATGAATACACAGTTAAAAATGCCTACCTACTGCCTTTGATCAGTCAACTAGTAGATAAATTGGCTGATGCCAAGATCCTTACCAAAATAAATCTCAGATTGGGGTACAATAATGTATGTATTAAAGAAGAAGACACTTGGAAAGCCGTATTCACATGCCACCAAGAATTTTTTAAGCCCCTTGTTATGTTCTTTGGGTTAACTAATTCACCGGCGACCTTCCAGAGCATGATTAATAAGATCTTTGTGATATGTAAAACTGTGTTGTTGTTTATATTGACAGTTTATTAATATTTACAAAGTTGGATGATAAGGCTGAGCATGACAGGACCATACAAAAAGTCCTACAACACGTATAGGATTGGGACTTTTTTGTCAAACCCAAAAAGTATAATTTTCAAGTGAAGGAAGTAGACTTCCTTGGTATAATGGTTGGCCAGAACAGAATCAGGACGGATTCTTAGAAAGTTCAAGCACTTCACAGGCTACTCAAATTTTAGGGCTCTTAGCTTGATCATCTTCTACCAACCTATCCAGCTAGTAGCCCCCCAGGAGCATGGTGCACCAGGTCAGTTTCCATACTATGTGAAATTGCCCACAGCCTATATGGGATGTTCTAGAGCAGCTGGGATGTTCCAGTTTTTGACCAGTTGGGCAATCCCAGAAAATGTCACATGTCACAGGTATCAGGGGTCCATCTGGGAAGTTCCAGCAGCAATGACTGCTAAAAGATAGATGATATTAATAGCAAAATATTGTGATATTAAAGAACAGCTTTATATAAGATGAAAGATAAACCAGATGTTAAAATGCACAAATAAGTAGTGTAAAATAAACATGCTGCTGCAAGCAATATATGGGTTCACTCTATAGCAGCTATGACTCTCCACCTAACCTGATCACCCTATACAGACACCAGCCCTTTTTCTGCAGGTAAACAATTTACAGCTGCTAGTTTATCACATTTACTTCCCCCTTCAAACAAAAAAGGGAATAGAGGGGGGGGGCTTCTGTATACTAGGGTCTTGTATATAATATTCATGCAGCACATGTTGTTATATTGTTTCATATAATACCTATCAAAATGTTGTGTTTCTGTTCAACAATTTGGCCTTTCACAAAATGGAAATTACTTAGCCAGTCCTGCTTTGTTATTTGTAGCTTAAAAGTGCCAAAATGCTAGCCCTAAATAGGCAAATAATTACCAAATGATCACATAAAAGATATAGTGATATATTTAACAAGGCATGAGTTTAGAAAGTGGGAAGTAACAAGCACAAACCTTCACCTTCATTATCTCAAAGCAATATAACACTTTTTAAACACTTGAGTGATGATCTTGGGCAGCACCATAAATTTATACTCACTACCATTATTAGATAATCTCCCTGTTGAAAGAGTATCTTGAGTGGTATGTCACAGTTGAATAATGGCAAGCCTGGGGTCTTCATTTGACAGTGTATGTAATACAATCCCAACCTTTATATTATGATATTTGTTACTTTGTATTATTGACTTGGTCAGACAATAGTAGTTATAATAGTAGCTAAAGTCAAACTTGGCTTTAACCCTACCTTCCTTTTTCTACAAAGTGTGGTATTGGTTGAGTCACCACCACACAAATAAGTTTGAAATAAATACCAGCAGTCTTCAGAACTATTTTGAGGTTGACATATCTATTCTCATGCATCCATTCTTCTGGCTTCCAAATTACTACACCTGTTAGCAATCATGCTAGACCTGACACCAACAATGTCTGTAGCAATCTCATATGCAGAGCCAAATTGAGGTTATGGAATATGTGCCTATGTTATTTCTTCACACATAAACAAAACCAAGAACTAATCACAAGCAAATCATTCAACTGTAATGGTTACACAGAAAAAAGAGAGTTGAAAGAATTCCCAAATAAGCCAGTGTGAAAACAACAAATTCACAGTTAATTCTAAGAATACCACCTCTAGCTACTACAAGAGGTCTCTTATACACTAGAAAGGAGGTAAGCTAACCATCCAGCTAGGTGCTATTGAAATTATTATAGGAAGTTTTTAGCAAAAAACAAGTAGTATGATGATATGCAGGGGAAAATAAAATAGCTCACTAGGGAATAGATATAAGATTGTCTGATTTTGACCAGTTATTCTGTAAAGGTCTTGAGCCTCTTTAAGTACCAAAAATATATTATAGAATGTAGGTTTGATGGAAGCAGACAATTTCTATAATAATTTTATAGCTACTGTAGGGACTTTTTAATTTATGATGTCCATCTTACTCCTATTATGGTTTCTCTTCTCTTCATGTATGAATATATATTTCATCACTTTTGTTAATTATTTTATTTTCCTTTTAACTATTTTCTTTCCTGTGAATTTCTTTGTTTCTTACTCTGTGATAGTGTAAGATTTCTGGATTTTATTACTATATTTGATCAGCTATTACCCCCTTATGTTGCTGCTGGAACTTCCCAGATAGACCCCTGATATCTGTGACATGCGACATTTTCTGGGATTGCCCAACTACAATTGCCCAGTGGTCAAAACTTGGAACATCCCATGTGGGCTGTGGGCAATCCCACACAATATGAAAACTGACCTGGTGCACCATGCTCCTGGGGGGCTACTAGCTGGATAGGTTAGTAGAAGATGATCAAGCTAAAAGTCCTAAAATTTGGGTAGCCTGAAGTGAGTTCAAGCTATTTTGGAATGGCCAGAATCTACTCACATCAAGTTAGGGCCTTCCTTGGCTTAGGCAACTTCTACCAAAGGTTTGTTGAAAACTTTGCAAAGATAGTGAGACCATTGAACAATCTCACTAAAAAGGATATTGTGACAACACCAACAAGACACAGTCTTGGGGCACTGGAGCACAACAAAAACAACACTCAGAAGAAGAGGAAGAGGTGGGAGTGGTTACCCATTTGGCAGGAACAAGTTAGTTGTTGGTAGACAACAGGAGGACTCACTGAGTCCTTCCCCATGTATTGCTCCTGTATACATACTAAAATACATGAGGTACTGTACAGTTGTAAATGAAGTTTAAAGTCCAATGTCTAGCATGTGACTGGTCACATGATGAGTCTAGACATTGGTCAGGTGTTGTGTCACATGACTTGGTCATGTGACTATGAAAAGTCGAAAATGTAAAGTAAAGTAAATAGTCACATGACTGGTCATGTGACTTGGAAAAATAAAAGTAAAAGTACGAAAAAGGTGAAGTGTAAGTAGGTACTGGTACGTCAATTGTAACAGATATTGTTTGACATCAAGGTGTCAAAGAACAAGAAGTACAAAATATGGAAAATATACTATACTTTATGCAAGAATGTGAATATGATTCCTTACTAGAGCCTACAGAGCTGTGTTAAAAAGAGAATATCTCAAATATTATATGTTATCTGTGTGAGAGGCATTATATGTTACAATAACACAATTTTTGGACCTTTAAATTTCATTCTCCTCTTCAAATTTCTTCTGTAGTTTTCACACCCTGTTCCATGCAGCATTTTCTATTATTGTTCAAACTTCACTTCTCGTGCTGCACTGCCTTTTCCTACTTTTAGCTACAAGTATCTCACGCAGTGGAGCTGGTCACACAGGCTGCATCATCATAGTACATACATGCTATTATACTGGTAATCCACTATGCTAGTGATTTGGCTTCTTAAGGGTTTCACATTGCTTAACATTTATTGGGGCATACACAAGATATGGGACCATCCCAACTGGGATCATCCCAAATAATAGGATGTCCTATTTATATGAGATTTGGGATGATCTCAGAGATAAACAATGGGACAGACCAGGGAAAATCCATCTTGTAGGTAGATAAATGTACAGTAGATGATCAACCTAAATGCTAGGCTCCTGGGGGTGCTGAAGTGTAGTGTCCCAACAATTATATGGGTTATCTTAGAGTTGTGGGGGATATTTCCATTTTGAGTAATCATATATAGCATATCTCAAAAACTGATTAAATGGGATAATCTCTAAAAGTTCAACTTTGAGGAATTATTGTGCTTTTCCCACTTCCTCTGTTAATATCTACTAGTTCTATGTGCTATAATGGAACCTGCTTTTCTAAAGATGTGTGGTAAATACAGATATATGCTGTTTGGTGATAATTCAATGCAATGATGTGATCTGAGAAGGGGTACCTATAAGACTCTTCTTTAATGTATGATTCTTCTTTTTGGCATCATATCTAGACACTGAGGCCTGCAATATTTTAAAAAATCACCCAGGAATCCCCACTGGTTGCTTGGGACATCCTGCAGGGTAGTCTGGGTTATCCCACTGGGTAATTGGGTGACAAAACCGGATAAACCCGGTCTCTGCCAAAGCAGCCATTGTTCTCCATGGAGCATAGCCACCACTCCATGGAGTCACCATTGTTCTCCTAGGAGTCATTATACTGTAGCGAGTAGCACCTCCGACTATAAATAGTGGGGGGTTTAGTATAGAAATACCTCAGTTGTTTCTATAGCCTCTCGGGCAGCGGCTGAGGTATGTTACATTACATTATTAGGACCTAGAGAACTCAAAATAGCAACTACTTTGTGGTCTTCCAAAGACTCTAGCTCCACTCACTGGTGAGCAATTTCACTCCTCGCAAAAACGAGTGCAACATCTGTCCAATGATAGTATCAGGCCAAAGCCCGTGCGCACAAGCCACTCCAAGCAAGATACACATCGTCAAACACAATAGCGCCACAAACAGGCTCAAACTCGTGCTTGCATCGCAATCAAAGCTACGCTCCTTGTCCTGCAAAAGTGCACTTGTTCCCTTGTTCCTATCTTTTTTTTGTCGAGTCTCCTTATTGTTTTTATCAACACAAGATATCCCCGTTTGAAATGGCGTCTCTATTGGACCGCATAAGTCTCCCAACTGAAGCCACAGGATCAGTCGGACCCATACGTTCTAAACACGCGAATCGATCCTCGCCATATGTGCGTACTCGCTTCGTTACCAACGCTACAAACTTGAAGTAACGTATATCGCACGTTTTCTCAACTTTATGGTCGTTGCCCACTTGAATATCTCAACCAATGGACAAACATGATCATTCTCCAGCTGCGCTCAAACCGCCCTCCAAAAGGCGACCCTAACTCAACCTGGTCGCACGACTTGTATGAAGATCCTGATGCCCCATCTTCACGCTCACTTTCAGCCCGGCTTACATCCACACCATCTCAACCACGGAAGGCAGATTTACATCTCGCTCAGCGCGCGCTACGGGAAGCGACTGGCCAAGGAACAGGAATAAGTATTAAAGGGGCAAGTTCTGGCGTGGTTGGGAATGTAGTACAGGTTGAGGGATTGGTAAAGGGGACAACACCTGCAGATGTCGAGGTTCGTGCATTCTCAGCCGACTTTTATGAGCTTTAATTTCTGTTTTTACCTTGTAGGCAATCTTTAAACGCTGTGGCGTTATCATTTCCTCCACTTTCTCATCAAGCTCTACTCCTGATGCCGTTTCGGTTCGCTTGACGTTCAAGATACCTGCTGCAGCTTCAGCTGCTATAGCCAAGTTCGACGGCCAACCTGCAGATGGGAAGATACTGAAAGTGCGCATTGTAGGTGGTACGGCTGCAAGTCTTGGAGGGAGATTAGGAGGTATAGGCTTGGCAAAAGAGGAGGGAAGTGTCGACGTGCTCATGGAGAGTAGTGAAGAGAGTGGATCGTGCGTATTTCTCGTTCCTTTGCCCTAGTGCCTTGTCATGCTGATATGCTGTTTTCAATATAGGAAGCTTCGTTCGGACTCAATTATCGCGTCGGATCCTCGTGCATCTGTCCTTACTGCACCCCCGGGAACAGATCCAAAAATGTACAATCAGCAACTTTCTGTACAGAACTCATCTCGGAAATGGCAACGAGGTGCAGGTAGTGGAGGCGGGCGTGGGCGGCGAGGAGGTCGGAGAGGAGGTGGAGTTGGAAGTTCAGGCAATGGGGGGATGGATATCGACTAAGCAGAAGTAACGAGGTGAATTTCGAATTGTGGGCTTAGAATTTCAGGTCACTCGCATCGCTTTTTCAATTGATACAAATACACTGCTTTCCACATTTTGAAATTTGCTTGTATTCATCGTGCCACCCTTCCATTCCATATCTCATGTCCTACTTCACGAGGTAGGCCTCTCGCGGTGTACTTTCTTATCTTGCTCTTGTCTTGTTTTATAGATACTTATCGGGTTCCAGTCTGTAACGCTATGGTGGATGTTTGGTTACGGATGGAACCCAAATGTATGGGCTTGATTTTTTAAGTGTCCGATCGACGATTCGTTGAATTTAAAAAGTATATTCAATTTCAATATTTATCACAGATATTCCTGGACCCGTAGGTTCCAGGTTTCCAAAGCACAAATGTCCTCTGCGTTTTCCAAGGACCTTTTAGTCATTACCCATTTACATTTACGCTTCCTTTCCTTTTTCGCACTTTCGGCTCATTCCGTATATTGTCACGTGGCTACCTTGGTGCTACTCACTCTTGCATCCATTGTACATTGTCGCTCTGTGATTGCTGTAAAGACTGCACAAAATGTTAACTGTAATGTGTGATCTGGACACAGCCGGGGCCAGGTCTGCCCCAGAGGGCAATGGTTATAGTCAGTTGAGCATGGTATATTGCGGGAACACAAGAACATTGTCATTGCAAGAATGGGTTACAAAAAATACTGAAAAAGTCTGCGACAACCAGAAGTTGAGCAAGCTGCAGCAGACAAGAAAGAGCAATGTCCAGGACAGACTTAGCTCATATCATATACTTTGCACAAACACCTCTACCTGGCCAGCTTCAATTGCATTGTGCATGCTTTGAATCCCGGCCTTGAGGGAGAGGACACATGGGAAGATGGAGCAGCTGATGCCTGTAACATGTGGTGAGGTAGATAGCCTGGATATAATCATGTTTTAGCTTTGTGAGAGTAAAGAGTTGTTGCATGAATGACATACCACTTGGCAAAAATGCCAATCCTGCACCCCTTTGTAACAATGTACAAAGGCCCCACAGAACCCTCTGCAGGTATGTGGAAAACAACCCCCCCATAGACTGAGGTGGGACCTGTCACATCGACAACTACAGTGGGCACAAACTGGGTGTGAGTGTTATTTTGAGAGGGGGCAGCACTGGTCCCAACACTAGAAGGTGCCAGAAAAGTAGGAAGAGGAGCTGTGGTGAACATTGGAGCTTCTACAGCCATAGCAGTTCCCAACGCAGTAGAGAGGGTGCACAACAACAGATGTAGTGAGAGATGAGGGGTGCACATCAGCTGTGCCACTGTCTCCTTTAGACCACCATCTCCCGCATGTTCAGAGGCCTTTCAAGCAGAGGCATTTGAATGGCCAGGATTGGGGAATTGTGTCACATTAAGGGAATGAGCATATAGGGATGAGGTGACAAGTCAGCAAAATGGAAAGTGTTAGATGTCAGACTTATCTTAATATACTCCTCTCACCCTTTCCCCATGCAATATGCCCCAATGTGGTAAGAGGAACATAATGTAGGAAGAGGAACCCAACATAGGAGAAAAAACCCATTGTCTACACAAACAAGCAGTAGTAAGAGATGTGATAGCAACTTGAGAGTAGGAATCACCAGAAAAATCTGACTTACCCATCATGTGACTGCTGACCTAACATGTATTACGCACATGTCGCACCCTTGTAGTACCTCTGGCATTGTTATCAATAACAACACACCATCAAATTCTCAACATGATCACCAGCATCCATATGGCCAACAATGAAACAGGTGAGTTCTCACCCTTTTTGCTGAAGCAAACCGTTAAATATTTTACAGGCACTCTCCTTTGTTCCCAATTAGAATATGGATCAGCTCAAGTTCAGCTGAAAGGACTAACAAACAACTTGAAGTGGCCAAGGTAAGTTTCTTATCAGAATTTGAACACCTCAAAGTGATATGCAAGCACAGTGTCTCAGAGATAGGAAGGGCCTTGTGCTTCCTCTCCTTGAGGTATCAACACTAGTCTGTGGTTTTTTGCGCCATAAACTGTTTATCTCTGTGTTCATGATTGCCTTGAAGGTTATTTGCAACAACACATACAGTAATAAGTTTTGAAGATACAATGACTCGACAATAGGAAGTGCCTTGTGGTTCTTCCTATCCTTGAGTTATTATAAGCAGGGGATGGTCTTGAACCAGTAAAATCCACCCATTATGCTATTGAATCCTAGTGAAATGGTGATGAAGTCTACTAATAAAGACTGTTAGAATATACTGTGACATACCAATACTCCATAGGATAATAGCTCTGATTTGTAAGCCAGCCTTGCATACAGCAGCTATACTGTGTAAGATATCTGTGGTTGCATGTTATGTTTAAGATCCTACATTGTATAATCTTGGCCATATAGCTCAATTGGTAGAGCAGCTGGCATGTATTCAGAAGGTTCTAGGTGCAATCCCTGGTCTGGTCATTATCCAATTTTATCAAAAACTTCATTGGTTTGGTGTTTTTTGGTGTTTAGTTTGGGATGAGTGGTACAGTTGTTGGGTGCGTATTTACTTTTGCTTGTTGGTACACTGCACATCCTTTCACATATTCTTGTACTTGGTTATGTTACAATAACACAATTTTTGGACCATTAAATTTCATTCTCCTCTTCAACTTCCTTTTGTAGTTTTGACACCTTGTGCCATGCGGCACTTTCCATTATTGTTCAAACTCCACTTCTCACGCTGCACTGCCTTTTCTTATCTTTAGATACAAGTATCTCACACAGTGGAGCTGGTCACACAGGCTGTGCCCCATGACATCATCAGCCACTGCCTCCATTAACTGTACAGTACATATGTACAAACAACCTGTAGTAGTATATATACCCCAATAGATCAAGGAGACTCCTCAGCAAGTCCTCCTGTTGTTTACCCACAACTAACTTGGTCGTATCTTAAGGGTAATCACTCCCCTCACTACCTTTATAGCTTTGTCTGAGTTGTGTGCCAGAGTAACAAACTTTTGGTTGTTACAGGTTAATGTTACAATACACAATTTTTGGACCTTTAAATTTCATTCTCCTCTTTGACTTTCTTCTGGAGTTTTCACACACTGCCATGCGGCACTTTCTATTTTGTTCAAACTCCACCTTCTTGCGCTGCACTGTCTTTTCCTTATTTTAGCTACAAGTCTCTCACACAGTGGAGCTGGTCACACGGGCTGTGCCCCATGACATCATCAGCCACTGCCTCCGTCAACTGTACAGTACACTTGTACAAACAACCTGTAGTAGTATGAATACCCCAATAGATCAAGGAGACTCCTCAGCGAGTCCTCCTGTTATTCACCCACAACTAACTCAGTCCTATTATAAGGGTAACCACTCCCCTCACTACCTTTACAGCTTTGTCTGAATTGTACGCCAGAGTATTAAAACTTTGGTTGTTACAGTTAATTGCTAGGTTTTCATTCTATCAGGGTGTTGTAACAACCAAGAGTTAGTTACTCTGGCGCACGATTAGAACAAGCAAAGAGTAGAGAGATAAGAAAGGGATCACCCCTTAGTTTTTAATAAGTTAGTTGTGAGGATACAACAGGAGGACTCGCTCAGGAGTCTCCTGAATTTATTGTGGTATGTATGCTACTACAGGTTGTTTGTACATGTTGTACTATACAGTTGACAAGGCAGTGGCTGATGATGTCATGGGGCACAGCCCGTGTGACCAGCTCCACTGCGTGGGAGACTTGTAGCTAAACTAAGAATAAAGGCAGCGCCACGAGGGAAGAAGGAGTTTGAACAAAAGGGAAAGTGCCACATAGCACAAAGTGTGAAAACTATAGTAAAGGTTAAAGTGGAGAATGAAAATAAAAGGAAAAGTCCGAAAATGTGTTATCATAACAGGTGTCCTGCTGTGATGGAGTCATAAATGTCTATAATTATCTGCTTTTGTTCTTCTATGGGTTTAACAAAGACTTCGTCTTTGTAATATAAGTGGTTTTCTATTAGTTTCTAATATTCCTTTTTGGTTTATGCAGGGAAATTCCCATCAGCATCTAGCGCTAATTTTATGTTTTCTATTAGTGTTCATGTTTGATATAGGAACACAGACTCTGGGACCATTGGTGAGTCTTTTTTGTCATCTGGGGTTTTAACATAAAGATCTGGTCACCTGGATAGGGCATCAGGTATCACCATTTGCATTCCAGGCACATATTCCAGTGTGTAATTGTATTGTAAGAGTTCTAACTGCTATATCCTTTGACAGGGCATCAGTTTTTGGGCTTCCTGCCAGTGAGTTAGATTTTATGGTTGGTTAGGATTTGTATTGTATAGGGGTTGCCAAGTAGTAAATATTTCCACTTTTTTGGGGCTCTGATTTATGCAAGCAGTTTGTTCTTGTAAATCTGATAATTTCTTTCTGCAGGGGAACATGTCTTGGAGAAAAATGCACATGAATGCCAATGTCCTTTTTTGTCTGGTTGCATAAGAGCTGTGCCGGTAGTATTCTTACTTGCATCAACTGCCATTTTCATTGGTTTGTGTGAAGCTGGGATTTGGGTTACTGGTGATTCCAGAAATAGTTGTTTCATTAGTTTGAAGGCATTATCTTCTATTTGTGTCCAGTTCCACTTTTTATCTTTTTCTAGAAGTGTATTTAGGGGCCTGGCTAAGTCTGAATAGTGTCCAATAAACATTCTGTAGAAGTTTCTATATTCCAGGAACTGTTTCATTCCTTGGGTGTCGGTGGGAGTTGGCCAATTGTGGATGCCAGCAAGTTTAGCTGGGTCTATGGCCACCTGATTGTGAGATATGTTCATCTCAAGGTATTCAATTGTGGATACTTCAAAGGTGCACTTTTTAATTGTAGGAAAAAGTGGATATCTTTTAACCATTGTAGGACTAGTTTAGTCTGCTTTTGTAGCCATTCCAAACCATTATTGAACATAAGGATGACATTCATGTAGATGACTATCCACCCTTTGTTAATGTAGTCTTTAAATTTGTTGTTTAT